ATATCATCTGCAAATATGTGGTAAGATAACCCAAAAAGGTGAGGCACAAGGAAAATGTTATGAACCCAGAAATCGAACCTTGTGGTACTCCACCAAGGCACCAAGATCGTCTGCAGCTGTTTAATTCTGGCTCTCCAGAGGAAGTCAACAAACTGAGAGTAAATCCAATAAAGGATGATGCCAGTGTTGCTTAAAATATCACATTTGTTTTCTAGCTCCAAGAACTTTTCTCGTACAGCTGAGGATAATTACTGCACTCGCAGTGACCCTGGCGCTTGTTGGGATTGAATGATCACACGTAGACCAATCTCTCATCAGTTGTCATCCCCCCCAGAAGTGGAAACAAAAACTGTAAAGTGGATCTATTTAATCATCCAGATATTTCCTCACTGACCTCTTCATTGACCTGTCTAACAAGCCTGAATGTTCACTTTGAGTTATCAGTTTCTTAAGAGCCAGAAAAAGCCTCTTTTGATCTTTAATGTTCCCCGAAATCTCTATATCCCGACTCCAGTGCCTGATGGATTTGTCTAATGTTGTGGCCAAGTGTCATGGCAGGACGAGAAACTGTTTAGAAGTCAAAACAAAAGCCCCTTTCTCCCACAGCCAGGTCTGACTCCCGTTTTTATATTTCTTCATACTTACTGACACTCTGTTTCTGCTCATGATTTTAACCTGCTGCCAAAGCTGGAGGCTGAATAGAGCAAATATTGCATGTTTGCGTGGAGGAATGCTGCAAATGAGGCCAGAGATCAGGGTATTATTGATGTTAGTGTAGCAGCTACCTGTAAACATCTAAAGACACATAAGAGGAGGAAGAGGAGGAGGAATATTGGGCATGTTTTTTTCTCTTTAGGAACAATTCCTCCGAAATATGAAAGACTGAAAACATATGCGTCATGGCAGACGGTTAGGTTTCATTGTCTCTGCTTGCCTCTCTCTGCTGTGACAGACTTGGCACCGCGTCTCTCCAAACAATGACTGACTGAGAAGGAATTTTATTACCAATGATGTCATCCAACGCTCGAGCCTGCTCGGGCTCTTCACGGCTGAGATAAGAGTGGACATGTTCAGCAGAAACGTGTGAAACAGGACTCCCAGGATGGAGAACCACAGGTGTGTGTGAGCGTCAGCTGATAAGCATGCAGCCTCATGAGGTCAAATATAACCTCAGGTGATGCACAAAATGAGGTGTAACAATTATCTCATCATTAAAGCTGTGATGAGAGGGTTTGGTGCTTTATTTGACAAGTTTAGGGTTGACGTTTTTTATGTTTTTATGAGGTTTTAACTGAGGTTATTTCATGAAGTTTGTTTTAAACAAAGGTGGCATATAACACTTAGTCTGTATTTAAGTGTGATTTATGAAGTACAGAAAAAAACTGGCTGAAGTTAAAGCACTGATCAAACTATTTACTGCAGTAAAACTTTATTAAGTCTAGTCTAATCTGGAACAAAGTGATCTAATTCTAGAGATCCTGGTTTCTTCAGTCCAGGATCACGTAATCCAGTTTACTTTTGTTCTCCTTATTTTTTGGAGGAAAACTTTATTGGGTCAAACTTGAGCTTGAGTTTTAAGATGAGCACATCCATCATCATTAGTGCTCCAGCTTTGATGGCGCCACAGAGGAGCTACTTTGCAGCCGGGTCCCAGTCACAGGGCTGCAGGGCTGTATTTGAAGACTGGGTGCATCACAGCGATGCATTGAAGGCTGTTCCATCTGAGGATTTCTCCAAATGCAGCCAACATCTGTGTCCTACTTTTTCCGGGCCATAAAGGCTGCATCAAGAGCATCTTTCCGACTAATCCCGTGATTCTTTGTGCAATAATAAAAGTGAGATGGCAGCCTCTGAAACTGCCAAGCAACACATTCTTGAATTATAGTATTTGGTCGTAACTCAGTCGCAAATTGTACAAATTTTATGAAAGACAGATGCATTCAAATTTTAGATAACAAGATCAATTCTACCATGTGTAAATCTCGTTATCTGATTCAAAACTAATGTTTATTATGTGTTTTCCTAAATAACAAAATTAGATTTTCGAATATTACATGTTTATCTAATAGAATCGTCTTTTATTGGGCTGATTTAAAAATGTCTTTTCATTTAGTTCCTGTAACCCTGCCTGAATAACTTTCTGCTAAAGTCAAAATAATTCAGATTTTCAAACTTGAATTATTCAAACTACTTTAAAAAAAACTAGAATTAACTGAAAATGTAGAGTAAATAGTGCCGTAGTGCAGACATACCTGAAAGCTGATGTTAAGTAACTTCTGGGGTCTGTGCCTCTTTATCTAAACACATGTGGACATGATATAGTAAAAGCTGAAAATGTGGCTTTCATAATGTGTTTTTAGCGTTGCCTCGTCCATAAACTGCAGCTTTCTTGTTTTTCTATTCAAACACAAATCATTTCATTGTTAATGTGTGAGCCCTCAGGAGATCCATATGAAAAAAGGTCCGGTCATTGTGGAGATGTGAGTTCAGACCTGTGAGCTCAGAATAAAGGAATTCAGATCAGCAGATAGGCCCTGATACAAATTTATGACCTCATCGGCTCTTACCCCCCTTGACTGTCTTATTGTCTGTGCTTCATTGTCTTTCATATCTTAGTCCTCTCCTCAGGCTGTGTGTGACTTCTATTTGAACAGAAAATGAGTCGCTGAATTTGAATGAATTTGTTCATGCGCTTGAAGCTATGCTGAAGACTTTTGCATATGAAACAGTCAAGTTGTGTGATCTTTGTCCTGTTTGTACAAACTCAAAAATAGAGTTTTTAACCACAGGGTGAGGATTTTATGTTGGTATGAGGATCTGGGCCTAACATACAATACTGATCAAAAAGTAATATTCCCAGTTTTTAAAAGTCTGAATCTAGATCACGTCCATCTGTATAACTTTCTATCATACCAGAACTAAAGTAGACTGGATTACCTAAGTGCAAAGATGTGGTTCTACAAATCAGACCATCCTCATCCAGATCAAACCTTTTGAAGATGCAGGTTCGAGTATTTCAAGGATTCTATTTCTGCAGTTTTCTAAATCGTCTTGTCAGGTTTCATCAGGTCTAAAAAGCTCCGGATAAGCATGCCTGACATAACACAGAAGTGTGCATGTTTTAAATTTTCCATCCCTGTCATATCATCGTGTTGAATTCTTAAAAATCTTTCATTTTTTGATCCTGATCCAGAGCGAAAACTTAATCTTATCAGTCCTGAAACTTGACCAGCAGGCCGATCATGCCTTTGTGATGACATAGAGCGAGTGGAAAAGTACAGACCCCCTCCAGCTCCCTGCTTTTTCTCTCCTCTGCCACAGCTATCACTCTGCTTTCATGCGGGAAGCCTTGCTGACATCACCCCTTGAACTTGTCTCTCAAATCGTATTTAATGACTCTAATAAAACAGGGGATATCTAACCAGGCTGATCACAAACCGGGGACTGTGGTTAGGACACATGAGGACTTTATTATCACACTGAGAGGCAGTGATATCAGCCAACAGGCCAGAATCAGCCTGTCTTTATCAGCCGTCCTCAGACATGAGCACAAAGGAAGATGGCATTCAGAGACTGAGGTTTGAGTGATGTCTAATGGGTGTGTGCTGCACAGTTTAAAGTTAGATGCTGGCTGTGATCGGGAGCTGCGGAGAGAAGGGGAGGGAGGACTTCCAGGGTAAACAACATAAGGAAGGTGTTACAGTAGCCTCGTCTGGCTCAGTTGGTTGAGGTGGGACACCTGGTTCAAATCTAACCTGACAGCAACTCCACTAACAAACTTTTATAAATGTTTTCAGATTAAATGGAAAACAGGGGCAGCTCAAACACATAACTTTTTGTCCAAAAATCAAGTTTTCACACATTTTGGTAAAATTCTTACACTTTGATACTCATTCAGGTGGTTAAGATGATTTTCCTCTTTAAGATTTTCAGCAAATCTGATGTTTAAAGTTCTTGAAGGTTAATGCAAAACATGCACACAGTGACAAAATCACCTCACCTCTGCATACAAAAATGACTCCTTCTCCAAGAAATGCCACATTAACGTTTGCACAGTTACAAAGCTCAGAGCCAAAACTTTTTCAGAGTTGCAGGGAGGTTACACTTTATACAGATGCAATTTCAGGAGGCAGGACATGACACATAGAGTTAATTTTCTATTGGAGTAAATTATGACGATAACGTTTGCTGATAACCTTTATTTCCCAATGAAGACAAGAGCTGAAATTATATAGATTTCAATAGACTTATTTCCTGCTGTAGTCTAGCATCTTTAAGAACCCCAAACAGACTTAAAGTTGGATTTAACATGGTACAAAAAAACCGAAAGTGTGTTATATTCATCTACAATAAAATAAACCTTTTCCTTTCACCTTTGTTGTCTTATCTTTAAGGTAAATGCTGATAATGAATTGCAGGAAAACTACAAAGTACAGGAAATGGTGTCACGGTGAAATAAGTAAAAGAAATAAAAGTAAAAGTAATTATGTGAATACAGATTTAGTTGAAAATGTAAAAATTAATTAATTTAAAATGTAAAAGTAGCCAACTGTGAGGGCAATGACGGTAATGAATGACCGTTCAACCTAACTGCCTGTGTGATTTCAGTGCTAGTCATATGTTAAGTAAGTCATGAAATAACAATGCAATCCACAATAAGACTTTCTTAAGTTTCAAAGTTACTTCATAAGTCATAGATTTGGAGTGTTAAATGCAATTAATTAATCACTAATCGTTGTTTTACATGACGGGAGGCGTGAAGAGGTGTCGGAGTCAGACGTTAATTCCCTTGGTTACGTTGCCGACGTTCATACTAATGTGCTGGTGGACACCTCGACGAAAAATACGGTGGATACCGTTAACTAGAATGATAACAATGGGAATGAAAGCGATTCCCTGCACTTTCTTCTTTAATATGGTAAGTTACCGTCATTTGTTGAGAGTAAGCTATCCACTGTATCCTGTCTACCTGGGGCTATCACTAGCTAGCTAACTCGCAGCTGCTAGCTAGCTAGCTAGCCAGTTGGAATCAAGTGTAGCTGCTCCCAAAGTAACACAAAACGACACAGCTTTTGCACATTATCCATGTTTGCTGGCAGATAAAGTAATAAGTTAATCCATAGATGCGTTTGGTGATTATTTTAATTCCAAACATGATTCAAAGTGGTTGTGTTTTGTCCATAACTGTTAAAATTAACTTTTATGTATTCTGGTGAAAGTTTGTCCTATTTGTCTGTGTTAATTTTATTTACTAGCGTTTATGCATCAAAATCATGAATATCAGTCATAACCAGATCATCACCCTCACTCCTGTACCTGTTGCTTATTGTTCAGTATTGTGTCAAAACTATTGAAATAGGGCTCTCTTTCGATTTTTATGCCGTGTACACACAAGAAACGGTATTTAGCTTGTGTGATATACTCTGTACAAGTTTTGTACACATTTTTTGCAAGTACTTGAAATTTGAAGCTAGAAATTGATCATGCAATGAAATTTGCTTCACCATTTCCAATGATTATATTTCCCCCCCCTGCAGATCAAACTATTACCATTTATTCAGCAGGATTATAAAGCGTGCAGACCATCAAAGAAATTTAATGAACTAAATCTGTCAAGGATTTATAAAACTTTCTTGGAGTTGTTTTTTAAGATAAGCCCCAGCATTGCAAATTCCTAGTATCAGCTCTCATTGTGTCAGATTTCCTTTGCATAGTGTAACCTGCAAAAAGTGTATGCTTGTAATCACACCCAGAAAGACAATGATCCTATTTTGAATCTAACAAATGCTCCATATCTTGCTAGTGAATCCTTCCATCATTTAGGCAGATGACAGAGTCACAGTGTTCCCACCACACACATGAATCACACCCCTTTTAAAACCACCTACCATTGATGTGAGGAAATGGCATTTAAAAGTAAGCCAAACCCGGTCTGTGCGCAACTTATCTCCGTTTTCAAGCTGCAACAAATTAAAAACGCTTCCTTAGATGACTTCATCATGAAACCAGAGCTCTTTTAATAGTGTCATTAACCATGTCGACTCCAGGTTCTCCTCTGTCACGTGGAGTCCTGCTGTGCGGCTGTCTGTTTCAGCCCTAATCAAACAACACAGGGACAACAGAGACAGTGAAGCACAAGAATCAGAACTCTGGTTTATGTTTACTTCTCTGGATGCATTATGAAATTACTTTTTTGCAGCTTAAAGATACGACATTCATCATCTGTAGAGGATCTGTTTGTTTATTTTCCATTGATGTATTAGAAAAAAATAGCTTTGATAATTAATAAAATGTTAAGGGCTGATGAAAACCAGTAAAAATCAAAATGTTATGTCATTTCCCTTAAAGAGTTGATTTTTTTTCTCAGAGCACACTCCAGGAATTGTGAAATCAAGCATTCAACAACCCCAGTTTCCTCTCACTGACAGGATTTTGCAGAAGGAGGCAGGACTCTGGGAGCCGTGGGACCAGGTGCTGGGGTCGAGTCAGAGTTCAGCAGAGTGAAGAGTGAGAGTTCCTTTTTTGGGAAAAACTTTCACTGGTGGGAGCAGATTCTTCACTCTGCGCCTTGCAAATATTTTCTCTGCTGTCTGCCCTCTTCAGTAATCCCCACTCCCCTGACATCCGCACGCCACCCCTGCCATTCCAATCAGTCAGCCCGACATGTGCTCTGCTGAACCCCAGCCACCACCAGAGAGCGGTGGGGGTCATCATCTGCTTGTCTGTTATTTGCCCTCCACACATGTCATGGCAGCAGTTCTGGGGTTTAAGGAGTACAGCGACAGGGCTTCATTCAGCTGAAACCTGTGCAACAGCTGCTCTTCTCTGATGGGTTAGAGGAGGATCAGAGCTGAGGTGGACACTCTCACTCCTGATCACACAGCGTGCAGACAAGCCTCAGAAGTTCCCAAGATCTCTCAGAGGATTTTTCGACTAGCAAGAGACTTTTTTGTCTGTCTTGTAATTTTTGGACAGGGCAGAAGACCTCAGGGCTGGTTCAGTTCCTCTTCAAGTCAGGGTGGAGGTGAAGTGTGGGTGTGTGTGTGACTCTGTTTCAGCTGAGGATATTACCTCATTGAGGATAAGCTGTGATTCAAAGGTCTGACAGAGGTCTCTCCCTCTGACTCCATTACTCCTGTCTTCTTATCTGTGCAGGTTTTCTGTTCGGCTGCAGAGGGGAAGTTTTGACAGCCAGGCTTAACAGCAGGAGAGAGAGGGAGAGAGCAAGAGAGAGAGAAAGTTGAGAGGTGGTGACTTCATCCCCTCTCTTAACCAACCCTCTTCTTTCCCCCTCCTTTTCTGAGCTTTCTCTTTTTTTCAACTTTTTTTTTTTTTTTCGCTCTGCACAGTCAGGCAGCATGCCAGCAGTCTTCCTCTTGCTGCGCTCCCTACTTATCAGGCTCCTCAGTAGCAGACTGGCAGGCTCAGTGGCACAGTTCCTCAGGAGAATCCTCTCTACGGGTGCTGCCCACCTTGGCACAGTCCTGCGCAACATCTGGGATCGCATTCGATCCCAGGAGTCCAAGGAAGCCATCCTGGGCTGCGTAATGTGCATTCTCAACATGCACAAGAAGGTGGAGAACTGAGCTCTGCCTCCACTCTCTGCTCGACCCTCCACTCGCCTGCTAAACACAGACTGGACAAACAGAGCTGGTGAGTGAGGAGAGGACACGCTGAGGGATGTGAGACTTTTTATTTAGCCCATTTGGACTCTTCATTTGTGTTGTATCTGAACTGGACTCTGGAAATGTCTGAGAGCATCGCGAGGAAGGTCCAGCCCTTCACCATCGGGACACGGCTGTCAGTCCCAGCTGTGCCAAAATGCCAGGACTTTACACAGAGTTACCTACAGAGCCAGAGTCTGGATAACTGCAACCTTCAGCACAACCTGAACTCGCTCTACCTCAGCAGATCTCAGGTCTGTGCACATGGCCCGTGTCTGGTCTCACCCATTGTAAAGCAGGTCTCCCCTGTGAAACAGAACCAGGAGGACATGGCAGCGGAGGACCACCTGAACCAGAATGTCTCTCCTCCCTCTACAGTCTCCAGGTCCATCAAGAAAATCACAATCTCTGGGAGTAAGGACAGATCAGAGGATGGGGTATCAGCTGGACCTGCACAGCACCTGATCAAAGGGTCCATGTCTGAGAACAACAATAACAACAACAACGTGAGCAGCTCATCGGAACCACATCTGCCCAGAATCGTGGGTGTGAGCTGTGAGAGCAAGCCTAACTCTCAATTCAAGGTACAGACATGCTTTACCCACGTAAACATAAAAACCTGATAAAGAAATATTAGATATCACACAGAAGCCTCACATATCATAAGAGTGAGTCATACTTTAAAGGCATATTTAGGATTGAAAGTCTTTATTTCATTCAAAAAAGAGAGAACTTTGCGAAACTGTAGTTACATAAAGCAGCTATCTGTAATTCAAACATATTGAAGCCTGTGTGTACCAATCAATCAGATGAATTAACCTAAAAATCTGAATGATAAACTGACAATTACATCTAAGAGTGGAATTTTATAATAACACTAGCATCATAAATGAATAACACAAACATTTTTCTCTTATTTAGAGTTATTTTTGACTTTTAAGGTTATGTAACAGCGTCTTTATGACGTACTGGTGGAGAGAGTGTTCAAATTGAGTGTAAAAAAATTAATTGTTGTCAAAAATTGATTCTTTTTGCTTGCTGCAATTTTTTTTCAGTATTTAGTTGTGACTTTTCCCAACTCTTGAAGCTCTCTTTTCTTCTTTTTCTTTGTTAGGTTTTGCTCAAAAAAGACAAGAGTGACGAACTTCAGCCGACGCAGGGACAAACCGGAGTGACGCTGAACAGAGAGAAATCTGTGCAGCAGGTAGGATGTTTAATTATAGATGCATTACATCCACAGTTTTCCATTAGAATAACCTCTTTGGACACTCGCAAATCAGAGACTTTGTCAAAAAACACACCAATACTTGAAACAAAATAGGACCAGCAAAGTTTGTTGGCTTCTTCCAGGGAATCAGGGAGGAACACTTTTTAACTCGACTTTAAAACTGATTGTTATTCATAATTTCACCATCTGTGCAGGGCATCAAATCACACTGAAAGAAGTTAGAGATGAAGAAGGATAATGTTCCTTTCAAACGATTTTAACCAAGGAAAAAAAGCTTCCTTTCTTTTAGTATATTTGAGCTTTATAAGTACTGTATTTTACCCACCGTTTTTCCTTATATTATGTGTTTGGTTACTGAATTTCATTTATTTCCTGCTCTTTGAAGACTAAATGAAAAATGTAAAGAAACAGTTGTTTTGTTGTGAAGCTGCTGGTCGCTCTCACCAGCTGTGGAGTCATGAATCTCTGCGTTTAGGGAATGAAGTCATATTCTGCGTTGGCCAAAACTCGAACAGTTTGTTATATTATATGTTTGGAGCAAAGTTACGCAGAGGTGGAAAACCAGTTATACGAGCAGCAAGTCTTTGAACGCCTCGCACACAGCTTTCTGTTTTTCCCTCGTGTTTAGCTGAAGAAAGAGTGTACAGATGTGAGGCAGGCAGGAGTATGCTGTATGATATTGTTTAAAGTCAGAAGTCAATGGGCTGTTGGATTTCTGGCCTCATCCGGGCTGAAGTCATGAGTGTGTGTTGTGGATGAAGTGGTGTGTCAGAGAGGCAGGGCTCACTGGAAAACATGAGGTCAGGGAAGATGTTAACACAAGAGAAGGCTCGCTGAGGTCCTCGTGGCGGCTGGTTACACAGGAATAACACTGACACAGCAATGGCCTCATTTCCCCTCTCAGAAAAATAAACCACCTTCTCATCTACTTCACCTCTTATTCTCTTAACACTCCCACTCATGTTTTATTCAAGTAAGTGTCTAAAAGTGGTTTTGGCGGTGCCGTTACCTGCTCAGGTATGAAACACGACCCTTTAAAATGTGATGTTTACACCAGAGGCTGACAGTGAAAAACGTCCGACATCCAAGGATCTGTCCTCTCCTGCTTCCTTCATGAGCCCAGATGTTTCCTGACTGCAGCGCGGCAGGAACGCTCAACCATTAGTGAAGCCGTGCCAGTCGTGTTCATTTCACCTCACAATGTGCTTGTTTTTGTTAAGAGGGACCTTTGGGGCAGTCTGGGAAAGCTCTTAATGACTCTGCATGTTTAAAAAAAGGTTTTATTGACATGAATGGACGCTGAAACATCCTCTCATTGTAAGGCGATAATAGCTGTTTTTATCAGCAACAAGCGTCATCTGGCTTTTAGATTTTAATTATGAGGCTAATGCTGCAAAATTGTTGTCATGTTTTGACACTTAATCGTCTTTGATTTGTTCTCGCACAGACCTCAGTTCCTGCAGCACAGAAAAAAGAGCCTCAGAGGAGAGAAAGTCATCTGCACTCACAGAACGAAGCTTCAGCAGCTGTTCCATCCCAGAGTGACTTCTTCGCTCAGCACAACTCGCTCTTCAACAAGGAAGTGCTGCAGGTAAGCTCTTCAACATGAAAACCTTCTTTTCTCTGATCGAAGTTCAGATAATGAAGTGAAAACAGAGTTTGAGAAAAGTAGGGGTTACCTGATCAACTTTTTTGGCCCCAGTCCTGCCCTGATTTTTTGTAAGATTCATATTTTTCTCTTTTTATGCCAGTTTTTAAAAGAAACCGACTGTCACAACAACAGCAGGGTTCATTTTATTTCAGGAGAAACTTCTAACACAGTGAAAAAAGTTGTGTATACTTTCTCTGTATAGTATTGGTATTGGCTGAAAGGAGTCTTCAGCTTCTACCTCTGTTGCTTTGGTGAAAATGTCATATTCTGTTGCATGTTTAAGTTTTTAGATGTCATGTCTAATTGGTAGTTCTACCCCTCGCCAAACAATTGTTTTGCATACGTTGGAAGTACCTTTTCGATTGTTTTCACTTTCTAGTTTGAAATATTTCAAAGTTTTTAGCCACAGGGTTGCTTAGGCTAACTTTCGGACACGTTTGGATTCTGCCACATACTGCACTCAGAGTGGGATGATGGTCAGGAGGTGCCCAGATTTGCTTTTAAGAAGTAGTACTGCTGTGTTTTTGAAATGTCTCCACGGTCTCGTCTTGCACGCTAAGCCTCCTCATATTTAAAAACTATTAAATTCAAATCATTCTCACTTTAAATCAAAGACCAACAGAGTAAAATTGATAAATATTCACTCTGCTCCAGTGTGTAAATCTGTTGGATGATGACGAATGCCTCTCTGCTCTGATTCTGCTGCTTGTCGCCGGCCACGTTGGCTGCTCCACTTCCACTTTTCCTCCCTGCCACTCAGATGTCGCATTCATCTCCACACTCCCGTTTTCTTTCCTCTCTGTTTGTCTCCACTCGTCTTTTTACCCAGGTTACATCTGCACTGTGTCACATGACCTGAGGAATCAGCCTTAATAGAACTACTGTTAATCCATTTAAGGCTGAAATTAGTCACACGGCTGAAATAACTTTTTTTTTTTTAATTAAGGAGCTAGTTTCACAGATGTGAGTGGTTGGAGGAAAAAAGTACTAAGTTCTGAGGGAGAAAGATCCAAAGTCTAGAAACCTGTCTTCTTGGTCATTCAGGAGGTTCAATGCTCGCTCCATCTGCTTGAACTCTTGCTCATACAAAGCTTCATTTTTTCCACTTTTCTGTGTTTCCTCACATAATTGGAAACTGGTCAAATGTTCGAGAATGGTGAGCTTTTTCCAACCCGCTCTCCCAGAACATGCAGGAGATGTTTTAAATCATTGTAAAATTAATCCACATTAAGTGACCTATCTGGACCTCTCATCTCCTCTCATGTAAATAATGCCAAACGACAAGAAGCTGGAGCGGGTTTATCTGAAACGCAACAAGTTTCACTGATGAGATGAGATCAGAGAGGAAGCAGCCTGTCGCATGACCCGCGGAGGAGAACAAAATATGAACTGGTTCTTATTTTGTCCCGAGAACTGTACGAGCTGTGTTCTGCAGAGGGAAGAGGGAGGGGAAGCCGCCACAAGTGAAGCAATTATTTAGGGATGAGATCATTGTTTGGCTCCATCTCTTCACGCCTATGGCCCGGAGAGGCTCAGCCAAGCAGCACAACTGGCTGCGTTATCTCATCGCTGCGTCCCCCCCAACGTACAAGGACATTTTTTAGAGGGTTCGGCTGGGGGACATTTTGTCCCGCACTTGGCTTTTCCACCAAATGATAAACTGCTCGCTTCCAGTCATAGAATTAATTTTGAATGTGTGAGCTGAAGGAAACGTCTGATGTATGTGTTGAAAACAGGCCTGTAGCACGTCGTTAATGTTAACAAGCTTAGCAGCCCCTCTGCTCTTAAGTGGAGCTTGCGTATCTGTTTCTTTTGGAGGAAGCAGCTTTCAGTTTTTGAGTTTTCACTCTAAATAGCCCGAGGATTAAGTACCTGGAGACCCGCTTGTTTTACAGGGATTCGGTTGACTGCTATCGCTGATGAAAAAGTGTTATTACAGCGTTACATCGCTGTGAAAATGGAAGTGAGCTTTCCAGAGAGAGACTTTTAAAGGCCTCTGATGTTTCAGGCTCGGAGGGCAAAGCAGGTCACCACATGGAGACACACGGCTGCACGGAGAGCCATCTGTCTCCGAGGCTGCTCTGCAAAACATCTCTGCTTTCACCGTCTCATTTCCATGATAGAGAAACTTCCACTCCCACAGTCATTCAGAGCCAAGCTGCATTACAAGAGGGGATAAAAATTTGGCTTTTTCTGTCAATGTTGTATCAAGTGTTAACATGTCTGTGAGCTTTCTTTGTTTTTCAGCTTCAGTCAGTCATTTGAAGCTTGATTTATTCAAAAATGAGAGTTTGCTATGGTTAGCACTCAGCAGACATGCACTTGGACGTTATTTTACTCTTATTTTGACATATTTCCCTCATCAGAGCTGCATTCAGTACTACCAATTTGATATAACGTCTGAAAGCTAAACATGTAAGCGAAGAAACTGCTCTGAAGAAAGAAATGCAATAGTGGTATTTTGCTAAAAATCATGCTTACTGGTAACTAACTGGTTCGTAGTAGGGGTCAGGATAGTTATTTACATTGGATACCACCCATAATAAACAGTAGGAATTTCAAAATAAAAGCACCAAAAACATGCATTTTATGAGGCAGTTTCTTTCCTAAAGGTTAACACAAACTGGGTTACCTACACTAGCCTCTACTGCAGTGTGTAGCTACCATTACATTTTCAAACAAAGGTATAAAGGCAAGGAGTTATCTCCCCGGTTTTGAAGTTCCTTGGATTTAGTAAAAAAGTTTAAAAGAGTGTTTCTTGATAACAGGAAATATAAAATCACACAAAGAAGGAAAAGTTTTGACAATGCAGATAGGACATAACCCTACACATCATCAGAAACGAATGATGACATGTAAGTAAGTCGGCTTCATTTGTTGGTAAAGTTTATGAAGTAACACATACCTCCACCCTTTCCTTTCCTTAATCTGACTTTCAGTGTTTTTGTCTCAAGCTTTCCGTTAATATCACAAAATAAAGCGATCATGATTTTGTTTTGGCCAAGGTAATTGAGAGAGGAAAATATGATATTGTTGCAGCCCTCTGGACTTAGGAAAGAAGGAAACATATCCTGGTGAGAGCCAAAAGGCCAAAAAGATCACAGAGGAGGTGTTGAGATCATCGCTTTGGACAAAACAGCTCACGTCTAGGGTAGAGGAAGCAGGTATTTGAAGCTTTTGAGTCCATAATGTGCCCTCACCTGTTGTACCTGGCAAGTAAGTATCAGATATTGGTGTTGGCAGATACTTCACATAAAAAAAAACACTTATCAGGATTCAGGTGTAGAAACAGCTGATCAGGACATCCTTGATTACAGAGAAACCAAGTCGATCATTGTTCCCCTGTTGTTTTCTGCTCGTAGATTATGATCATAAACATGCAGTTTGCTCTGAATCTCGCTCTGTTTTGACTGCACGGCTCTGTTTCCCTGTTTCCATGGATTTTTTTTTTTTCATTTTACAAAACATCAGAAGCAGCGATACAATCTGGGCCGCATTCATTAGCGGCCTGCGCTTTGTGCCCACTCTAAAGCCCCACTGTACATGTTGATAAACAGACAATTGTTGTGGAGCGTAGACAGGAAGAAACAAGGGAATCATAGACTTCCTGCATGAGATCATTATAATGTGATGGAGCCAGAGTGAGAAGATAGGGGCCGGCCTGTGTAGTCGAGCTCTTTTCCTTCTGTTGGAACCAGAAATACCTCTCTGCTGCTCCGGGGGGGTTGTAAAGTTAATGACCTGCCTCTCTCAGATTAAAATGTGATGTCACCTCTCCTCAAAGAGCCGTTCAGAGGCTGTGACATGTACAGACTTGATGTTTTAATGATTCATAATCGGGGTTCCTGTAGAGTCTATCCTTTATTGTCTATCATACTGAAGTTGAGATGCTTTGATGTGATGTTATAATGGCTTAATGCATGCGTGACTGTCATTTGAAGTTCTGCAGAAAGCACAAAAGTCCTGTTTTTTATCAGAGTATGACTCATACAGTCTGGTCTGAGAGTAGAGGGCCTTTAGCTGATTTATTAAATCATTAGATTATTGTGAGGCGGGTCGGTCAGAACCTCTGCGCTGGATCCTTTGCAGAAAACAAACATGTACTGCATTTCCCGATTCCTTCTGACTCTGACCACCTGGTGCGCAGCTCCTCTCACTTTTATACAATTGTAGCCAGAAAAGGCAACTCAGCAACACAAAGCCTTATGCAACCGAGTCCAGACACACGCCAAGAGAAACTTCTTCTCTGCAAAACATGACATCAGAGTACAAAAGGCTGAGGCTCCGAGTTACTCAAAGTCAGAGGAGAAAAAGTCTCTGTTTGCTCTTCTGATCAGCAGAAATCAAACCGTGACGAATGCTACAGTGGATCGTTCTGTCACGCTGCAAACATCTCACTCTCTGCTCTCCGGGGTGGATGAGGTGTAGGTGTGACTTTCATGTAAGAAATCTAAGAGGATTGTTCACATGTTTCTGCATGTAAAGTTGATCCATGAAAATGTCTATCAATGAACCCTGTGGATAAAAACAGAATTTGATGGTTTTTTTAACCAATTAAATCCTTTATACAACTAAATACAAAAAAAAAAAAAACAATTACAAATAAAAAAGTGTTGAAAATAAGAATTTTAGTGTTGCACATTTTAAATTTGATGCCAGCATCATATTGTAGATAAAATAATGAAAAAGTTGTCTAATGCAAATATAAACAGAACAAAAAAAACCCTCAAACGTCTTTCAGCTAATGACGTTAAATTTGTAAGAATGAGGTAACATTACTGGGTGTGTATAGGACTTTTGAGAGAGGCTGAGACTCTCAGATGGAAAGGCTTTGTAAGAGACTGTGTTGAGCTGTGTTGTGCAAAAATTTGTCCCACAGTATGAAATTGAAAGATATTTTAAGATTTCTTCAACTTTAGTCCGTGATTTCAGATGACTGATACTGGACAGCTGTGATATTCAGGCCCTCAAACGGATCCACATTAAAACAGATGTAACTCTGTAGTGGAAATCGCTGCATAGACTCAAAATCACCACTGTCTCTGAACACAATTTGTCACACATGCATTACAACCATTTATTAGTTATGATTTAATAAATGTACAGCTTCTCAGTAAATACCCTCAGGCCATGTTGAGAGCATATTTTCAACATGTGTGTTTTTTCCTGTTTGTGATGCAGGCTGAAGCCTGGATCAAAGGAAAGCTGCAGGACCTGAAGGACGGCTGTAATATTCAGCGCTGCCCCCTGCAGGACTGGGAGGAAGCCTCGCAGACGCTCCAGAGAGACCTCAAAGACTTTGAGAACACCTTGATTCAACTCAACCAGGTGACTGAAACATTCAGACTTTAACCGTGTCGTCTAAGGGAGTACAAAGCCGCCCACATCTGGTGTGAAATGTTTAGACTTCATCTTCACGGGTAACCGCTATCTGAAAGTAACCATTAATCTCTGTCTTTGGTGTTCAAGAGTCCGTCAGATCACGTAACACATAACAGAACGGTCTTTTGTGGGTATTTCCAGTCAAGCAGGAAGAAAATCAGACCCTCAGTGTTTCAGACGGCTCTGACAAGCCAGTTGAAACTTTCCCTCTCTGGAGAAAATGTTTGGAAAAGGTACATTTCTGATAATTAACCTCCTCTGACACCCTGACAGCTCAGGAACCAGGGGAATTTTTATATCCAAGAAATCAACAGCAGCTTTTTAAAGTCAGTGCAGCGACTCCTTCAGAGGAGTCAGACACGCTTGGCCGCTGCTCTGTGTCAGTCTGCTTTTCTCCATCTGTGATACATCCACGCTGAACAATGACCCGAATGTTTCTCTGTGTTTGAAAAGATGGGCGAGCAGCTGATCTGTAAGCTCAACCCGTCCTCTGAGCTGGTGAAAAAGCAGCTCAGTCAGCTCAGGGACCAGTGGCAGACCCTGAAACAGACTGCTGCCAATCAGACGAGGGCGCTGGGCGGAGCCAAAAACCTTCAAGAGTTCAACAGGAAAGTGGACAAGCTGGAGGCGTGGATTAAAGAGAAGGTGAAAAAACACTCATCACTCATTCTGATTTAATGTAAGGAGTAAAAATTGGGTTTCAGTTAGTCACAATGATTGTGATTGAAAAAACGGACTAGCCCTTTAATATTGTATCTCAGCAGGAGATCCAGGTTTCAGAGACAGTTTAGTCCTCCTGAGCCTTTTTTTATTTTAACCATGGCGGTGGAGTTGATGGTTCATGTGAGGTCCTCCAGGATGTGGTTTCTGGTAACTCAAAGCTGAAAAACTTTTCCGCCTCCGCTCCTTCGATGTTTACAGGAGAGACATCCTCACACTGTATCTGCTTATAATCTCTCCGATGTTCTCCTCCTCCTTTTCAAATAAAGAAAGCCATCAAACTCTTACTGCTACAATTAACACCAAAACCAGTTTCCCCAGAGGCAGATTTGACTTGACGGACTGCTCTAATCAACAGTTGTCAAGCTAATTGGCTCAGAAAACTGGACTCTCTAATGGAGGGAATTAGCTCTGTATCCTGAAGACATCTCTTGTTTGTATATTTCTACGGCTGTAAAACATCTGCCTGTCATTATCAAAAAGCAATCAAGAGCGTTTTAGGCCTGTGTTTATCTCTCGGTTCATGTCCATGTCTGGCACGAGAGAGTTGATGATTGATAATGGAGCTGTGGGAACAAAATGGCGGACGTTTGTTGGTTATGAAGTCTTCAAAACATCCATCCCTGCAGGAAACAGTGCTCCGCTCATGCTTTCCTCTTTGCATTAGGAGTGTTTCCCTCCTGACGCTGAAGGCTCTTTGTGTTCAGCGTCCACCTTTAGTAGCAGAAAAGGTCGATTTGAATCTGGTGCCTCTGAAAAGAAACAAATGATGCGCTCTTCTAGACGATAAACACTGACTTTTATATGTGCCGGCAGGAAGAGGAGCAGTCTCTGGTGAATGTCCTCGGGGAAAACGTTGACAAAATGCAGCTGACGAGGAGGATTTTAGATCTGAAGCAGGTGAGTTTTTTGTGGAGGAACAACTATTAATGATGAACATTACACATGCGAATCACGGGGTGAGTAAAATACACATCGCCACATGTTAATAGTTACAACTTTGCAGAGTTTTTCCAGGCTTTTATTTATGGCTGCGTGTGATTTATCTCCGAGGGTGTATGGTAAAGACAGCTGAAGTCATACTTGGATTGTGTTCCCCTGTTTCTCTGCAGGACGAGCAGCTCTACAGGAATCTCCACGAGGAGATCAACCACTTGGCCCTGAAACTGGAGAAACAAGGGAAGACAGATGGCAAAAACATCTCCAGCAGGAGGAAGCACATCAATAAAATGTACACTTTGTCCTTTAAGTTGACGCTGCATGAGACATCGTCTGTCTAAAGGTGTAATCAAGAGCTGACCTAATTTGCTCTGTGCAGGTGGCTGAAGGTGCAGTCTCATCTGAAAATCTACCATGAAAACCTTCAGCTGGCTTTGGAGGTGTCCTCCTTCTACCAGCAGGCCGATAACACGGTGTTTGCCATAAATAACATGGTACGACGATGACTTTCTTTTCTTTTCCTCCTGGATCAAAGTTTGACACGTCACTCAATCTTAACTGGAGCACTTTCTCTCTTTCAGAAGAAAAACATTCGCGCATCCAAAGAGCTGGACAGCTTTGGAGACAGAGAGATCCGTGACATCGCCAGTCAGATCATGGTAGGAAACATGAGCAGAGCTGCTCAGTGATGATCTCAGAGTCTTCTCTCTCTGGCCTGCAGGACTGCGATCTGATCAAATTTATGACTTTTTTAAAACAACAGCTCAGAGTCTGGACTAGACAAGAAAAAAGGTCTGGGAGCTAAGAAGAGAAAACATTTAGCTAATTAGTTAAAACAATAAATTTCAGCCTCTGTTGTACAAGTTAGAGACTCTCTGACTCTCATCAAAATTTGATGCTTTTTAAACAACATATAAAATCACATTACAGCAGGCTTGCATGGATTTAAGAGGATGCATCAATGCAATGAATGTAGAATTTGTGTGATCAAAAAAAGAGAAAATAGGAAAAGTTAAATTCAAGCATAGTGAAAAGTTGAGTTGTTTGCATCATTGTAACAAAATAAAGTCCTGTTCTGTCTTATTTAATTCTCGGAAAATACGGCTGTTAGATGGTTAATGTTGAAAAATACGATGTATTCACTAATTCCATGTTGAACGTCATAATTCGTCATTTCTCAACAGCTTTGAAGCCCATATGTTAAGAAATTTCTAGTGTTTTAATTTGAAAGTGAATAAATGCATTAAAATGTTCAGTATGATCTTGATTTTTGTTGCATTATTCAAATAATTCCAGCACTGCTACACTCCAGTAGTCTGAACACACAGCTTAGAGATAGAGTTTTATAAATCAGTAAGAGACCTCATTTGCAGCTAATCTGAATCTAAAAAGCTAATCTGATTCATGAGTGAGGATTTGAAAATGATAAGAGGTACCAAAGTGTTAATTTTTCTGGTTTCTTTGCAAAGAATTTTAAGAGGATGATACAGTAGAAAGAAAGTCTGTTCTCCCAAACTGAGTTTTTTTTTAAAGTAACATGTCCCTTAAAAAACTCAGACTGTTCTGCAGCTAAACAACGGTGTGCAGAAACAGCATGTTTGTCTTGTCCCTTAACTGCAGTGTAATCTATTTGTAAAGCTGACAGCCCTAACTTGAACATGATTTTTTAATTGTGATACTGCATTTTTGCCTCTGATCATATTCTTTTTTTTTTTAAAAACCTCATACTCTTTTTTTATATTGTGTTTTTAATCGTGTTGGGCTTTTCCAATTGGTCTTTGTATGATTTACACGAAAATGTTTCCTTGCTGTATCTAGATGCTGGATGTCAGCGTGTCCCAGCTGTCTAATTTACATCCTGCGCTGGCTGCCGGTGTCACGCAGAAGCAGAGCGAGGTAAAGGACTGCTGGGCACATCTTCAGAAGGTCCTCAGGTAAGACAGCAGTCCAAACCCATAACCTGAAAACAACATGCACCATTTCACACACTGATTGGTCCAACACTGATTTCCACTGTTGAGGAGACGTATTCTTCTCTTATTTCTCCTCTGGTACATTAAACCGCGAGTACAAATGAGAATGAGATTTTTAAAGATTTACATCCTCTTGATTGGCCTTGTTTAAGTTGGGTTTGACTCAGAGTTAAATTAGGGGCAAAATTACAGACAGGCGACCACATAGACCATCACTAACCACCCAGTATTTGTTATATAATATATTATTTTGCTCTGTGTTGGATTTTTACCATCTGTTTGATTACTGTTCAGGGAGAGTAATGTCTTGGCTTACCTAATCAAGTTGGCAGTGAGAACTTTTCTTCATCCTACCATTAAAATCCTGCCTTCAGCCTCCTTGTTAAGTCTACTAAATCTGAGATAAAGCATCTTTATGAGAATATTTTCTTAGTTTATCATGGCTTTATAAGTCTAATACAGTCTGACATGTGAATCTGGACTTTCACATCATCAGACTGTTTTTATTTTATCTACTTTGTGCTCCTGCGAGGAGTTCTTAACCGGTTATGAAACAGTGGAACTGATCCTAGAGCCTCTATGTGACCTACAAAAGCAAACAGCACCATCAGCAGGTTACAGCACGCTGCAGAAACCGGCTTTGTTTACATTTTCCACAGTTAAGACTCACAGTGAGTGAAGTGTTTTTTTTTCTGTCAAAGAAAACAGAGAGAGTTTTTTTTTGTCTGAAAACATGACTTGAGCACTCACAGAACAAGAGCAGCTGCTTCATCAACAAGCCTCTTCAAAGTCAGTGTGAGCTGATAGATCTTCTCAGGAGCGTTTATGAGTCAAAGTGTGTTCAAAGGTTGTTAGGACGCGGTGTGAAATGTAAACGAAAGCAGAACTTGATGGCTTGCTAATCATTTAAAGCCTATTTTTAATTAATAACAGTGCAAAGGCATGAAATCTGAAGTTGAAACTTTAAATATATGCTCATTTAAAATTCGATAATTGCAGTCAGGTACATGTTTGTCTTCTCTGTAAACATTTGGGAACCGAGGAGACCAGTTTCTCATGTTTCAAACTGTTGTCCTATTCTTACCTGATAAAGGATTTCAGCTGCTCAACAGTTCAGGGTCTATGTTGAATTTTTTTGTGTCAGGACAACAAGCAGATAATTTCAGCGCCTGGACTCTTCTCCTACAGAGCTATGTTGTTGTAATCCCTGCAGAATGTGGTTTGTCGTTGTCTTGCTGAAATCTGTATATACTGTTCAGCATTAATGGAGCCTTCCAAGCCCTGTGAGCTACCCATGTCATGGACACTTGAGCTTTTCTGTACCGTCCCAGATGCTATCTTATAAACTGAGTGCTGATATCAAGCCATGCAGTCTTTGTAGTCCTTTTTTTCAAGCTGAGGATGTGGCATGCATGCCCTGCAAATGTGGTTTTCTCTGGAAGTCATATTTCCATGCAGGAGTTAGAGCTTTCTCTTTGGGTTTCTAAACTTTGTAACCTTTTAATGAAAAAATCTGTATCCTGTTTAAGTTATAATAATTACGATGATCAGCATCTATTCTCTGAGGTCCATTTAAAGTTTTCCATTTTTAAGTCTTCAGTCTGGCCTGTCATTTTCATGTAATCTTGTACTGGATCAAAGTGTTGGACCAGTCGATGGATAAATCTGCGATTCATCATCTCTACCTGGGAAAAAGAAGACAGAACATTTTCCATTTTTATGATGATAAATAATCAGGAGTCAAGCAATTCCACCGCTTTGACATCCATCTCCAACATGTTCTGCTGTCCAAATATTTCCCAGAGCCTCTCATGCTGACGAGCTATCTTTAGATCCAGATATTACATCATCCCCTCTGTCTTATCAGCTGCGTTTCACGGCTATTTAAACCAAATAACACAAACACAGCACAGAGTTCAGAGCCATAATTGGAGTTCATGGTGGTTCCCGGCTGTCAACACGCAGTAACCTCCTGCTCTGCTCGCCCTGCAGGAGCGACAGGACCGCTCTCTCTCCCACCGGCTCTGCTTTCACCAGGGAAGATTCTGACCCCCTGACTCCAGCCCGAGAGCCCCAGTGCAACGTGGGAACGGAGACACAAAGGATCATGGGAAAGGAGGTGAAAGAGGAGCAGAACCGTCTGAAGGGCTGTGTGGTGAGTAGCTTTGGTAATTCCTTCTATGACTGCAGAAACCACAGTGTGGCTGTGGAGTGGGAGAAAACAACAGCATCAGCGCTGACAGAAGATGAGCTCAGCCTCTTTCGGTCCTACGTCTTCTGTGGCTGCAGAAAGTGACGCACTTTGTCCTCTGGGCTGGAAAAAGTCTGATTTACAGTTTGAGAAGGTTTTTTCCTAAATAACAGTATCTTAAAAAAACATCCACATAAGCTGTTGAGCCGGGGTCTCCAGGCTGGGTAATCAGAGTACTGCTGGTTTTCCATCCTAACAGATAGTTATTGAACTTGATAGTTTGGTCTGATATACCGATTGTTAGAAAACTCTTTGAATTGCGTTTTTAAACAGGAAAACCCTCAGGATTGGAATCTGTTTTTAATAGAGACCTACAGTAGCTCCAAGGGTCAACTGAGCAAACATGCATGACCCAGAAATGGGAAAATATTTTATCTAAAACAGAAATATTGTATTTTACTCAAATTCATTTCACATTATGCAAAAATATTCAATTAAAACACTTAAAATATTACAGAAAAATGCTAAAGAAACTTCACAAATTCAAAAAAATTTAAAATATGTCACAAAACACAAAATATTTCAATCAAAATAGAGGAATATGGACAACAGATTCACAAAAAAGTCAAACTAAAGCTCAAATTATGGACTTAAATGTCTCAGTTACAGGATATTGTTTATCATTATCTTGAGAAGGAGGAGTTTTCGATGCACAATATCCCCACATGTATATAAGAATATAGAAATCTAAGCTTTGTGACAAACCCACTGGAGCTCAACATCAGGTGGAAGTTTGCGAAAAGCTGCTGGAGGTCTGATTACATAAGTCTGGTCATATTTGACTTCACAGGTCTTGTTCTCCAAACTGTGAAAATAAACAGTCCACAAAGACTCAGTGTTGGCTGGTTAACGGGTTTAATTTATAAAGTGTTCAGTAATAAGTGTGAGAGCCAGAATTAGTTCAGGACGAACATGGTGGTCTGCAGAGTTTGAAAGACACGATTTACAAGAAGAGCATGTCGACAACATCAGCCACTGCAGTATAAAACACTTCATAATGAAGGCTGTGCTGGTTTTCTGTTCTTCCTGCCTGAAAATGAAGGAAAAAAGATTTGTTGTAAAAATAGAAATCTATTTTGAATTCCCGCTCTGTCTGTAAATGTGGTTCAGTGTTTCGTGCTGTCCTCCAGGTTTTTCTTCTGCTTTCAGAGACGGTTTTGTCAGGTCACCAACACCCTTTATTCTTTGTTTATTCTTTAATTTGATGGTTTGTGTTTGAATAAACTTTTTATTTTTATTATATTCAACACTTCCACCTACTTTAAGTAAAATAAAAAAAATGTCATTTTGGGCTTTTTATCTGCAGAAAATGGTTCATATCACTGAAGATGAAGGATTTTTAGATCCTAAATAATGCAAAAAATAGTTTTTACTAACAAACTTTGTGGGGTTGTGTGCCACTTTTGTGCCAGTCAGTTTTATTGAATCTTCTTCCTCTGTTTGTTGATTCTGGTTCTTATTGATCCTTGAGTTTGATTCCATTATTTTTGGACGATTAAATAAGTATTTTAAAAGACATATACACTCACCGGCCACTTTATTAGGTACACCATGCTAGTAACGGGTTGGACCCCCTTTTGCCTTCAGAACTGCCTCAATTCTTCGTGGCATAGATTCAACAAGGTGCTGGAAGCATTCCTCAGAGAGCTTGGTTCATATTGACATGATGGCATCACACAGTTGCCGCAGATTTGTCGGCTGCACATCCATGATGCGAATCTCCCGTTCCACCACATCCCAAAGATGCTCTATTGGATTGAGATCTGGTGACTGTGGAGGCCATTTGAGTACAGTGAACTCATTGTCATGTTCAAGAAACCAGTCTGAGATGATTCCAGCTTTATGACATGGCGCATTATCCTGCTGAAAGTAGCCATCAGAAGTTGGGAACATTGTGGTCATAAAGGGATGGACATGGTCAGCAACAATACTCAGGTAGGCTGTGGCGTTGCAACGATGCTCAATTGGTACCAAGGGGCCCAAAGAGTGCCAAGAAAATATTCCCCACACCATGACACCACCACCACCAGCCTGAACCGTTGATACAAGGCAGGATGGAGCCATGCTTTCATGTTGTTGACGCCAAATTCTGACCCTACCATCCGAATGTCGCAGCAGAAATCGAGACTCATCAGACCAGGCAACGTTTTTCCAATCTTCTATTGTCCAATTTCGATGAGCTTGTGCAAATTGTAGCCTCAGTTTCCTGTTCTTAGCTGAAAGCAGTGGCACCCGGCGTGGTCTTCTGCTGCTGTAGCCCATCTGCCTCAAAGTTCGACGTACTGTGCGTTCAGAGATGCTCTTCTGCCTACCTTGGTTGTAACGGGTGGTTATTTAAGTCACTGTTGCCTTTCTATCAGCTCGAACCAGTCTGGCCATTCTCCTCTGACCTCTGGCATCAACAAGGCATTTCCGCCCACAGAACTGCCGCTCACTGGATATTTTTTCTTTTTCGGACCATTCTCTGTAAACCCTAGAGATGGTTGTGCGTGAAAATCCCAGTAGATCAGCAGTTTCTGAAATACTCAGACCAGCCCTTCTGGCACCAACAACCATGCCACGTTCAAAGTCACTCAAATCACCTTTCTTCCCCATACTGATGCTCGGTTTGAACTGCAGGAGATTGTCTTGACCATGTCTACATGCCTAAATGCACTAAGTTGCCGCCATGTGATTGGCTGATTAGAAATTAAGTGTTAACGAGCAGTTGGACAGGTGTACCTAATAAAGTGGCCGGTGAGTGTATCATCATTGTTTGGACACTAAAGCTCTTAAAAGTGGACTATCACTTATGTAAGGGATTTTAGTTTGTTCCCTCATTTATAAAAGTAAATATCAATCCATCTTTAACAGAGATATTGACAGGCGCTTTTGTGCAGGACTTTAAATTTGGAGCGTCCCCTCAGATTCCCACCATGTTAAAGTAAATGCTTCGTCTTATCGGGGTTTGCTTCCTCTATGCATGAAACTTGTTGGCAGCATGTTTTGCATGTTGCTGTCTCATTATTTCTGTGGTAAAGATTTGAATAGTTTGATGAGTCGGTCGTGATCGTCTTCTCACAGTTTTGCTAAAGTACTGCATCACAAATGACATGATGTCACATCAGCACAGCAACTCCTGACAGATAAGAACTATGTCTGTTGGCACTGAATTCTCCCCGAGGTTCAATCCTGAGTGGTTTATGTTGCCCTGAGAGTAAAACTGAACTTCACTTTGTTATTGACCCCACAAATCTCAGTATCGATAGATTCAAAGTTGGAACTAATTGTTTATACTAAAACCCAACAATTAATTTCTGATTTTTCATGAGCAGCTGTCCTGCACCTTGACATTTCACTGAAATGATAACATTTTCCGAAGTGAGTCCTCTTCTGGAGCTCAGAGATGTATTACAAGAGAAAAGCAGAATCCCACCTATTAGAAGAAGACATAAACGTAACTTTGCGCCTTGTTTTCAGTCAGACTCTCCATCTCCTGACAAGAACCGAAGTCAAAATGTTCCAGAAGTTGCCACGCAGAAGTCACAGGAAGAGCCTCTAGAGGTGTTATTTAACCTGGCAGAAGAATTTCGGTAGTTTCCATGAAAAATGTCAAGCCGTGACTGTTCAGCACGGTCATATTATGGGCCAGAGCAAATAAATCCTTCCCCTGGACCAAAAAATTTCACTTTATGGTATAATGAGATCTTGGCTTTCACCCGTTTTAACAAAGGTTCAGTCTTCAGATTAATACTGAATGACCAAATGACGTGAGGGTCAGGGCAGGGTGAGAGGATAATCTGCAGAGCATGTGGATTCCTCCGACACGACATTCCTCATCCTGGAGGCCGACCAGAAGCTTTATTGAGCATGTGGGTGCTGCTGCAGTAACCCTACGGTCCATAAAGCTAAAAGGAAATACTGTTGGAGGCATACAGAAATTTTAGTGTGTGTGGTATGTTAAAAAGCAGCAATTATGTTTATATTTAGTCTTTTAAGTCAGTGCATTAAAACTCTGCACGGCCTGAGAGTGAATGCATAGTAGCCATTTGTAGTCCACTCAGAGGAATCCCATCATTTGGGGGACCCTGAGGCTGTCATGGAGCAGATGTGTTGGCATCATTTTGCCCAGAGAGCACCAAGATGGGGACTCCCTCAAGTGAGATGGATAAAGCCCTTTAAAGATTTGATTTTAATGCATGCTACTTGAATTAGTCTGAACTAAACAAAAAAAAGAGATTCAGTTTCAGGTAGCTGATTTTTTTTTTTTTTTTTGAGATTATAAAAGACTTTAAATCTTACGAGGTTGAATGCAGATCCAAAAATGCATAAATACATGCTAAATTCATTTGCAAGAACAGTTTTCATGAGTTTTGAGCACAATGTGGGGATTTTAGTGAACTCAAGATACATTCATGATGCTTGTTCTCAAATTTAGCTTGTTTTTACATTTTTTAAGGGTGTATATAACGCTGTTTATGTTCAATATTTGGAGAAGAAATTACTACACAAAACTGCTCAATGTGATGCCTTTACTTGTTTTTGTTCTTTTATTTTGACTTCCCAGCACAGATGTGTTTTTTGTTATGATGACAAACATGCTCTTATTTTGAAAAGACACAAAAAGTACCCTCACCCGACAATTAAAAGCAGTGGTAAATAAAAAGAGCCTAAAAAAATAAAAGGTTATAATATTTAATGTACTGTACAGATCTATTTATGATATATATTTTTAACAAAGAATATAGAAACATCAGTATCAGCGTCAGTCTGTTTGTCAACTAGTTCAAAAATCCTCATAGTGCCTTAAATGCAGCAGAGATTATACATGAATGCCAAACAGCTGGGAAATAATCTTTGTGCACTCCTCACCTTTTACTCTTTGGCATCATGGCTTAAAATGCTGGTGATTGATCGAAGGCACACACAGTAGATCTACAATCAACCCCAAGACTGCAGGACATTTCAATTATTATAGCACTAAAATGCAAATACATGGGTGCAGCATGTAGACATGGTATCCTTTTTTATGTTATATAAATCTGACAATGCAATTTTAAGACTTGAAGGACATTATTTCATCGAAGAGGAGTTCATAACATCACCTAACCTTACAGAAGTTGATGTCGACATTTTAATCATGTTTTTTAAGCCCCGTTTCGAACCGCCACCTGTAACTGGAGCGCATCAGACCAGAAAACCAGTCCCACTGTTTGTCTGAATGAGCTCTGACTTTCTTGGCAGACACATCCTCGGCCCCTTTTGCTGTGGTTGTTTTCTTTATTGCTTAGTAGCTGTTAGTTACCTGGGTGCTGTCTGTTCAAGTCGTAAGTCTTTATGGAGGGATTAATAAGACCCTCAGAACAAAAACCCTGCAGCCTAAAAGCCAAATCTAACACCGGGCTGAACCTCAAGTTGAACAGCTCGAGTTATTTGTCACATACTTTCGTAACACTTGCGCTGCAGCTCCTGCATGTTCTGAGTTAGTTTCATAATCGAGTATTTGTATTTGTAAGAGAGGGAGATGCAGCTGCGCAGGTCTGCAGGCTGCACGCACTTTACCTTCCAGTCTGAACCCTCTGCTCTGCAGCTGACGACAGATGGAAGGTTGAAGTGTCTGTATGCGTAATAATGTACTGTATGCCTTATTCTGTGTTAGCAGTGGAACAGCCTCTTGTTTCTGGAGGTAAACATGGCCATCGTCTGTTTCTCTGGCTAATTGCATCCAGGTGCAGGGGCTGCAGACCAGATGGGCTAGGTGCTAAGTGATAGTTCTTGGCTGACATCACTTCGTAGCACGTTAGAGCGAGACACGCGGTAAAGAGGAGATGAGAAATACACGGATAAGAGTCAACAGACCAAGAGAAGTATGCAGGATCAGGAGGCCATTAAACAAACTCTTAAAAAAAACTGAATACCATCGAATATGACTGAACAAATCATTAAGAGGCTATTTTTTGCTGCGGCCGACATGATTTTTTTCTCATATGGCGGAGCGGGATGTCGAGTGCACCGCAGAGCGTGTTTGAAAGATGAAGGACAGAAGCAAATATCTGCAGAGGAGACGTCAGCAATGGTTATCTGCCCTGTCAAATGAATCAGAGGAGTTTGTTAGTGAAATAGTCTGATAGTGTTCCTCTGTGAAGCTCAGACTGCTCTACAGAGTCTGGCATGTTAGTAAGTGATGTTAAAGCCCTGCGTTTTACTGCGTCTCTTGCATAATTTCTAAGGCGACACTTTTCTCCAAGTCTCTGACTCACTCCTCCTATAAGCCTGTCAGTAAATAATGTGGTTAAATTAGAGCTACTCCATAAAACACTCTTATTAATGGCTGTTTTGTGCTTTTTGGCTGCTGTAGGAATTCATAATTCCTTTTTTTTTTTTGACATGAAACCTTTGACAGATGAATATTTGCCTCGCCGATGGTCACAGAGCCCTCAGTTGTGTCAGCGCGGGTTTTACAGGCGTATGTTAAAGACATTATGGTAGACAGAACAATTAACGCAGCGTGGTCTGCGTTATTCATACATTTAGTTTGAGAAATGTCAGCGTGAAAGAATGCTGTGCTAAATTTAAGTTGTGATTATTTCATATTTGTGCCAGAAACTTCACACAGAGTTTGGTGTTTGAATCTGAATTTAAGAGGAAAGTGAAGAAGAAACATCCTCAGCTGCTCTTACTGAGTGACAGTAAAGGTTGTGAAGCCTGCTTCCTGTTTTCATATTTCATTGCTCAATTTGTGTTTCTTTATCTTACAAATTCTTACCAATCTTTTCTAAACTGAGTAGTTTATTTAGTTTAATCCATAATAGTTCATTGCTTCTGTTGTCAGAGTACAAGACAGCTCTACTCGCTCAAAGCTCAACTCCCAGATATGGGGTGCATGTGTAGACCACTTGGTCAGCTGCACCCCACTCTGGTATCAATTTGATGACTAACCCTTAACAACATCTGCACTCTTTAGAAGTTCCAGTCTGGTTCCTTTCACTGTTTCTTGGATTTAGTTTCATGTATGGGGTCTGCAGGGGCTCAGACACTCCTGAATACTGCTCTGCTGGCTTTCGTGGTCTGGTTCTTGCTTATATCTGTTGGACTAGCTGCAGATTCAAACTAAAAGCTTAAACTCGCATTCATTTTGACACAGTCTGCATATTGCTTTCGACTTCTGGATTGAGCTGTCTGTGCAGTAGAGAAAGGGACTAGACTCATGTATCTTTGCTCCACCAGCCCACTGCATGAACTCGGCCTCCCTACAGGGTCTCTAGTGCAAGAGGTTTCGCCTCAGGAGAGATTTAAAGTCTGTGGTGAAATGTGGCAGAAGTTAACTCAAAGGGCTGAAATGTCTAAATAATCCATGATGAAACACTTCAGTACAAGAAACTATAACAGAATGATTATTAGATGATGTCTTGTCCAAAATAAGTATGAGAGGATCGGCCCTAACAGCACGCACGCTGCTGTTTCAACATGTTCTTCCTCAGTGCAATGATTCAGACAGTTAACCAGAGTTGGTAACAAGACCAGCCCTCAGGAAATCCCACTGTGTTCTCTGTCCTGGTCCAGACACGTGTAGCTGACTGTGGAAACCTCACTGCTCGCTCCTTTGGCCAAGCTTTAAAGCACTCTGATGGTCTTTAAAGAGGCTTAGTGGCTGTTGACGTCTTTGATATATTTCTGCACGTCGGCAAGGTCTACAGCTCCGACTTTGACCTCGCTAAAAACTCCTCTGCATACTTCCAGACGGAGACGGGGCATAGGAATGGAAACCAGGATCCAAAGGTGAAAAATAGGGCTGATGTTTAACGAGAGCTGGAGGTACTGGATTTCAGTGAGGTGTGTTTCCAGCCCTGATGTCTCTTTCTAGTCATCAGAGTGTTAAAACACATGTTCACAGCCTCCTTAGACTTAATGTGTCCATTCATGCAGCAGTTATAATTTATTTAAACTCTCGCTGCCATCTTTAGTGTTTTTATTACAAATCTTGATGCTGTCAAACTGAAATAGTTTCTACCTTTCTCCCGCTCTGGCTTATTTCACTGAGAATAACCACCCTTTGTAAGAAAGTATGCTTTGTGTCATTTATAGGAGACTTTTCTTCGCTCTGGGCAGCTGTCCATGCCGTCCAGACTCCAGCCACATTTTAACATTTACATTAACTGTGAGCCACAGCAACGCCTTTTTGTTGAGTGAAGGTTCGGGGAATAAAATCCTCCATTTGAGGTGTTTATGCATCCTGTTAACATTCGTTCTGTGGACGCTTAACAGAAAGAGGAACTTGAAGTAAACACTGGTGCTGTGATGAAGAGGATGAAGAAACTCATCCCATGACACCGTCAGCTCAATATCTGAGCGCTGATGGGTTACATAACCGAGCACATGGCTATTAATGTCCCCTAAAACCCAAACATGAGGACAGATGGGGTAAGATGGGCAGCAAGAGCCAGTAAATCATCTGGGTTGTCAAGTCAGCTCTTCCCTTTGCGAGTGCAATAACCTGCTTCACTGTCTGAGAATCAAACCTCCACTATGATAGCTCTCAGCCTCCTGCAAAAAAGGGAAAATAAAAGAGAAACAAAAGACTTTGAGGAGAGTCTGCAGAGAGGTGTTGGTTAGAGGATGAGAAAGGCAGAGCCAGGAAGGGAAGCTTGTTTTAGCTAGGGGAGGCTGCACGCTCTACCTTCACTTCTTTTCATGAGAGAAAACAGGAGAATCTCTACAGAAGAGGATTAGGGCCACTGAAAAAAAGAAAAAAGGTCTGATATAATATTTTTTAGAATTATTATTCTGAGGTTTAAGTCAAAATTCTGAAAAAAAAAAAAGTCATAATTATCAGAAAAAAAGCCAGAATTCTGACTGAATTCACAGAATTATAATAAAAAAATTTTCTTTATTGGACCTTTTTTTTTGTCACTGTTGCCCCAGTCCTCTTTCGTAGAGTCTCAGAGAGCTGTGAAGACTGATTTATACTTCTGTATTGATCCCATGCTATAGCATGCATCATAGGTTTTGCATCGACTTGTACCTGTGCAGATGCTCACATAGAAGCCTGATGAGTTTCTCCTCAAAAAATCTGCTTTACGTTGAAAGACAGACTGTGATTTTCCCTGCATCCGCAGCAGTTCTAGTAATGACAGCTTGTTTGTTAAGTCACTACCTAAACCTCCATTTGCCATGGTTTCTTGTTCCTCAAGAGTAGAAAGTAGTGGACCAGAAAACTGAATTTTAAAGCATCTTCAAAGTCCTGTCACATTACAAACATACTGAGCTGTTTTCAGAGTCTGTCCTTTAAAGACCTTTATCCTCCCGTCCTCAGACTTCTGCTGAATGTGGGATCAGCCGGAGCCAAAGCCAGGAGCAGCAATCAGCGAACCACACCTCATCACCCACTGCAGACGGCCCGGTCTGTGTTAATGATGTCATACTCAGACATCCATCGAAGGGAGAAAGGTGACATTTCATCCCTCTCTCTTTCTCTCTCTCTCTCTGTCTTTCTCTCTCTCTCTGTGAATTACATAATGAGAGGTCTTTATGTAAGTCATAATTACAGTCACATGTCTGTGTTTTCTTTGCAGCAGGAAGCCCAGAGCCGAGCCGAGGCTGGCGGCTGCCCCACGAGGCCACCCACAGCTCCACACACAGCTCCAGAAGTTCACCGTGTCTGCTGACAAGGTGAACTCCCGAGCATACCTAGATTTACCTTTGCACCAGAAATCACCTGGAAATACCTTTTTCTGTCCTCTGTAGAGCAAATGCTGAAACTTTGACTTTCAGTCTCCAGTGTCCAGTCAGCTCTGTAGTATCAGCTCCCACACCCTCCTCTTGTGAGCAGCCACAGACGTTAGGTCACACTTTTACATGACTCAAAGTTTTTTACGTTGACTTTGTAATTTCTGATGAGCTGCTACAATCAATGTCCTGATTTTTAACACTTATTTGGCGGGTTAACAAATCATTATTGGAAAAGTCACTCTACCACTGGTCTTGTTCTCTGCTCAAATGTCACTCTGATTTTCTGTGTCTCTCCTAAATTATTGTCTAGTCTTTCTGGCTGCATCTAGAGTCCTAATCAGGACATAGAAAACTAAGCAGATCACTCCTGTTTCTTAAATCTCTTCACTGGCTGCAAGTTTTTAAACAGAAGAAGTGAAAAAAGGCTGCTGCTGAGAGAACTGAAATACCTTCTTAGAGAGTAAAAACTCATAAGACTCAAAGATCTCCAGGAAGAATTTACTCATTTTACAGGTATCATATGTATTATTGAGGCTTTTTTATACTTAAAGCTCCTAGGAGGGGTTTCAAACAGACTGAAATGGACAGTGATGACTCATTTTGACCTACAAAAGCAACCAAGGACAACACCGACATCACTTACATTTCTTTTAATGTCTGAAAGGGAAAAAGTAGGATGAAACAATGTGTAGTTAACTGAAGAAATAGCCTTTCTTTATACTTTTTAAACAGCAAATAGTCTCAGTTGTTGGAAAATACTACCTGGACATTTACAGACACTCACCTGTTTTCATGAGGGAGGGAGAAATGAGTGTGAGGAAAAAAGAGATTAGAGTCCACAGAGGTGTAAAGAAGAGGATAGTGCAGGTGGAGCCAGGGTGAGAAGCCCTGACTGTTTGCTCTACCTCCCCTACTTGCCCTGATTTCATGTTTTTAAACGTCTTTTTTTGTCATTTCTGAACCAGTTTCAATCTGTGTTAAGCCTCTTTGTTCGAAATGTGTTAAACAAATAAGTTTTCTTTGCTTTTGACCCTCTGTCTCTGCCTGTTTTCCCTCAGACTTTGTCCTGGCTGAAAGACAACGTGTCCATGGCCACTCAGGTGTGTTCAGTCGCCAGTTTTGAGGGTCTGGAAGCCGCCCGGAGGTGTCAGCATGCACTGGACCAAGAAATCCTCACCAACAGGGCCAGGATAGAGGTGGTCAAAAGGGTGAGCCAAAGCACACTGTCATGTTCACGGTTTGTCTTAAAACATAAGCACTGGATGGATGCCCTGAGTGAAAATATCCCCCACATGCTGCAGACTGGGCACCTTGACAGGCCTGGCTGGTGTATTAATCAAATAACGAGCTGACATTTCATCTGAGACGGCTTAACTCACCACAAACTTCAGATCAGCTCGACATTTCTCAACATGAATCCCAGTCCGCAGTCATCACATGCTCTGATCGGTTTAACGCCGCTTCCTCAGGAGGGCCGCGAGCTGGTCCGCGCTCAGCACCCGGGCGGCGCCAGGATCGAGGAGTTCCTGGGCCAGCTGGAGGTCCTGTGGGAGGAGCTGCGCAGGAGGCACCAGAGGAACGCCGTGTTTCTGAGGGCCTCAGAGGAGCTGGGCTTCAGGGTAAGATTCATAAAACGGCTCCCAGCAGGCGCCCTTGAGTCATACTGAGGGAAGTTAGTTACTTCTAAAGTTATTGAGGAAATTTATGGTGATGACGGATGATTCTGGATCAGGTCTCTCGTTGTGAGAGGCTTCATGCCTCACGGTTAGAAGCACTTTCATCTTTACCACCTTAATTGGCGAGCAGCATGGTATATCCCCTAAATTTATGAATCCTAATCCAAGGCATATAAATTGTGCTGCCATATAATTCAATTATGGGATGGAAAGAGGCTGCAAATCCCCCCAGATTGATGACTGAGTTGGAAAGCGTGAGTCTTTTATTACAGGAGATGTAAGTCACAGCATGGTCTGCTCCCATACGGTGCGCACATTTCTGTTTCTTTGTGTAGTGCGTCAGTTTTGTTTGTTTTTGCAGCTCCCTGAATCACTCACAAACCCTCCACATAATCAGCCTCTCCCTCCGCTCGCTCTGTAGGTTGTTAAAGTGCTGCAGGCCCTGGGCAGCCTGGAGGCCTGGCTGGAGTCAGTAGAGCTCTCCATGAAGGAGTCGGCGCTGGCCGGAGACCCTGAGACGATGAGCGTGGCTGAGAGGGAGAGCTGTCTGCTGGAGAAGGAGGTGGCAGCGCGCAGCCTGGAGCTCGGCGCTCTGAGGCAGGAGGTGGACCGTCTCCAGGAGCACAGTCACCCGCACACACGGGGCCTGCCAGCTCGCATGGAGGAGGTGGAGAGGAAGTGAGTATGTCAGAAGAGGACAGGAAGAGGTCAGGGGTTTAAGTAACTGCGCTATATTAACGCTGTCAGATTGAATCAAATCTTTGAAAAAAAGTTATTGAAGAGACAAAAAGGATTTTTATCCTGATAAAACCTCCAGTTGAACTTTTCGACAGCTTTCAGCAAAACATCAGCAGAGGACTGGAATCATGCTGGATTACAGGGACAGAGTAGGAAACGTACATGTTTGCCTAAATAAAGTTATTTTTCCTCTTCTTATGCTCTGTACTCTACCTGGAGTCTTTGCTGGTGCTCATCCTTTCTTGGCTTTTCATGTTTGTACATGAAACAGAGGGGAGGTTTGCTCTCTATCCTCAGATCAGAACTTTACTGCCACATATTTTATATTGCATGCACATGATTAGTTCAGTTTGACTAGAGTGATCCGGACTGGACTATTTTTAGCCTTAAATTACTGCATAAGTATGAGTGCTGTAAAAAAAATGAAAGGTTTTGTACCCATAAAATATTTCAGCAACATAAAACTTTAAGGAACTCTGAGGATCTTAAGCCTGCATCCTAAATCAGGATAGAAGAAAGTTAGCTTATCCAGTTCTTGACAGCAAAAGAAAAAACTGTCTTACCGAGTCTACATCGTTTAAACCCCCTCATAAGCAGACCCAGAGGAGCTCCTGTTATGATCTAAACTTTATGACCGGAGGTTTCACTCATCACTGTGGTCAGGAAATAAAATATGTCAGTGTTTCCGAGAGGTCGCAGGGTTGGGCTTGCTCTACAATCCCACGATGGAAGAGTTTATTCATAACATCCACCGTTTTTATTCAAGACAAACAACCTAACCCGATATATCATGAAAATATACATCCATAAGCTGCATTTGTTTCTTCATTAGCAAGTTGGCGAAACATACTCTCTGTGTGCTCATTACAAGGTTTTCCTTACAGTCCCGACATGCACGTCACCCACAACACGTCATTTTGATTTAAATTTGCTCGTTCAGCCTGAGCACGCTGCAGCTGTCTCTTCAGTGTGACGAATCCTGATGGTTCTGGCGGGTTCACTGGACATACCTGTGCCTGTAAACACAAGCTCAAAGGTCTCAGTTGAACAGGGTAGTGCTGTTAGATGAGGGCTGGACTCTGCAGGTAGGGGTTTTTTACTCAGCAGCTGTCAAACAGTTGTGATGATGTCATTATTTAATGCAGCGTATAAGCAACTTAAGGCTCATTTGTTCTGGAGAAAACACCCTTTGAAATCTGTCCCTTCACCGTCTCAAATATAAACTCTGCACCATCATGCCCTGAGGAACAGGACGTGTTTATATGACACATGATATATGATTACATTCGCTGCCCTCAGTGTGCAGCACAGCCTCTGTTATGTGGTTTTTCTGAAGGATGCAGGATGTGGATTACAGCGTCTGTCTGTGTGTGTGTGTGTGTGTGTGTGCGTGTATGTTTCCAGGTACCATCGAGTCCAAAGTGCCCTGACCCAGCAGCACTCAGAGCTGCAGGACACACGGATGCTGACAGAGTTCCTGGAGCGTGTGGAGCTGGAGGAAAGCCAGGAGCTCAGCGGGAGTCAGTACAGCCTCGGCCAGGTGAGACACAGGCCTTAAAGGGGTCGTTTGTTTATCTGAAGTGGGTCCATAACCCACAAAAGAACCCAGCTCCTTTACTGAGAACCACCAGGCAGAGAATCAGGTTATCTAGGGTGACCATATTATGAATCCCCAAAAAGAGGAAAACATCTGCAGGGCGAAGTCGCATGTAGTAAATTTTGAGAGTTTTTCGGGTCGGGTCAAGTGTTTTTTATGTGCTTCTAACTCAGTTAGTCCACGCTACACAAACTCAAAACTTCCATGCAAAACCCTGGACATTTGAAGGATTTTATAAACTCCCCTGGACAAGGCCGGACAGCCCCCCAAAAAAGAGGACATGTCTGGGTAAAAGAGGAGGTATGGTCACCCTACGTTATCAACTGTCAATTTGCTAATTGGTCCCCCGCTGTGAGGGGGAAGGTATCGGACCAGTTCATGCAGACGTATCAGGAATTTGTACATATCTTCAAACATAAACACATATACAAAACCTTCTTGTGTGACCCATGTCCACGCCAAAATCAAACATTTAAAGTTTAAACTTCATGTGATGAAAACTCTCTCTGTGTCTTTCAGCCTCTTCACAGCGAGATCTCATCAGCTCCTGCACTACTGGGACTCCAAAGCAGCAGCGGGTGTGGTTCAGAGCCCCTGATCGAAAGCATGGGAGACCCTGTGGAGGAACTCCGGGAAGCCGTAGAGATGCTGAATGACACCGTGAGGGAAAGAGGCCGATCACAGAGCCACGATCAGGCCATTCAAGAGCTGCTGAGAAAGGTCAGAGGAGGGGAGTCGATGGTTTCAGTGTTTGTTTATATCCAGCCTCGCTGATGCTGAAGGCTTTTTAAGTCCCTCTGCTTTTGGCACAAACAGCTGCACAAACCCACGGAGCCACATCTGGTTTGCTTTGTCTGTGGTTATGTACTTTAATAGGCCCCAAACGAGCCACCACTCCTCCTCGCATGAGTGTTTTTGCACTAATTCGTTTTATTCTTGCGCTCATGTCAAAATAGCACATGCACTCACACCCGCAGGGGACTCCATGACACCATTTTAAACACTAATTTGCAATGTGGCTCTCATTGGAAAACAAATAATACACAGTGAAGCATAATGACTTAATGACAGCCTGCGTGTGCTCATGATGACTTTCTGCCTCTCCAGTATGCCAGCCTGGCTGTGCGAGTGGAGGAGAGCCTGTCCTGCAGCAAGGAGCTGAGTCTGGACATCCTGGAGAGGGAGACAGACATGGCCGTCCAGTGTGAGCCGGAGCGCTGCGGCCTCGAGGCTCTGCAGGCAAAACAAGACCAGCTGGAGGTGAGAGGAGAGCGCATGTTGCGATCATGTTTTAGTCATTTGATCAGATTAAGTCGAGCTAATACAATCCAGTACTCCATGTAGAGTAGGTGTAGAGGACATAGCTTCTCTCATCCGTCGGTTTGTCATCTGCTTTTGTAAGTCTGACCATGCTGGTTTCCCGGAGCCAGAGGTGAAAATATTTGGATGTTAGGGTGGAGTTTGAAAGCAGTCAGGGTTAGCAACGCTGAGTTTAACAGCCTCTGCCCATGACTCATTCATTAGCTGGGGAATAAGCCGGTGAACCATCGGGTTTCACACGGAGGGAGATTATTGTGTTAGGAGCCTACCTGAGTTGTTTATCTGTTGGACTAAATGAGCTCAGAGAGCCCGAGGAACAAAGCGGATCTGCTGCTACCCACATGTCCTGTGGACCAATAAGTGTTGATAGAACGGTATTATCTGCTAACTACGGAAAAAAGGGGGTCTATTTATCTCAACAGTCCGTGATCTGCAAGCCAGGTGTGATGAGCACAGACACAGAGCTCAGTCAGTTACCTTCTGTGCATCCAAATAGATTTTCTATCTTACCTGCTTAAACCTGAGAGCTTCCCTCAATGCAACCTGCTGCTGCTTTTTAGACTGAGTCTGATTTCAGCCACATTCAATGTAATGTCACTAATCTGTGTCTTTGCTGCCGCTCTACCTGACTTTGCTTCAGTGCTTGTACATAACAACAGAAAGGAGATGTGCTATCCCGGTCTCAGGCGTCTGCATTTTCACGTATGCATGTGACAGTCCAGGGGAGCACTCAAACAAGTAGAGCTGGGCGATATGGCCCCAAATCAATACCATGATATATTGAGCAGTTCACCTCGATAACTATAAATGGACGATAACTACTCCACAAGCTGCTCACCCCCTCCCACATTAACTTCGTCTACTTCAGTCGCAGCGCCAGCCGCTACAACTTTGAACCATCCTCCATCTCCTCACCTGTCTTTACCACTTTGTTACTGACTGGATGGGGTGGAGTCAAGTCTCTGATGTAGGACAGCATCTTAAAAGGAACATGAGATCGTAACCTACCTACACACATCCAAAACCAACTTTTATTTTTTTATTTTTTTGACACCAAATATATTGATATGGGCAAAATGATGTCAGTTATTGTAAGTTTTTGGTTTATCGCCCAGCCCTACAAAACGCAGCCTTACTGCCAAATACAATTCTCTGCATGTAAATGATGATTCTTATTGACTTTAGGGAAATGAAAGTATAATTTGAGAGGGTGTAAAACTATCTGTCAAACTTTTTGGGCGCTTAATCTAGTGAAGCACACAGCAAGACAGAGTATTTGTCTGATATTCACCTGCCATTATTGTATATAACTTTTATCCTTATTATAACGTAAACAGGTGAGTTACATAAGGCTGCAGAGTTAATTCGACTCTAAAGACTGTTAAACCCTAAACATGCTCATTCCTGCTGTGACATTATAACATGCGGCTCTATGGGGACTGACTCACATTTAGAGACAGCCTCTTGAGGAACTGCAGTGTTTGGCACCTCTGAGCTGGCACGCTTTCTGTTTTGGAGGTTTTTACCTGATACCATCTCCATGACTTTGTTTTGTGGACCTTTAAACTCGGTATAAATAAAAAGAGGAAGCCCCCCCACATCCACACACATACACATTGTTCCACAGCCTGTTTCCTGTTGTGCCAGACTTTCTCACATCTAAAAAAGAGCCGGCCCACCCTCTTTGTGCTGTGTGTGTGTGATTTATCGTGTAAACTGCACCATGATATACACATACAGAGCGTGCAAAAGTTTATTATTCACACAGGATATTTATTTATGCCAGTGTGAGTCATTCCTCCAGTAGATCAAAAAGAGAGAGTGTGTGTGTTTGTGAGAAAATCTGGAGGGGTGTGTTTCGCTCCCCAGGGGGTCATGGGATGGAGGTGTGAGTTTGGTTGATGGTAAAGTTGTATGTGAGTCATTTTTTGGCAGCGGCGTGTTTATCACACGCACACACAGCTGTCTGGACTTGATACCGCTGAAGAGCAGAAATGAGCTAATCTCCCAAACTGAAATGAGCGTGTCGTCAGCAGACAGGCATCCGCGGCTCCGCGTTCAACAGGCGTACTGTAGCTGAGAAACATTATGGGGTATTTTTCCCAGAGAACCCTCAACACTATTAATTACCGCTCGCCAAACCGAGAGAAAAAGGCGGTCAAGATTGCTAGCTTGCTTTAGCACAGCAGCCCATATGCAGACCATATGCCTATCCTGCTGAATAATACCCATAAAGCTGTGAGATGAGGTCATGCACAGATACAATTGGTACAGGCTGTCAGAGTGATACGGTGCATGATGGGAGATGACAGATTTGTATTGTGATCCTCCACAGATCGACTATGAAGTCATCAGGGAGGAGGTGAAGGAGGTGGAGGACCAGGCCTCCCGGCTGGAGGAGCTGTGCCCAGAGAGAGTGCACGCGCTGGGGGCGAAGATCCAAGCGATGCTGCAGGGCTGGACGGAGCTGGACAGGAGTGTGGCGGAGAACAAATCCCATCTGCAGGAGTTTGTGAAGCTGCAGGACTTCTTCAGGAGCTACCTCGGCATGATGTAAGCAGAGGGGAGGGAATCATCGGAGACCCTCACATGCAAAATGATCACTTAATAGGAGTGTGGTTTTTTGCACGCAAGATTTTCGCTCAGTTTGATGATTACACAACAGCTGTTTATTGGCTCTTTTTTTAAAGCTGCAAGTTTATACCCAGAGAAAAGCTTCTTGGGATGGAACACTTAGACCAGTTCAGGCCAGTTTAGACCGGTTTAGGCCAGTTCAGGTGTTTATATGCAAGAGAAAATTGACCATCATCTAGGTATGCCTAAGTAATGAAGCAGCCAAAAGTTGAACACGTTTGTTAACACTGCAACAAAGCACAGCTTGCGTATTAAGGTACGATATTCCTAATATGACAACAAACAGTGTACAACCACGATTCGCAAAACTGAAAATGCTGAGTCAGTGCTTTGTGGAAAAATTAACCCTTAAAAAGCTGATGCTGTTTTATAACCAGGAGAGGGCAAAAACTCTTAACATTGTAAAACATACTCTGTGATTGATGAAACAGTAGTTTTATCAAAGACTGGTTTTTAGGGTCTGTGTTTTGATACAGTAACATTATGCAAACATGACGATACTCTGCTGTATATGGATATTTTCATCCTAGCCTTAAGGCGCAGGGCGTGAGGAAGTTGTGACCTCCTCTCCGGATAGACTCTCGTCATCCTCAATGAGAACATCTGCCCATTACGGTGTCTCGTAAAGGAAAGGACAGGATGTTCTCGTTTGTCAAGAACAGGTCCCTGGTGAAAAGTGTAGTTTAAGATGTGCTGAGGAGGTCAGCGGGAGTTTCCTGGGCCGAGTGTGACAAAGTGATGAATGTCGGCGTTATCAGGGAGAGTCTGCTTAGTCTCAAACCTTTTTTTCTTCAATGACGGGGTCCCTCACAGCTCTGCTACCCCCTCCTCTCCTCTTAACAGCTCATGGACAGAAGACACCAGGTCGCACATCTTCTCTGACACCGTCTTGTATCTCGGGAAAGATGGCCAGAAGCCGCTGGCTGCAGAGCTGGACCTGCAGATCGAGGAGAAGTTTGAGGAGTTTGACGAGCTGGTGGCCAGGGGGAGGAACATTTTGCACAAAGAACACCACCTCACACAGATGGTGAGGGAAAATCACACCCATGTTATTTCGATGTTTTCCATTTAAACCTGCTGGTACAAACCCTGAGTGATGTCTCGCAGGTGAGAGAGCGCATGGAGGAGCTGAGGAGCATGCTCGGCTGGATCTTGGTGCATTGGAGGGCTCAGAAACAGCAGTGGCTTCTCAAGAAGAGGAGAGAAGAACCTTCACAGGATAACATTTATTCTGAGGCCACATTGTGTTCTCCGCTAACAGAGGTAAATGAACTGGGAGATATTAAAAAGGAGACAAATATGAGTATAACTACCTTAAAAATGCAGAACTCCACCATTTTTACATTTCATGATAGACAAAAAGAAAGATTTCTCCTACAAAATAATCCAAAACACATGACCAACTTTCAGAGGTGCATCAAAAATTAGTTTTACCGATCAGTGTAATATCTGTTATTTCTTCGAAACAGAATCCAGCTCCTGAAATAGAGGCCTACCAGTCCCATCAGTCCCCAGTCAACATCTATGATGAAGACAGGCCAGGTGCAGCAGGAGAAACCCCTCCTTCATCCCTGCAGCTCAGACAGGCTGAGTATCCGGAGGAGAACCAGCTAGACGACGGGTACGAGGTCATGAAAAGCATCGGACCACCAGGTGGAGACGCCACCTCCTCAGAGTCTCCAAAATCCTCCATCGTGGTCCTCAAAGACCCCGGCAGCCCTGCTTTAGGGGGCACGGTCAACCTCATCCTCAGCTTTGCTAACACAGGGGACAGCCAGGTTCAGGTGCTGGACCCACCTGCTGGGACTGATGAGGTAGTGGAGGAGAGCTGTGAGCCGGTCCACAGGGTGAGAGACACACTTCTAACTCATTACAGAAGTTACAGATCAGACCTGACCAATCACCATGATCGATATGATGATGTTGTAGGGAAAAGGGGCGGAGCTAGATGATGCTGTGAGATGCTCATGACTGAAGTTGGTACAAAAAATGAATCTTGTTCTTGGTAAAAGCAGGTGATACATTTTCAGGTTAGAATGCACCAGCGAGTTTCCTGCACGTAGACGACACCTGAGCAGTAAATGAAAGAGACTTTACCATCATTTTAGGATTTCTCTGTTCACTCTTTCTCTTCCTGTGAACCTCAAAACCAACAGGATCTTGGCATCACAATGAAAATGTGGTATTGTAGATAACTGCGCAGTAACACCACATTTGCTCAAAACTGGAAACTGAATTTTGTTGACATCTCTTCTATCATCTGACAGAGTTTCCTGGTTCACAAATGTTCTGCTCCTGAAAAAAATGAGTGTCAAACTTGTAGTAAACACAAAAAACACAAGCCAAACCACATTGAGTGTGATTGCAGTGGTCAACTTTGTGTGACAGTGAATCTAGGACGCTGCCAAACAAAGCTAAAATCTGTGGTTTGGCTTTAAACAGCAATACAGTAGTTTACTTATGTACAAGCCAAACCACAGAGAGTACAGATACTGCGCTCATGTATGAGGAGCGATGTGATAAAGGAGGTTTCTGGAAGCCTCAACCCTTAAGATCGATCAGGTTTGAGTAGGAACAGTGAGGGAATTCATGCCCACATTTAAATAACAGATGCTGCACTTTGTTGTTAAAACTATACCAACAGCAAAGTGCAGTATCTGCAGTTTTTGGGGTTTTCATCACCATATTTGTCTTGCCAGTCCAAAAACCGCTGAACCTGACCTCGGAGGGGCGGCATTAGGGGCTTTTTCCTCCTGAAAGATTTTTCTCTGTAATGACACTGCATGGGATCTCCCGCTGCTTTTCATTCCTCCCTCTCTTCGGCCTTCACATCCTCCTTTTCCCCCCGTTTTCTCCCTCAGCCCACTGTTCCTCATCCTTCTGCCTGTAAAAGCTTTTGGAGGCGCTGCCAGGGGCTTTTGGAAAATACTTTGGGTAGCTTAAAGCGAAAGAAAAAGATTTATCGGCAGAGTGCAAACGAGGTAAATCGCGCGTTGTGAAGTGACGTTTGCATGCTGCGTCTCGAAGTGTGCACGGACTGCATGCTGGGTGAGGTTGCTGTTTCAGGGCGGCATGCTTTACTAACTCATGTTACAAGGTAGAGCCAGGCTGAAGCTTCAACCTGGGCTGGTGTCCTGTTTATAATCTGGTTTAAATACAATGTACAAGTCTTGACTAAGCACAATTTAAGCGTCTTTTAAGTGCAAAGAGAAGTTTGAAAGAGCAAACAAGCAGTGAAAACTTAAGTGGATCTTTTAAAGTGAAAGTAAGCAGATCCCTTTGTACAATTATCTGTCAGGAGTCATTTTCCTCTTCAGCGTGTTCTGTACAAACTCCGATGAATGAATAAATCCCCAGCTGACACTCAGACAATTAATCAGTATGTTCATATCCAACTTTCCTCTGACGAAACTTTTCTTTGGACCTGGACTCGTTCAGTGAGTCTGGATTTCTGCCTGGAAGCTCTGATGACAGAGACAGAATGAGGGTGATGAGTAAGAAGCGCACCCGCCGCCCTCCTCCTCCCGCTGTGGATGTTGACAGACACTCTCTCTCCTCCCTCTTGTCGTTTCACCCTGATGTGAGCCCGCTCTTGTTCTGCTCTCTGAGGCGGTGCCACGACGACGGTGTAAAATAAGTGACCTCACCCTCACTTCCTATGAAACCTGCGCTCCAAAATGGCTCCCAGCAGGAGCGTGTCCTTAACGCCAACACAAGCGCGGTCATTAGACAAGGGAACTGGTGCTGAACTCTGCAGAAAGGCCCCCAGACTGCACAGCGTGATTTATAGTCTGGGGCTTCCACAGAAACAAGAGATTAGTCACAGAGTTGAAAGGTCAAACCATTACAGCTGCACATGACGGCATGTTCAGCCACATGTGATTCTGATTAGGATCTACAGGCATGCAAATGAAATCATGTCCATGTCCCTTTGTCCTCTTATCAGCAGTTGTTTTGTCCTTTGTGTTGTTTGAAACATCTGTGTTGTGTTTTAGGTTTGTGTGTTTCTGAATTCATTGTTTTTCTTCGCCTTTAACTCATTGTTTTTGCAAAGGTTGCTGTGTTAAAGGAATAGTTTGGGTTTTTGTGAAGTAGGTCTCTTAAAAGTTCTTATTAACTATAAGATTACAACATACAGAAACAGTCAGCATGGTCCCTGACTTCCCTGGTCTCTGTAATTATGGCACAAGATTCTGTAAGGTGACGATCGCTTTAGCTGAAGCTGCTCCAAAATGTAGAACAGGACCACTCTACATGTAATATTCACTTCTGCCTTGTTCACTTGCATCACAGTGAATAAAAATTCTGCATTTTTAAAGTTTTTGGCCTCGCAGATGCAAATAGATGGAGAAGAGCATTGGACCGAGTATAGAGCCCTGGGGAACACCACAGGAAATAGGCACAGAGGAAGATAAGATATTCCATTATTAGTCCCACAGGGGGATATTCCAAATTATAGCAGCATAAGTACAAAAAAGAGAAATTAAAGGATAAAGAAACTTAGAGTTAAAAAAAAGATATATACATGAGTCTTATTTACTATATACATGTGTACAGAACATACAAATGTGATTTATTCTGTTGTGGAATCTGACAGCTGCAGGAAGGACTGACCTGCGATACCTCTCCATCACACACTTCGGGTGGAGCATCCTGTCCCTTAAGAAGCTCCTCAGTGCAGTGAGTGTGTGTTAGATAGTTGTGAATAGACACCGAAAGAGCCATAAGTTCGAGCTTCAAGGTTTACTTTATTGTTATTTAAACCATGAAGGATGAAAACTATCACCCAGGTCCAGCATTAACAATCAATAAATGATAATAAATAGTATGATAAATAATGTTGAGATAGATTAAGAAAGTTAGTTCAAGGTAGAACCAGAGTGTCACAAAAATGACTCAAACAAACATGGAGGACCTAAAATGCAGACAATACAATAGTTTTATTTAACCAAAGACCGAAAAAAAACCACAAATAGGTGAGAACCAGAAAATCAAACCAAAATCCACTGTGTAGAGGAAACAAAAAGGGAAACACAGAGACTTTGCACCTTTTCCATAAGCAGACATTTGAGGGAATTACCCATAATTCATTACACTTTGTTGTGACCACAGGATTCATATACTCAGTCACTTCTAAGGCGATGTAAATTAAGTCGTGAAGGGCTCAGAGGTTTGGGAGGGGATTGAGATTCAGACTTTAAACACACTGATCCGGTATTCAGCCGTGCACAGCATCCACTCAGGACTATGCTGACTGTTATCTACTGTAAATAAGAACCTCACTTGAAAAAACCCAAACTATCCCTCTGAGTGTTGATTGATTATAATGAAACTTGATATGTGTAATCGCTAATATCCTTCTCTGTTTACAGGTAAGTACGTACCTGCATGTGAAGGATAACAACATGTCAGCGGCTCCTGTGTATGAGAGTATCACCCTGCCCCGCCAAAAGAGCCGCTCTGCAGCCTCAGCCTCCCCCACTTTCTCCTCATCGTCCTCCTCCTGCTCCTCCTCGCCGTCTTCCTCAGTGTCCGCTCCTCAGGCGGCCAATGTGACCTTTCACCCTTTGACGGGGAGCAGCAGCGGCTCCATCTTCAGCAGCCTGAAGAGGATGGGCAAGAAAAGGAAGAAGAAGAGAGACGCACGCAGACACACCATTCAGAAAATCATGGGAGTGGAGGAGCGGACAGAGAGCCGGCGTCGGTATGACTGCGAGACGATGATATACGACACGCACACGTGGCCTCTGAAGGAAGCTAGGAGGAAGAAGAGCTCACCAAAGAGCGGGGCTGGAGCAGAAGCTTACGTGAAGAACCCTCTGCTGACCGACATCGATACTGAGTGTTCAGGAGAGTACAGCATCACTCCTTACGCCGTCTCAGAGGGGACCAACACCCTGCTGTCTACAAACCCTGTCAGGAGCCACTGCAGGTTCCTCTCTCTAGGCTCCACATTGAGCTTTGACCTTCCTAAAGACATGACGCTCATCCCCAGCATCCAGGACATCATCACTATTGCCCCTCCTGAGTCTAAAACCGGAGCGGGGACAGATCCAGATCCCCTCTCGCAGAGACACTCAGCCCTCAGCTCCTTCAAGCAGACTCGAGCTGCTCCTCCTGCTGCCCTCACATGCTCTCCTTCAGCTGCTGCTGTAAAAGATCTCCCTGATGTGGACACAAGCTTTCAAACACCTCCTCCTCTGTCTGCAGGAGAGGAGGAGGATCAGACGGTGCCATGCAACGACCTGCTGACAAGTGAGGAGGGTGTGCAGGAGGATGCAGAGCAGGAGTGGGACCAAATGTCATCACAGGTCAAAACAAGCACAGCCCAAAGAGACGGGTCCAGCCAGTCTGCACAGATCCCTATTTATGTAAACCAACCCCAGCCTGAACACAAACATGGCTGCCTGAGCGTGCACACGCTCATTAAAGACCTGAAAGGACACGTGTACCATAAATGTTCAAGACCACACAGCCTTCACGAGGATGGTCCCGGACTTTACTGTCAGAGCCAGGCGTCCCACATGGTCGTGAACTTGAAGTCCACAGTGAACGTGAGTGTTCGCCAGGACTCTGTGGACTCTGGGATCTCCACCTCCAGCAGCATCAAGCTCTGCACCGACGCTCCGAGTCAGGAGAGCCTGCAGCCCAAAGGGGTGGTGGGGAGGCTGGTGTCCTTAGAGGTGGGAGGTGTAGAGTGCGCTAAAAGAAAGGAGGACTCTGTGACACCGCCAAATCTGGATCAGTCCACAAACTCTGCCGAGGTGGAGACAGACCACGTCCACCTCGACCACCAGCAGTTTGAGGAGGAAGAGGAGGAGCTGGAGGACATCTGGAACCAGAAGAGTAACTACAGACAGAGCATCTGCTCCGACATCATGTACCAGCCCAACCAGGAGGAACCTGGACCCCCAGAGAAAATCACAGACCCCCCCTCTTCTTCACCGTCCTCTCAGACCTCCTCTGTGCTCTACAGGAACCAGGCCACAGCCTCAGCACCGAACCTCCTTGTGGCTGAGTTCAAACTGCCCCCCCACATCCAGAGCCTGCTGGGTTACGACAAAGAGCAGAGTCCCAAAGGTCACCTCCCCCCGCTGGTCGCAGGAGACAGGAGGTCCTGGGCGGCTTTTCCTCACCGAGAACTGGCCAATAAGAGCTTAGTGATGGTGAACGAGACGGCGTCCGACCCGGTGAAGCTGCCGGACATCAGGGACAACCAGAGATACATTTATCAATACAGAGAGGACGAAGAGGAGGAAGAGGAGGAGGCAAAGGTGGGGGAGGAGGCGGATGAGCTCGCAGGCTGTGTAAAGGTGAGGTTAGCGTTAAAAAATCTGCTGTTGAAAAAATCATTTCTGTATTTATCTTTAAGTTAAAAAATGATGAAACCGACACAGGTATCTGCTAATCTACTTCGGTTTCTGGAAGGTATTTAGTAAGTAAAGTTTTATTTAAAGAGCGCTTTTCACAGATAAAAATCACAAAGCGCTGTACATAAAAAAGTGCAATTAGATAAACATAAAACAGTACAAAAAGATAAGTACATGTACATACATAAATATGAATACAGTACAGTGAATATGGAAATAAGTGCAGATATAAAAGATAAGTAAAAGAGATAAACTAAACCCTGTATTGAAAGCTTGTCTAAATAAGAGTCTTCAACTACTTTTTAAAAGTATCCACTGAGTCGATCAAACTGAGGGAGAGGGGCAGATCGTTCCAGAGTCTGGGGGCTACCGTCTTAAAAGCCCGGGGTCTCCCCAAGTTTTAAAACGGGTCTTCAGCTCCATTAGGGTGCTCTGGCCTGACGTCCCAAGGATGCGCCCTGGGGAGTAGGGGCACAACAAATCACAACAAATCAGTGATATATTGGAGGGGGCTGACCATGAAGTGCCCACAAAGTTAGAACTAAAATTTTAAAATTAATACGGAAACTGACCAGTAGCCAGTGAAGGCGTGATGGGACCGGGGTGATGTGAGCAGATTTGGGCGTGTCTGGCGACTAAGTTTTGGACAAACTGGAGCTTCTTTATTGCCGCCTTATTTAAACAGATGAACAGAGAATTACAGTAATCAATACGGGATGAAATAAACGCATGAATGATCATTTCAAAATCTGGTTTCGTCTACATTCTCCTCACTTTAGAGATATTTCTCAGGTGATAAAAACAATTTTTGGTCAATATTTGGCCATGCAATGAGTTCTCCTACAAAGTCATGTTTATAATGCAATGATCCCTGTAAACCTGAATGTAATTGTCATCCAGGATCATTTCTCATCCTTTTGTACAGAGATTTCTTCAGAATCTCTGAATCATTTCTCCTGACAGACTCAGCCTCTCCTGAAAAGCCTTTTTAATACCCAGTCATGATACTCACCTGTTCCAAATTAAGCTCGTTAGGAGGCAGATGTTCCTCCAGGTGTTTCTAATTATCAGTTTTTTTTGCCTTCTCTGTTGAGGGCATTAAATTTCCGTATGACTTTGTTTGATTTTAAACAAATTTCACACAAAAATCTTAAAATCTGTTCACAAAGTGTCCCAACTTCTTTGCAGTTTGGGTCGTATATCAGATTTCCAATCGATCAAGACAAGAATAAATCGACTCAAATGTTCAAGTCTGTTCTTTTTATGAGAGGATACAACTACACAGTCTTTGCCTTTCGCCTTGTCTCTCTGATCAGGACCAGTCCATGAGCCTGCTGTCAGTCCACATGGGAGCAGATGGAGACTCTCAGCACAGAAACACCTCTCAGATCATGGAGACGCAGGGAGACTCGATGGCCACCAGAGGGCGCTGTATCACACTGGTGAGAGTCTCTGCATAGTGTGAAGCTGGGTGTTCAGGAATGTTTCTTTCTTTTTGTCTGAATGTTGGTGTGAATTTAAACCTCTCAGAGCGGGAAGCCTGAGCTGCAGTCCATGGAGGGAACTCTGGAGAGGAAACACAAGCTGCAGTTTGGAGGAAAGAAAGTAAGAAAGCCTCCGTTCAGGGTTTGAGTCGGCAGACGCGGAGCTCACAGTCAGCAGCACCAACCTTATCTTATTTTCACAGGCCACCTCCAGAGGCTGGAACAGCTTCCACGCCGTCCTCTATAGACACACCTTATGCTTCTACCAGGACAGAAAAGACACACTGCGGGTGAGCGGGGTGACACATTAACGAGAAACTGAAATAAGGAGTAATCCAAACAGATTTCAGGAAGTCATTCTGATCGATTTGTCCTGCAGAGCTCAGCATGTGGCCTCCCGCTGAACCTCCTGGGAGCCGAGTGCACACCTGCACCCGAGTACACCAAGAAGCCCAACTGTTTCCGACTACAGTAAGACTTTAATCACAATGAATCACACTTTATACATTCTACATATTTACAGAGTACGATTGACGGAGAGTCAGCTGTGTGCTTCTGGAGATGGTAATAAAAATCTCTCACCGCCCTCAGGCTCCGCGACGGCTCCGAATATCTGCTCAACGCCTCATCTCGCTTCATGATGAAGAAGTGGATGATGAAAATACAAGCGAACACAGGTGAGATTAGAGGAGGTAAACTGTGTAGATGTCAAACTTTAACCTTCAGTAATATCAGGAATAATCCCAGTGAGGTTCAAAATATCTTGTGATTAAAAAACAGCAGAAAGTATTTTGTGAAAGGACTTGACTGACTCACTTTAGTTTGATCTTTATTTCTCTCTCACGTACCCAAAAGTGTAAAATCAAAATTAAGAAATAAAAGAGTAACGTTAAAGGTTTCTGTTTTGTTTTTTCTAAAGATCACACCGAGTCCATCTCACCGTTGTCATCTGTCCTGGCTAATTCAGACTTCTCCATCTCTCTGTAAGATTTATTGCTTTATTTGTCCCAGAGTTAAAGAGCCTCTCAGTCTTACTCTGATTAAATGTTTAGCAGTAATAATATCAGTTTCCCTCCCCCCGTACAGAAAGTCCTCCCCGTGCCCTGCCTGCCACAGTATTTCCAAATGCTCCTGCCCCTCCCAGCATGAAGTCACCTCCACAATCCCGAGGCCCAAACCGCTCAGCGCCTCCCAAACCAAAGAGATCGTTGTCCTGACCCGGGAGTTCAGTCACATGCAGCAGAGCGGTGTGAGGAGTGTGGAGGAGCCGTCGGCGGCGTCCTCCTCATCCTGCTGTGGTGAGGACAGAAACTATATTTCCTATTAGAGGGTTTATCTACTCCTCATTCACACTCAGAGGAAGCTCCACCCTCCATTGTTGGTCGCTGCACACCCCTCTGAGACTCAGCAGTTCGAGGATCCACTCCTCTTTGGTTGTTATTGATTGAACAGGAGTTTTATTCATTTTTTCCCACAATGACTTCATCCTCTGAGCTGGATTTGCTTCTGTGTTTACTCTCCAGGGGGTTGTTGAGTAACAAAATGAGTTCAGGATTTTATTATTAATTGTAGCAATGTTTCAGTCCTCTAACCACTGAAGAAAAACATGAATGACTGCTGCAGGCAGACTTAGTGCCACAAGGGGGAGCTGTGTTATTGTTACACTAAAATTCAATCAGCACAGACCCATGGTGATTTCTGTGTGGCCTTTAGAGTCAGCTTTGTAGGATTTAAATATCAAAAGATTCATGAAATTATTAATGTATCTTCATCAGAAAACTTGTAGAGGAGATCCACCCTGGAAAGCTTGACATTAGTATGACTCCATATAGTAAATGAATGAAAGATTAAGCAACAGATCCTTGCTGCCTGGACTACATCCATCAAATATAAGCTTCATTAAAAGAGACATAATACACGCTTTCACCTTTCATTACATCAGTCTGGAACACCTGGAGAGTTGCTTTGCAAAGTACTTTTTAGTTTAGTTGAGTTTCACATGATTAATATTCATTTTTTTGAGTTATACTTCTGCTTTTAACAACTGTCTGTCTGTCTGCAGAGGATGACAATGGTGGTGATGATGAAACCAGTCTAAAGCAGACAATGACTCATCGTCTATCTGGGACTCTCAGAGGAAACACCTCCGTCTCTCCTCACTCCCCAGTCTGCAGCGATCAGGATTGGCTCAGCAACAAGCGCCGCTCCCACTCCTTCACCTCAGGTTAGCTCTCGGCGATAAAGCTCGGTGATTTATCCTGTGCCAGTGGATCATAAACAGCTGATTGTTTTTTTTCTTTTTGATGTGGGTCATAAAAACATAATTGTTTCCGCTGATCACACAAAGCTGATTTTTGTGTTTTTTTTACTCTCAGCTACTTTTCAGAAAATCAAACCTGTGTGGCACGCCGCCGGAGGCCGAGGCATGGAGAGGGGCTCAAACTACTGTGTGACTCTGGTTGTAGGGGACAAGACGTCAGAGGGTCTGGGTTTGAACAGGAACACGGAGCGCCCTCTGATGGCTTCAGCTGGTTGGCAGCAGGACGTCTGTCAGGACTCTCAGGCTCTGAGGAGCTACACCAGTCTGCCACGTCCCCGCAACAAATCCGTCTTCAAAAAGTTCTTTGGAAAGAGGGACGTCTGAGGCCACAGCAGGAGTTTGATATAAATAAAAAGTTTGATGGAGAGTTTGTTAAGTGCAGTGCACGTGTTTGTTGAAAGCAAAAAAGCTACTACTGACTGTATTTATGATCCAAAGAGCTGCCACAGTTTATTTCTGAATCACTTCATCGTCTATAAAGTTTTTTTTTTTGTGAGTGTTTATTTTTTTTGTAAGTTACAGGAATATGACAGAGTGTCAGTCTCACAAACAGAAACAATCAAATGAATAAACAAAGTCCTAATCCTATGAGAACAAAGTTGTAACATTATAAAACTAACCTTCGTCATATGTGTTATACGCCTCGGGGAATAACACCAACTTTTGGTATAAAAATGACTCCAAACCAAAACTTGTTCAACAAACTCAATTTTTTGGGATGTTCTTGAAATTTCTAATGGATGAATGGATGGGTGTGTGCTGAAAAAAAGTCTCTTTTTCCTCGAGGGGGAATCAGAAAAAGGCCTTGAATATATCTGGCTGTTCTTATACATGCAAGGAAGTAAGGAAATTAAAGTGCTGATTGCTTTAAAACTGGGGTAGGCAGGAATCCGTTTTTTGTGGTGTCTATACAAAAAGCTTTTAATATCAGTCAATAGCTGTTTGTTATTGATGACATTTGGGAATATCGCGATACCACTGTGTTCTCTTATGCCTGTGTAGATGATATTTTAAAAATTAACGGTCCGCTCGTTCTAAATTTTAAACAACGCTGTTCTCCACCTCCCCGACCTGATTGGTTGTGACGCGGACACTGCTCATAGTGCTGATTGGTTGTGAGGCAGACTCTGCTCCCTCGTGCTGTGAGGCACGCTCCACGATTAACGTCCACAAGCCTGAACAACGTTAGCGCGCAACAAGATCGGACGGTAACCAACCAGAAAGAACGGAAAATTGTCTAAATCCTCCTTTGACTGCGACTGTCGACACAAGCAAGAAAACGAAGTAAATACCGGAGACTCTGGTGGAATAACGGGCGCGTAAAAAGAGCCGAGTCAACATCAATGAAGCTAGCATAAACGATGGGGGATGCTTCGGGATCTTACGGACCCTGTAACATTTCTGCTGGACAGGTAAACCGCCTTAACAAAGTAAGACAAGTATCTGAAACCGAAGTGTTTCTTGTCAAATGGGACCTGCTGCGTGTTGTAGCACCGCTAAACTGTTTACCTCGGGTCCTGGAGTATGACACTTCATCCTAGTTGTAGAAGTCTTGGCCTCTACAGTAGCACCAATGCATTTTACTTTCATGTTGACTGTACCCCGTTTGTAATTATCTCAAATATTCATCTGCATTATATCGGAATTTAATTGAAACGTTACAAACGAGCAGGAGCGTCTGTTTGTGGGTGGGGCTTGCTGGAGCAGAGAGGAAGGGGAGAGGAGGGGAAAACTGGTTGGGAGCGGTAGAGTTCACGTTCAAGCTTGCTCCCCAAAACTGGCACTTCCTCAGATCCTGCCTTCCCCACCTTTAAGTTCAAAGTTGTCTATATGTGTGTCTCAGAAAGCAACACTTGTATGCCTGCTTCCGCTCTCCATACAGAATATTTTGTATATTATGTATATTTCTGCGGACAGCGAAGTCTGCTGAATTCTGAAACCAAAACACTCCCCCATATCTAAATCTCTCTATCGATCCCACATTTTTGTACAAAATCTGTTTGGAAGATTATTTATGATCAGAAAGTATGTAAAACACTCCTGTTGACAACAACCTCAACCACTGCAAAGTTACAAACTGCAGCGACTTTGGTTAGAACTTTTTTCTCCTAGAATTAAAACTTTGTTTTCATATTTTGGGATTTTAAGTATCAGTTTAAAACATCTGTTGTATTTTTCATCACTCTGTCCCACAGGAGCAGTTCTGTGCAAGTGTACACTGTGTAGTTTGCAGATTTTAGTCATTAGAAAAGTTTTATTACCAGATGTACTTCTGTTTTCTTTATTTCTCTTTTGTTTGTTGTGTTATGGGTTTTTCAGTCTGTGTACAAAGTTAACCTCCCTGCTCGATCCATAGCCAGTTTAGAAACCGAATTTCAGAGACGAGTTTGTTCCAACCAGTTTGTCTTAACTCAGTTGTGACCAAGTGTTAAAAATGTCCTGAAATGAGCCCCATCATTACATCTCTCTTTTGCATAAGCAGTGTGCTCTTTCATTCTTAAATCTGCAGGTTGACACTGCTCAAATTGGTGTACTATCAACACTTTTAAAATACTAAAGATATTCATAATAAACATAATTTTGAAAAATGGTTGGCATCAGCTGTGATAATGCATGAAGAAATTTATTTTCAAAGCTGTTGTTGTGAAAATCGTGCATCACTCGGGCTTTGTTGTGCTCTGGAGGCTTTGAACATGATTATATTATGACTAATATAGTCATCTATACATTATACATTATAGATGACTATAATATAATGACTATATTATAGTCATCATATTATAGTCATATCTATGGTCATCGTGACTTTAAAACTATATAGTAGTCATCATGACTATATTATAGTCATTAATTATAGTCATATATGACTATATTATGACTAATATAGTCATCTATATACATTATACATTATAGATGACTATAATATGATATGATGACTATAAAATGATGAGTATAGTATTGATTGATTATATAGTAATTTATATAGTAATTTATTATAGTCATATGACTTTAAAATATATATACTATTATAGTTATCTTTAATAGCCATGACTTTGTTGTTGATGACTATTTTATGACTAATATAGTTATCTATACAGTCATAAACATTATAGATGACTATTATATGCACTTATAAGTCATCACTTTTCTAGGTATCTTGTTGGTTAATGTCTTCAAAGTTTAACCCACATCTGACTACCTGCCTCATAACCCCCCCCATTTTACCTCTGGAAACACCAGGGGGAAACCTCACCCCCTGGGCCTGGTTCCCCAGGATTTGCTTCAGGATCTTCTGTGTGTCGAGCCGGTTTCAAACCCAGGCTGACCTCCTGACTCACATTTGGGTGTTAGTTGTCTACTGCGCTGCGCCACCAGATACCATCCACACTTGGGGATGAGCTCCGTGTGCTTTTACCTACTACTTTGGCTCCATGCCTTTAAAATTCACCTCGGCCCGAATAAGACTTGAACCCACAACTTCAGGAGTCCCAGTCAGTCTTCTTATCCTCTGAGCCACATGGACACACGGGGAGATTTTTTTAATTTCTTCTTTAACTTTCCTTTGTAGACACTAGACCTTAAAATTCACCTTGACTTTGATAAGGCTCAATCCCACGACCTCAGGAGTCCCAGTCAGTCTTCTAAACCTCTGAGCCATGTGGACACACCAAAGAATTCTGTTTGTTTCCTTTTTTACTCTCCTTTCTAGACACTGGCCTTTAAATTTCACCTCAACCTGGATCTGATTTAAATAAAGAGACACAAAGTCACAGTGTGGTTGTGTGTTTCTTATTTATAAACTTGTGAGAACCCCTCTGTGGTGGTTGTGTTGTTGACTCAGCACCCAAAGCAAAGCTGTAATCGTGTTGGCGGGACTGCTAGAGGAGTTGTTTTGCATGCGTACCTTTGCCAACCACTCCTCTTGTAACCTTGCCACAGAAGACAGGTATCAGTATCAGAGAGTTTTTCGGACAGAATGATAACCAGAAACTTAGAAGCCCCTCCCATTCAAAGACTTGATTTTTATATCTTAAACAGCGACACTGTTTGGGATTTTGTCAGGAGACATGTTGTAGTACTGCAGCCTCTTCCCCTCGTTCCTCTTCTTGATGGAGCTGGTGATCTCTTCTAGCTGCTTCCTGAACTTCTCCATGGCCTTTTTCACTGGCACCTCTGTGAAGTGCTCCTCAGGAAACATGCCCAAGTACAACTGCAGAGAGAGAAACCATCCAGACAATGAGGTTAAGGATTAAATGTTGACAAATGGACTCAAAATGTCCTCCAAGAAAACTTTAGTGTCTAGTTTTTACACACTGCATGTCACTACCTCATTCTTCTGGTATTGGCTGAGGGCCCAGACGGCCCCGATGTGCCAGCTACAACGTCCACGATCAGGGAGGCTCTCCATTATGAAGTTCATATCAACCACACCCTTCTGGTTTGGTGGGGGTCTTCTCATGGTTGATGGAGCGTTGGTGATCCAGGAATCCCAGTCAAACTACACAATGAACACAGAGTTGTAGCACATTTATTGAGGAACTTCAGGAACTAATTTCCAATTAAATGCTTCACACTACCACACATTTTTCTGATCACTGATTACAAACAAAGATCGCACTTTTTATCCTTACTAGACCCCTGATATATTTATTGTCCATCCATGACTCACCTGTCCAAAGTTAACAGCTGCATGTTGAGCTGAAGCAGTGAACACAATGACAGCCAGATACTCTGTCAGCTCCTCACGTGTTTTCAGGGACTTTGGAAACTCTGTCCATAGATTGTTGGCACAAGGAATAAAAAAAAAAATCAGCTTTTGTCTTTGGCATTTTTTTCTTTATAAGCTACATTAAACGTTCGAAAAAGTAATGGAGAAACGCAGGAAGGAGATTACAACAGTGGAGCTCAGACAGTGACACCATCACTGTGAGTCTTGTGGCTTCTTGTTGTCAACCTCAAACCATTCAACTCTGACAGAGCAGATATGAGTTTAAAATGCTGTCTCTTCACTGTCGTATCTGTTTCTGCTCTACACCACTGAAATTTTGAAGGAGAGCCAGCTGCTTCTCCCCACGAATAGTAACATACGTTTAGCACATAGGTTTGTTGAATCAAAGTAGAAAGTAAAATGAAAAAAGGATGTCTGCAAAATGTTCCTACCACAGTGGTCGAAGCCTTTCATACCACTGCTGCTCACATCGTTGACAAAAGCCTGAATTTCTTCATCCTCCTGCACAGTCTCATCACTGGAGTAGTAGATGTGCACCACATCAGACACATAGCTGCAGGAAAGGAAACATGATGGCCTTATACAGACTCAAATTGAAACACTATCCATCCATCCATCCAACCATCATGTGTCTTACCTCTTAATGGCTTCCCACACCATGTAGCCATCATCTCTGTAGAAGAACGTTGGCAGCTCGTCCTTCTTGTCTACACCACGAGACTTGATCATATCAGGGAAGCACAGAGACCTGAAGGTCAGAGACTCCATGGTCTTCTGGACCAGCACGACCTGACCACCTCCACCTGAAGAGTTTGCCTTAATACATATAGAAGACATGAGACATCACTTATTAGGACACTGTAGGGGAAAATAACACAATATAAACAATAGATTTGCAAAAACAGACTTAATGGCCTGTTTTTGCAACGTGTTGAAAAACAGGATGCAGGCCACGGCCTGAGAGGTCACGTCGACCTTGTCACACATGGCTCTGCCAAAATTCGACAGGAAATTTGGCAGAGCCGGCCAGCGAAGCAAAACTTAGTGACAGAAAAAGTCACTTTGTTGGCTATCAGACACCAATGTGAAGTACACTTACAGGAAGATAACAATTCAGATGACCACTTATGGGGAAAACCGTAGCTGACGTCATTGGAGAAGTATAAAGGATTTGGGATTGTTTGGTTCTGGGTTCGTCCGTCTGATTTGTCGTTAGATGTGGTTGATGCTGCAGACTGCAATGAAATTCCCGCGAGAGGCTGACAACTTGACTCTGACTTCTGGTGGTTCATTTTTGCACCTTTTTGCATCTATGAAATCTACCATATAAGTGGCGAGCCAGCCAGGAGACTTATTGGTGCTGCAAACTTTGTTTAATGTTTAGTTTTGATTTTGCATGAGAAAAATTTCCATTTAGAACAAATAAACATGGAACAATTTTTCGTCTATTTATCTATCTATCTATCTATCTATCTATCTATCTATCTCTGTTTGTCTGTCTCACCCACCTTGTCAAAGAGGCCACCCTTACAGATGAGTTGCTCTCTGGCCTTGCTGTTGATAGCGATGGTGAAATGAACGTGTGGGATAAGAAGCTGAGAGAGGAAACATTAGTCAGTCAAAGATGTATCAAAAGTTCACAGTTATCCCCCTAACCTCCTAAACACCTCTGTATGCACTTAAATCAGCAGGATGTTGAAGCTTCTGTTTTGCCTTGTTTGCAGTTTCTTGTTCATTGTAGGAGTAACAGTGGGGCAAAGTTGTTGCTAAGTTGATAACAGCAACACGATGGGGAGTATGAGTAGCATCAGAGCCAGCAGAGTAGTTTCCTGTGCTATGTGTGTGCATATCTGAGTGTATGTAGAGTATCTTGTAATTGCATCCCTTGCCTTTTGCACATCCATATCAACTCAATGTTTAATGTACAATCTGAAATCAAGCAATGGGGTTTAATCAATCTGCTTAATATCTTAGCAAAGTTTAAAATGTAGATATAAAAGCCTGAGGTAGTTGAAGCTTTGGTACCACCCTGTTTTAGAGTTGCTTGTGTAAGAAGCCTGCAATTGCCTTTGATGCAAACACAACTCTTGGATGACTTGGGGTCACTATCGCGCCTCTGAGACATTACAGATAAAGCCTTACACTAGCATTATGAAAAGGGTCGGATTTACCTTGTACACAGGGTGAACAGCAGGCAGCTGTCTGAACATGGCAATAGCAAACATCTCTGACATCAGGTGAGTCCTGAGCAGGTGTGTGATAGTCTGGTGGTATTGGAAATCAGATGAGCGGACCCACATCTTAGCCAGCAGCCAGTCGTGCTGACTGTCGGTGGGAAAGAAGATTGGCATGTCTCTACCTGGAGTCTGACCAAGCTGGCAAAGACACAATGAGCAGAGAAAAGTATTTATAGTGTGTATAATAAAAAGGAACATTTTTCCTTCCCTCACTGAGTTGTCACAGTACCTGTATGGCAATGGGCAGGATCTTGTTCTGAGTGTTGTTGTACAGCAGACAGATGGGTGCAGCCAGGTACTGTGGAGTGTTTGGATCTGTGTTGTTGGCAGCAACACCATCTAACACCTCATAGTCTACTATGAAGATGTTACCTGCCTGAAAACAGCAAATCAATTCTGATAGTGTGAAAATCAAACAAAAGTTTGTTTAAACCGAGAACAATCAGACATGTCAGTGGTGTTTATTGGTTGGTTGTGAAAGTTTTTCAACAAAACTTTAAGACATGGCTACCTCAATTTCCTGCTCCAGAGTTATCCCTCTCTCCAGACTGGCAGAAACCATTCCATGAGTGACAGGGAACTTGTCAGGAAGTTTGGTGCACTTTTGGATCATTATTGGATTGCAACCGTTCAGGAACTGGTACCCAAACAGTAAGTCTTCCTCCCAGTGTTTCATCACGTACTCTAGGGTTTTTAACATGTGCAGTTCATTCTCCATGCATGCATGTATTTTCACTCATACTGAGTACATATTTGTTCAATAAACCTATAACAACTCTCATTGTAAATCCATTCTCACAAGAACAAACATCTACTCTCACATCCATCAATAAAAAGAGCTTACCTGAGTGTGGGGTTTTGATCCTGATAAAGATCTCCTTAAAGTCCTCAAGGCTGCTCCATGAGGACTGGAACATGCCCATCAATTTATTCAAAGACAGGTTTTCTATTCTGCAAACACATACATTTCAATCCCTTTATTCTCTCCAACATCACAACATCTCTTTCAAGATATTTCATAAAACAGAGAAAAGCAACTTTTATGGCCAGAAAACCAAGTTTGAGAAACAATAAAATAAGACTCAATTAACTTTGATTTGCTATTATTAGTTATTGAGTGTTTGTGGTAGCTTTCCTTTGACAGCCCTTGTCCTTTTCTAAAAAACACTCACACTTGGTGCACACCCTTGTAACTCTACTACTGTCAGAAAGCACTTACGCCTCAGTGAAGTTCAGAGTAAAATCCACTTTCTTGTCACTGTCAAACTGGATGTCTCGTGGTAAATCACTGTATTTATCAGCATCGATGCTCTTTGGGAAACCTGGCTGCCACTCCTTCCACCTGTAAAGCAGAGTAGAGTTGTTACAAACCATCCTCAGCACCTTTTAATCATGCACGCATAAAGATCTTACCTGTAAGTTTCTCTCCTCATTTTCAGCTCTTTTTGTCTTTGCTGCTTCACCAAGCCGGTCTTATCATCCTGAGGTAGACGTGCTGCAATAAACACAAGTAGAAGTGAGGGATGGAGCAGACAGAGCATGTGCAGACCCTGAAATATGGAAATAAAAGATGGATAGTTTCTTAGTTGTCTGATTTCTACCTCTTCCATCTCTCAGCACCACCTCTTTGTCGTCTTGTGGCCATCGGTAACAGGGAAACTCGATGTAGTCTCCAGAGGGGGTCTTGACAGCAATGTACCTGCAGTACCATTCATCCTTGATCCAGTACTTCTTCTTCTCTATCTTCACCAATAGAATCTCACCCAAGTCCTTCCCAACGTTTAACTCAAAGACATCCATCTGGGAACATAATAACTGATCAGTAACAGCATGATTTAGACAGACTTTGTATTTCTAGGAATTTGGGAGTTTAGCTGTGCTTAATATGTATGAAACCCTGAATTTCACAGCTCCTGTAACGTGGGCACATAGAATATCTACTGATGAATCAGGGATTGATACATCAAAAGCTCAAGATAGATGTTGTTTCAGTGATCCCACTGGTTGAATCTTAGGGAGGAGTTTTACAACTTAATGACAGCAGTTGCCAAACTGGAATTGCTGACTAAGACTTAATTGAGGCTGACTTTACAACAAGCCTAGAGGCAGAGTGAGTAGTGTACTTGCCAACAACTTGCAAGCAGACTGTCAGTCAAGTCAGCCAAGCTCATTCTAATGACTATGAAAAGTATTCATCCTCCTACCCAACTGCTAAACAGTGTGAGCAAACAGAGAAATGAGCCATTAATACCCGAATGATCTTTGTATCAGGCTGTAAATGTGTTTATTTTCACTGTGAAGGTAAGCCTTTAAGAATTTGTATGCGGCAACAGAGAAAATGCTTAATTTGCCAGATTGCATGTCCAAACCTGCACTCGCCACGTTTAGATGTGCAAAATTTCTTGATCAAAGGGGATGTGCGCCTTGTTTTGTTACCGGAGGAGCAGACACAGCACCTGCAGTTGTGTCTTATGCTGGAGTGTTAATGATGAGCCCTCCTATAATGGCCTCAATAAATAAGCCAAAGGTAAGGTAAGAGAGTCATGATCGGACTAAGTGTTTACATGGATGCGTTTCGGAATAACGATCGGAAAACTCACCATCTCAGAATTCAATTTCTCTCCGATTGAGCTGAATTGGATCATAAGTAATTCTATACAGTTAGAAATTTGTTCAATATATGTAAAATTTTGATGGAATATTGATATGTGAAATCAATAAAAATAAAAAAAGTAAAACACAACTTACTGCCCCTCTTTCAAAGTCATCAGTGAAAGGTTTGTCCAGCAGAGTCTTCTCGCTGAATCCCTCGGTGCCCACCAGTGTGACGTAGACATAGGCATTGGTGCCGTCAAACCTCTCATTCCTTGTGGACACAGTAACTGTGTAACGAACCATGGTTGTCACGGGGAACAGAGAGGACTCCAAAAATATAAAAGGAAAAAAGAAAGAAATTCAGATCTGTAGAATTGTTGCTCTTCTTTCACCCACTAAAGATTCAACCTAAGATTCTTGCAAGTTCCCACTTTTCCTCACCACTCCTTCTTTCATCTCCCACCTTTGTTTGGTTTGTTCAGGTACAAATACTGTGAAAATATTTAATAAGGCAAAAGAGGGTGGAGCAGGACATCAGATACGATCGCACCTATCAGTGATATATAATCTCTTATGTAATCTTATTGATCTCCTCCCTTCTTTTGTAAAATAGGTCATAACAGCTGTCTTCTATGAAGAGGTCTGCTAGAGCAGCAGCATCTTGACTGCAGACAAGAACAGACTGAACAATCTGGTGAGGAAGGCTAGTTCTGTCCTGGGTTGCCCTCCGGACCTTGTAGAGGCAGTGAGGGACAAGAGGATGATGTAATCTGTCGTCTCTAATAGACATTATTTACCACCCCCTGCAAGCTCTGCAACGTCAGTGGGCAGCTCCATTAGTGACAGGCTTCTTCACCCGCAGTATGTGAGAGATACTGCAAATCCTTCCTTCTTGCTGCAGTAAGACTGTTTGACCAAGTCTGCTCCCAGTCGTCCAGGTTTCTTTTATAGTAGTCAAAGTATGTATACGTATGTGTATAGGAGTGTACATATACAAAGACAAAGTACGCAGAAGGGTAGATGCAGGTATTCATATACCCCTCTTCAACTGTATTATACTCTTCTCTGTTGTATTTTTTTAGACAACTCTGAAGAACTTTTAATGTTGCAAGTTTGCAGCTAAACGGTAACATAGCTCTGTTGTCGTCGTGCGACTGTATTGTAAGGATCCCAGAGAGGGATGTGATTTTGAGAGCTCAACATGTACTACCACATCCCTGTCCTGCTCTGCCTGCTCTACAAGTTCACAGTAACTATGCCCTACTTTTGTAAACTCTCTGTAGGCCTTTATCTACTGAGAGTTCAAGGCAGGATATTAATGCTCCTGTTATACCTCATCTCCAGTGTGTAATGCACAATGGAAGAACGTTGGGGTGAATTAGGTCTGCTTCTGATCCACCTTTGGAGGTGGCACCAACAATGACATAATGGAAGGAATATGGTGGCCACGTGTAACAGAACAGGACCTTGTGTGTGTGTGTGTGTGTGTGTTGCAGTTTGGAGATCCTTTTATAGCCTGATTTTTTTTTTATGCCTAAAACTGGTGCCAGGGGTAGATGTCAGAAGTCGCCTTGTTTTCAACATTTCTGTTTAAATCTTAAAAGCTCACTCTGGCAAATAACCAAAATTGTTTTCCATCTCAGCACCTCAGATAATATTATATAATATTATATATATAATAATGCGGTTTTGTTTTGATCTTCTTAAGCTTGCATGAACAGATGCAAAATTACATGGTGGCTAACACAATGAGACTTCTCTTGATGTTACCAAGGTATGCAAGTTTTTCATAAGAAAACACCTCTCAAAAACACTCCGCTGTTGTTAAACCTGATAAATTCTACTGCTGTTACAAAGCACACACCCTTGACTGTAGTTCAGAGTAAGATCCACATCTTTCTCACGGTCAAACTCGATGTCTTGTGGTAAATCACTGTAATTATCAGCATCGATGCTCATTGGGAAACCTGGCTGCCACTCCTTCCATCTATAAAGCAGAGTAGAGTTGTTACAAAGCATCCTCACCATCTTTTACGGTTTTTCTCAGTCGCTTTGGTGCAATTCTCAGATCAGAATGACTTTTCTACAACATTTCTACAATTCTGTGACACAAAAATAGAAGGTCAGCGTTGTGGAGGAGGGATGAGAATGCGGGGAGGAAGGGGACAAAACAGGGACGGAGGAAGAAGAGGTTAAGTGCATAGGCAAATAAGGGCTACACTTGTTGACCATGTTGTCAATCACGGCCCCCTTATGGCTGAGACTGGTCGATGGGTTCAACCAAATGTAGCAAGAACCACTGTGAATCTTATGTTTGTTCTAAATAAGTGACTGTGATTTTTTTTGTTTTTGCACAATGCTGTAAAATTGCAAAGAGCATATGCAGTAAATATGTGAAACATACAAGCCATTTGACAGTCTTGTTCATAAACAATGATGTCAGGACGAATTATTTTGATGACACAGACAGTTTCATTGACATGAATACTTTCTTTTTGAGGAATTAACTATTAATTTTGAGCAAGTGATGCGCTTTTGCAGGTTATCCACTAGGTTTTGCAGTTAGTACTAACTGTTCTGATAAATGCAACAACTGTTGTGCAAATTTTAATAGTGATGTGAGAAATGCACCAAAGCGACTGAGAAAAACTGTAATTGCACATGCATAAAGATCTTACCTCTAAGTTCCCAAGTTCTTCACAGGTTTAACACAACTTACTGCCCTCCTCTCAAAGTCATTGTAGAGAGGTTTGTCCAGCGGAGTCTTCTCCCTGCATCCCTCTGTGCCCACAAGTGTGATGTAGATATAGCGATCAGTGCCTTCAAACCACTTATTTCCTGTGGCCACAATCACCATGTAGCATAGCATGATAGTCACACAAGACAGAGAGGATTCTCAAGTTTCCTGAAAGTGAAGGTTTCCACATTTTGCTTATAACTTTTTTTGTTCCCATTCTCCTTATCAGCCTGAAGGCAAACGGTTGAGGTTTAAAACACTTGAGGGGAAAAGTGCAACAGCTGGGTGTAAACTGGGTTTGTCTCATCTCTAGTGCCAAACATAGATACCACCAACCATTTCCCTGGAGCTCAAATTAAGTTTGCGAACCCTGACTGAGAATGCTCAGTAGCTACACCAGTCTAATGATGAGGGTTAAAGTCAACATTGGCAGAGAGCTGAGTGTTGCCAAGTTACACACATCCATTGACTTACCCCTCCCATCAAAACATCTATGGAGGGTTTGGGTAACACAAACCAAAAAAGAACAAAATACAGACAGCTAAATAATGGAGCACATGGTGCTGAATGCAGAATATTAAACACTATCACTGCAATCATGAACAAACAAACAGAATCCTTCAATATGAACATGGTAGTTCAGTTCACCTCATGCTGTAGTTCATAAATAGCTCCTCAGGTTGTCTTAACTGCTTTCTCGCTAAAATGAACCTTAAAATCAGCTGAGCATCTCATCTCTGATATGCCGTACTCTATTGCCTTAATTCCCTTTCATAAATCCTCCTGCCATCAAGTTTTTTTTTTACATTTTCTGATAAATAGTCCCTGAATATTTCTATAGAAGTTGCTCCTGCTCCATCTTAAGAGTAAGTTACACAATGGCGTGACACAAACAAGGCCCAAATTCAATTGGTGTTGAGTTGCACTGGTGGAGCTGAGGCATGAACAGAAGAAACTTGACAGGCAGAGCTACAGGACTGACAAGTTCTGGTTGGCACAGACCAGGGCAGATCAAGTTTTTATGTTGATTTGAAGCACACGTTTGTCAACAGAGCTGTCAATCAATCTTGTCTTTTAAATTACACAACCATTTTAATTTAATGAAGGAGGCGGGGTTTAAATCTCACGATAATCACCCCCTCACATCCACCCCTCAAATCTTCACATGGACTCAGCTGGGCACAGGTTACTCCCAGGCCTTTGCTCACATAGGTAACTATGACCAAGAGAAAAATTTTGTGATGGAGCTGACTGTTGCGCCCTCTAGTGGCAGCACAGTATATAGGAGTAAAGTGAAGTTGACTTCTTTTTGAGCATCATACAAGCAGCACACATAGACTTTTAAAAAGAAAACAGAGTAAATCATGAACTGACTTCCTCACTGTAACATCCTTTTGGCGTCACAAAAGCTCAGAGGTGGAGGTAAACTTTCAGATTAACTGTTGCTTTTAAAGTAGTGTCTCTTTATTCAACATACAGTCCACACAACATGGCCCAGTTAGGATGCTATGATAATAAGGTGCCTTGCTGATTGGTTGTTGGAAGGGGGAGGGTTCAGATGAGTGCAGATGGATGCAGAGGTGAAAAAACACCCAAAACAAATCCTGAATCCAGAATCAGACGCTGAACACGAGGAGGCAAAAGTAGAAGGGTTACAGTCATGTTTTAACAGCAAGTCTGGGATTTTCATTGAATGTGCATGTTGGGCCTACTTTATAGCCTTTAGAAAAGGACTGTATAATATCAGCACTTGTTGCTTGAAAGGTCAAGGGTGAGGTAGTTTGAATAAAGAAGCATATTAGCATCAATTTTAGCCAGTACATTGTTGTTAAAAATGAAAAATTTGTGTTGATTTTTGCAACGAAAAACAGAGCAGTTGGCATGTCTGGATTTAACCTTTGACATCTTGACCTTGCAGCATCCAAAGCAAAGCTATAATAGTGTTGGCGGGGCTGCTTGAGGAGTTGTTTTGCATGCATACCTTTGCAAACCACTCTTCTAATAACCTTGCCACAGAAGGCAATTCATATAGTCATCTAGAAGCACATATGTACATGCAAGGACCAGCATGTCTTTGGCTGTACTGGACTTGTGAAACTTCAGAGGTGTCAGGCTAAAGAAAGTTTTCTGACAGAATGATAAGCAGAAACTGAGAAACCTCTCCCATTCAAAGACTTGATTTTTATTTTAGACAGCGACACTGTTTGGGATTTTGTCAGGAGACATGTTGTAGTACGGCAGCCTCTTCCCCTCGTTCCTCTTCTTGATGGAGCTGGTGATCTCTTCTAGCTGCTTCCTGAACTTCTCCATGGCCTTTTTCACTGGCGCCTCTGTGAAGTGCTCCTCAGGAAACATGCCCAAGTACAACTGCAGAGAGAGAAACCATTCAGACAATGAGGTTAAGGATTAAATGTTAAAGTTGACAAATGGACTCAAAATGTCCTCCAAGAAAACTTTAGTGTCTAGTTTTTGCACACTGCATGTCACTACCTCATTCTTCTGGTATTGGCTGAGGGCCCAGACGGCCCCGATGTGCCAGCTACAACGTCCACGATCAGGGAGGCTCTCCATTATGAAGTTCATATCAACCACACCCTTCTGGTTTGGTGGGGGTCTTCTCATGGTTGATGGAGCGTTGGTGATCCAGGAATCCCAGTCAAACTACACAATGAACACAGAGTTGTAGCACATTTATTGAGGAACTTCAGGAACTAATTTCCAATTAAATGCTTCACACTACCACACATTTTTCTGATCACTGATTACAAACAGACAAAGATCGCACTTTTTATCCTTACTAGACCCCTGATATATTTATTGTCCATCCATGACTCACCTGTCCAAAGTTAACAGCTGCATGTTGAGCTGAAGCAGTGAACACAATGACAGTCAGATACTCTGTCAGCTCCTCGCGTGTTTTCAGGGACTTTGGAAACTCTGTCCATAGATTGTTGGCACAAGAAATAAAAAAAAAATCAGCTTTTGTCTTTGCAAAACCATTTTTTTCTTTATAAGCTTCCTTATACGTTAGAAAAAGTAATGGAGAAACGCAGGAAGGAGATTACAACAGTGGAGCTCAGACAGTGACACCATCACTGTGAGTCGTGTGGCTTCTTGTTGTCAACCTCAAACCATTCAACTCTGACAGAGCAGATATGAATTAAAAATGCTGTCTCTTCACTGTCGCACCTATTTCTGCTCTACACCACTGAAATTTTGAAGGAGAGCCAGCCGCTCCTCCCCACGAATAGAAACATAGGTTTAGCACATAGGTTTGTTGAATCAAAGTAGAAAGTAAAATGAAAAAAGGATGTCTGCAAAATGTTCCTACCACAGTGGTCGAAGCCTTTCATACCACTGCTGCTCACATCGTTGACAAAAGCCTGAATTTCTTCATCCTCCTGCACAGTCTCATCAGATGTGCACCACATCAGACACATAGCTGCAGGAAAGGAAACATGATGGCCTTATACAGACTCAAATATAAACACTGTCTGTCTGTCAGCCAGTCAATCTCTCTCTCTCTCTCTCTCTCTCTCTCTCTCTCTCTCTCGCTCTCTCTCTCTTCATATATATATATATATATATATATATATATATATCATTTGTCTTACCTCTTAATGGCTTCCCACACCATGTAACCATCATCTCTGTAGAAGAACGTCGGCAGCTCGTCCTTCTTGTCTACACCACGAGACTTGATCATATCAGGGAAGCACAGAGACCTGAAGGTCAGAGACTTCATGGTCTTCTGGACCAGCACGACCTGACCACCTCCACCTGATGAGTTTGCCTTAATACATATAGAAGACATGAGACATCACTTATCGGGACACTCCAGACACTTATCTGTGCTGCATGCTTTAATGTTTAGTTTTAATTTTGCATGAGAAAAAATTCCATTTAGTTAGAACAAATAAATATGAAACATTTCTTCATCTATCTATCTATCTATCTATCTATCTATCTATCTATCTATCTATATAGCTAGCTAGCTAGATAGATAGCTATCTCACCTTGTCAAAGAGGCCACCCTTACAGATGAGCTGCTCTCTGGCCTTGCTGTTGATAGCGATGGTGAAATGAACGTGTGGGATAAGAAGCTGAGAGAGGAAACATTAGTCAGTCAAAGATGTATCAAAAGTTCACAGTTATCCCCCTAACCTCCTTAACACCTCTGTATGCACTTAAATCAGCAGGATGTTGAAGCTTCTGTTTTGCCTTATTTGAAGTTTGTTATTCATTGTAGGAGCAACAGTGGGGCAAAGTTGTTGCAGAGTTAATAACAGCAGCACAATGGGGAGAATGAGTAGCATCAGAGCCAGCAGAGTAGTTTCCTGTGCTATGTGTGTGCATATCTGAGTTTATGTAGAGTATCTTGTAATTGCATCCCTTGCCCTTTGCACATCTATATCAACTCAATGTTTAATGTACAATTTGAAATCAAGCAATGGGGTCTAATCTGTCTGCTTAATATCTTAGCAAAGTTTAAAATGTAGATATAAAAGCCTGAGGTAGTTGAAGCTTTGGTACCACCCTGTTTTAGAGTTGCTTGTGTAAGAAGCCTGCAATTGCCTTTGATGCAAACACAACTCTTGGATGACTTGGGGTCACTATGGCACCTCTGTGACATTACAGATAGCCTTACACTAGCATTATGAAAAGGATCAGATTTACCTTGTACACAGGGTGAACAGCAGGCAGCTGTCTGAACATGGCGATAGCAAACATCTCTGACATCAGGTGAGTCCTGAGCAGGTGTGTGATGGTCTGGTGGTATTGGAAATCAGATGAACATGTTTCCTTCCCTCACTGAGTTGTCACAGTACCTGTATGGCGATGGGCAGGATCTTGTTCTGAGTGTTGTTGTACAGCAGACAGATGGGTGCAGCCATGTACTGTGGAGTGTTTGGATCTGTGTTGTTGGCAGCAACACCATCTAGTACCTCATAGTCTACTATGAAGATGTTACCTGCCTGAATACAGCAAATCAATTCTGGTAGTTAGTGTGAAAATCAAACAAAAGTTTGTTTAAACTCAGAACAATCAGTCATGTCAGTGGTGTTTATTGGTTGGCTGTAAAAGTTTTTCTGTTAAATTTTAAGACAATTTTCTATCAAACTTTATGACATGGCTACCTTAATTTCCTGCTCCAGAGTTATCCCTCTCTCCAGACTGGCAGAAACCATTCCATGAGTGACGGGGAACTTGTCAGGAAGTTTGGTGCACTTTTGGATCATTATTGGATTGCAACCATTCAGGAACTGGTACCCAAACAGTAAGTCTTCCTCCCAGTGTTTCATCACATACTCTAGGGTTTTTAACATGTGCAGTTTATTCTCTGTGCATGCATGTATTTTCCCTTGAACTGAGTTCATACTTTTAATACATATTTGTTCAATAAAGTTACCAACTCTCATTGTAAATCCCTTCTCACAAGAACAAACATCCATTCTCACATCCATCAATAAAAAGAGCTTACCTGAGTTTGGGTTTTTGATCCTGATAAAGACCTCCTTAAAGTCCTCAAAGCTGCTCCATGAGGACTGGAACATGCCCACCAATTTATTCAAAAACAGGTTTTCTATTCTGCAAACACATACATTTCAATCTCTTTATTCTCTCCAACATCACAACATCTCTTTCAAGATATTTCATAAAACAGAGAAAAGCAACGTTTATGGCCAGAAAACTAAGTTTGAGAAACAATAAAATAAGACTCAATTAACTTTGATGTGCTATTATTAGTTATTGAGTGTTTGTGGTAGCTTTCCTTTGACAGCCCTTGTCCTTTTCTAAAAAGCACTTACACTTGGTGCACACCCATGTAACTCTACTACTGTTAGAAAGCACTTACGCCTCGGCGAAGTTCAGAGTGAAATCCACATTCTTGTCACTGTCAAACTGGATGTCTCGTGGTAAATCACTGTATTTATCAGCATCGATGCTCCTTGGGAAACCTGGCTGCCACTCCTTCCATCTATAAAGCAGAGTAGAGTTGTTACAAACCATCCTCAGCACCTTTTAATCATGCACACATAAAGATCTTGCCTGTAAGTTTCCCTCCTCATTTTCAGCTCTATTTTTCTTTGCTGCTTCACCAAGCCGGTCTTATCATCCTGAGGTAGACGTGCTGCAAAAAAACCCAAGAAGAAGTGAGGGATGGAGCAGACAGAGCATGTGCAGACCCTGAAATATGGAAATAAAAGATGGATAGTTTCTTAGTTGTCTGATTTCTACCTCTTCCATCTCTCAGTACTATCTCTTTGTCATCTTGTGGCCAGCGGTAACAGGGAAACTCGATGCAGTCTCCAGAGGGGGTCTTGACAGCAATGTACCTGCAGTACCATTCATCCTTGATCCAGTACTTCTTCTTCTCTATCTTCACCAACACAATCTCTCCCAGGTCCTTCCCAACATTTAACTCAAAGACATCCACCTGGAAACATAACTGATCAGTCACAGTATGATTTAGACAGACTTTGTATTTCTAGGAATTGGGAGTGTAGCTGTGCTTAATCAGTAATATCAATATATACATATGAAACCCTGAATTTCACAGCTCCTGTAATGCGGGCACATAGAATATCTACCAACGAATCATCAGTCCATTGATAGATCAAAAGCTCAATAGATAGATAGATGTTGTTTCACTTGTTGAATCTTAGGGAGGACTTTTAAAGTTTTCAAACTGGAATTGCTTACTAAAACTGACTTGAGGCTGACCTTACAACAAGCAAAGAGGCAGAGTGAGTAGTGTATTTGCCGATAGCTTGCAAGCAGACTGTCAGTCAAGTCAGCCAAGCTCATACTAATGACTATGAAAAAGGATTCACCCGCCTACCCAACTCGTAAACAATGTGAGCAAACAGAGAATTGAGCCATTAATACCTAAATGATCTTTGTAATAGGCAGTAAATGTCTATTTTTACTGTGAAGCCTTCAAGAATTTGTCAGATTGCACGTCCAAACTTGCACTAAGGGTTTGGATGGAGCGTCTAATGCTGAGAAATCCTCTGAGCACCGTTCATGTATTTTCCACTGCATTTTGACCAGCAGAAAACTTGTTACCTGAATACCTGCCAGATTTCAAGTCTAGCCTTGCACATCATCTACTGTCAAGTAAAACTCCTCTCAGAAAAGTATACTCCTCTCTTCAAAAGTATAACACAACTTACTGCCCCCCTTTCAAAGTCATCGTAGAAAGGATTGTCCAGCAGGGTCTTCTCGCTGCATCCCTCGGTGCCCACCAGTGTGACGTAGACATAGGCATTGGTGCCGTCAAACCTCGCATTCCCTGTGGACACAGTTACTGTGTAACATATCATGGTTGCCACAGGGCACAGAGAGGACTCCAAAAATGTAAAAAGATTTTTTTTAAAAATGCCAAAACTTAAAATCTGTAGAATTGTTGCTCTTCTTTCACCCACTGAAGATTCAACCTAAGATTCTTGCAAATAATTGTTCCCAGTTTTTCCTCACCACTCCTTCATCTCCCACCCTGGGTTTGTTCTGGTACAAACATAGAGAAAATATTTAAGACGGTAAAAGAGGGTGGAGCAAGACATCAGATAAGATCGCACCTATCAGTGATATGTTTCCCACCCCCTACAGAGCTCTGCAAAATTACTGGACAGCTCCTCCAGTGACAGGCTTCTTCACTGGCAGTGTGTGAGAGATACTGCAAGACCTTCCTTTTTGCTACAATCAGACTGTCTGCTCCCAGTCATCTACTACTACTACTACTATAATCTTTTATAGTGGTCAAGGTATGTATAGGACATATGTGTATAGGAGTGTATATATACATTGACAATGTAGGCACAAGGGTAGATGCAGAGATACAGATACCTCTCTTCTACTGTATTTTACTCTTCTGTATTTTACTTCTTTGTATTTTTTTTAAATCATTCCCAGTATTTCAGCACTATGGGCTGGAGAGAAACGTCTTTTCGAATTCCTGTGTATGTACTCACATATGGCAGAAATCAACAATAAAAAGCTTTAATTATGAATCTTGAATCATAGCAGAGTGTACAAAATATTGAATGAAAACTTGATAGCATCTCATTAGAGAAGGGATTTTTTTTTTTTATATCTTAAACAGCGACACTATTTGGGATTCTGTCAGGAGACATGTTGTAGTACGGCAGCCTCTTCCCCTCATTCCTCTTTTTGATGGAGCTGGTGATCTCTGCCAGCTGCTTCCTGAAATTCTCCATGGCCTCTTTCACCGGCTTCTCTGTGAAGTGCTCATCAGGGTACATGCCCAGGTACAGCTGCAGAGAGATAAGAGAGAGGTAATCCAGTCTCGAGTACCACCTTAAGATCAAATATTAAGGGGTAAGGGAAGCTTCTTGGAGGAACAGAAATGTAGTTTGTACTGAAGATGGTTGCTGGTGTTTGGGCTCTGAATGTCACTACCTCATTTTCCTGGTATTTGCTGAGGGCCCATATGGCTCCAAGGTGCCAGCTACAACGTCCACGATCAGGGAGGCTCTCCATTATGAAGTTCATATCAGTCACACCCTTCTGGTTGAGTGGGGGTCTTCTCATGGTTGGTGCAGCGTTAGGGATCCAGGAGCACCAGTCAAACTACACAATAAACACACAAAAAACATTTATATTCTGGACAGGTGACTGATATGAACACTTCCTCTGTGCTTTTAGCTTTTTTGCTTTGACCGTATACAGCAGATGTAAACAAATCTGTAAAAGAACCCCTCTATTATTTTTTTAACTTTCAAAACAGTCTTAGAAAATAAGAATATCATTATCTATACATGACTCACCTGTCCAAAGTTAACAGCTGCATGTTGAGCTGAAGCAGTGAACACAACGACGGTCAGGTACTCTGTCAGCTCCTCACGTGTTTTCAGGGACTTTGGGAACCCTGTCCGTAGATTGTTGGCACAAGAAATCAGAAAGTCAGATTTAATCCTTGCAAACCCCTTTTTGTCTCTGTAAAGCTTCCTGTACGAGGGGAATGTGGACAATGGATTACAACAGTGGAGCTCAGACAGTGACACCATCACTGTGAGTCGTGTGGCTTCCTGTTGTCAACCTCAAACCATTCAACTCTGACAGAGCAGATATGAATTTAAGATGCTGTCTGTTCACTGTCACATCTGTTTCTGCTCTACACCAATGAAAAGTAATAGTTTAGTGTTTCTATTTGATTGTTGTTTTAAAGAAGGAATAATAAAATAATAAAATAATTTCTGCAATGTGCTCCTACCACAGTGTTCAAAGTCCTGCATACCACTGCTGCGCACATCATTGACAAAAGCCTGGATTTCTTCATCTTCCTGCACAGTCTCATCACTGTTGTAGTAGATGTGCACCACATCAGACACATAGCTGGAGGACAGCAGAGGAATTACTTGGAAATCAATTAAATTTCTTTTTCTTTAAAACTCCATCACACAGAGAAGAGCAGAACATTCCCCTCATCCTTTGTGTGACTGTTTTTCTGTCCATCAAAGGCACAATTTTTAGTAATCAGCTGCACAAATAGTTCAAAAACTATGACAATAAAATAAAAAAGAGTCATTGGCACCTCTTAATGGCTTCCCACACCCTGTAACCATCATCTCTGTAGAAGTACGTGGGCAGCTCGTCCTTCTTGTCAATGCCACGAGACTTGATCATATCAGGGAAGCACAGAGACCTGAAGGTCAGAGACTTCATGGCTTTTTGGACCAGCTGGACGTGACCACCTCCACCTGTAGCATTGGCCTTAAAAATGATAGATGCATCATCATCAATCAATCAATGGATTTTTGTTTGTATAGCATAATTGCTTCTTATCTATCTATCTATCTCACCTTGTCAAAGAGGCCACCTTCACAGATAAGCTGCTCTCTGGCCTTGGTGTTGATAGCGATGGTGAAACGAACATGTGGGAGAAGAAGCTGAGGAAAAAAAACATCAATTGTCAGGTTTAACAATCCTTTAATAGACAACACTGAAGTCCTTTTCATATAGCCGGTTTGCGACTAAACAGTGAAAAAGCTCTGTTGTCTTCATGCCACTGTACTCTAAGCTGCTCCACAAGTTCACAGTAACTATGCCCTGCTTTTGTAATCTCTCTGTTGGCATTTACCTACTGAGATTTCAAGGCAAGATATCAATGCTCCTGTTATACCTCATCTCCAGTGTGTAATGCACAAAGGAGGAGCAGTGGGGTGAATTTGCTCTGATCTTGATCCACCATTGCGGGTGGCACTAACAATGGTATAATGGAGGGAGTATGGTTGCCATGTGTAGCGTTGGAGCCAGTAGGGCAGAACAGGACTTTGTGTGTGTGAGAGTGTATTTGACTGCTATGCTTCTTGTGTTTTCATAACTCTATAATTTACTTCGATTTATTTCTTTATTTTGCTCTCAAAGGGACATTGAGGTTTCCGTCATTTTCAGTGCCATCGGGATAATAAAATTTTAAATCATATACTTAGACCTCTATATTATACTGTTGTGAAATTCACTATGGAAGTACAAAGTGTGTTGAAATTAGAACCAAATTTCTGTACTCTTGAAGAATAACCGTGCATTTGCAAGTGGCTTGTTCATACCACCAATGCCAGCACAGCAGTCTAACCTTTGGTTGAACCATTGCTTTCCTGTGAATTTATATGAAAGGCGAGATGATATAGGGTTTGTGACTGTTGACCTTGCCCTAGTGTTTTCAAAGGATAGCGTTTTACCTTGTACACAGGGTGAACAGCAGGCAGCTGTCTGAGCATGGCAATAGCTAACATCTCTGACATCAGGTGAGTCTTGAGCAGGTGTGTGATGGTCTGGTGCTGTTGGAAGTCAGCTGAGCGGACCCAGATCTTAGCCAGCAGCCAGTCATACTCACTGTCAGTAGGCAGAAAGATTGGCGTGTCTTTACATGGAGTCTGACCAAGCTGTTGAAGACATGACAAGTAGAAGATTTCTAAAAAAAGGAGTTGTGTGGAGGAAAAAAGTAGTTTCTTTTAAGTGTTGTCACAGTACCTGTATGGCAATTGGCAGGATCTTGTTCTGAGTGTTCTTGTACAGCAGACAGATTGGAGCTGCCAGGTACTGTGGAGTGTTTGGATCTGTGTTGTTGGCACTGATACCATCTAACACCTCAAAGTCCACTATGAAGATGTTACCTGCCTAAAAACAGAACATTGATTAACAAATTTCAAACACCAACCCAGAAATGAACCACCCACTATTGCAGCTTCTCCTCTGGCTAGCGTGGAGGGAATAGCAGTCCAGTCCAGTTAGTTGTTAAGATATAGACGCTAATACTTAAAGGTTTGTTTTAGAATAAACCAGGTAAGGTCTGATGTTTATAGAGTGAACGGGGAAGGAGCTAGACCAGTGCCTTGAGGAACCCCTGAGAAATCCACCCAAAGGGCAGGATGGTGCTACTAAATGTTGGCGCCATTTATACTCTGCAAGGTTAGGCTGACTGTGAAAGTTTTTCAAATCAATTTTAATTGGTTGAAATGAATTGACACGCCTACCTCTATTTCCTGCTCCAGAGTAATTTCTCTCTCCAGACTGACAGAAACCATCTCATGAGTGACGGGGAACTTGTCAGGAAGTTTGGTGCACTTTTGGATTATTACTGGGTTGCAACCATTCAGGAACTGGTACCCGAATAAGAAGTCTTCCTTCCAGTGTTGCATTACATACTCTGGAGTATAATACAAAGCAGAAGAGTTCACATGCATTTTCACTTTTGAATGAGTTGATGAAGTGTAATCACATAGTTTGTTTTATATATAAATTCCAACTCCCATGTCTGCAAATATTCATTCTTACATGTACAAACTATCAACTGTATAGTAACATGGACGCTGCGCCTCCATTGCTTTTCTCATCATAAGATGTGAGGCCAATATAATCCTTAAATTTGTTCTGATCTGGCAGGTGAAGCCCCAGAACTGAATGACTGCACCCCTTCAACCATCCAAATCACACATTAAACATACCAATAAAACAGAAAAGATCCCTCAGATGGAAACTGATTATTTAACATGTGTTTCAATCAAAGTTTGACCAATGTCCCATCAGTGATACAAAGGAGGCGGCGCTTATGACCTATACTGCAGTCAGTCATTTGAGGGAGCTCTGGGTGTTTTGGCTCCGCAGTCTCTGACCACTTAAGGCGTCCGTTTTACGATAAAGTTTGTGTTGTAACATAAATCATATTCTTTCATAAATGCATACATATTTAAAAGAGCTTACCTGAGCTTGTGTTTTTGATCCCAATAAAGATTTTCTCAAAGTCTTCAAAGTCGCTCCATGAGGACTGGAACATGTTCATGAACTTATTCAAAAACAGGTTCTCTATTCTGCAAATACATGAATTTCATTATCATAATGCTCATAATTCTCTTACTCGTCATCATGGCCTCTTTTGCTATATTCTCATCAGGATGTAAAATTCATTTTTCTATGACTGAAACACTGCCGTTCAAGGGCAACTTGCAGTTTGGAGACCCTGTTGTAGCCTGATCTCTTAAAGCCTAAAACTGATGCCAGGGGTAGATGGTTAGAAGTAGCCTTGCTTTTAAAGTTTCTGCCCAAAATATTTCACAAAAAATGATTTATCTGTCTGTCAAGAATTGGCAGGCTGAGATTTGTTGTCTAAAGACTCTGTAAGCATGAAGAGGAGAAGATAAGCAATGACTGTTTTGCCAAAAACTGACAAATTTACACCTGCGTGTCTCATAAAATATAGAAAACGAGTTAATAACTTGCTGAGCAGCTATTTATGGATGAAGTCATGCAATAATGTTGAAAAATGAACCTGCAAGTTACACTTTAAAATAAATGAATTCATGGGGGAGAAAAAAGATGGTCTAACTTTATTAAACTTTGACAGTTTTTGAAAGAAATTTCCTTCAACATATTCCAACATTTCTGTTTACATCTTCAAAGCTCAATCTGGCAAATAATCAAAATTATCTCCCATCCCAGCACCTCAGATAATGCTACCGGTTTTGTTTTGATTTCCTCAAGCTTGCATGAACATGTGCAAAATTCCATGATGGCAAACACAATGAGACTTCTGTTGTAAGGTAAACATGTTATTACGTGTTTCATGGGAAAACTCCTCTGAAAAACACTCCACTGGTTCACTAGAAGATCACTAGCGTAGGTGAAAATCTGATAAATTCTACTGCTGTTACAAAGCACATACCCTTTACTGTAGTTCAGAGTGAAATCCACGTTCTTGTCACTGTCAAACTGGATGTCTCGTGGTAAATCACTGTATTTATCAGCATCGATGCTCATTGGGAAACCTGGCTGCCACTCCTTCCATCTATAAAGCAGAGTAGAGTTGTTACAAACCATCCCCAGCACCTTTTAATCATGCATTAATAAAGATCTTACCTGTAAGTTTCCCTCCTCATTTCCAGCTCTTTTTGTCTTTGCTGCTTCACCAAGCCGGTCTTATCATCCTGAGGTAGACGTGCTGCAAAAAAAACACAAGAAAAAGTGAGGGATGGAGCAGACAGAGCATGTGCAGACTCTGAAATATGGAAATAAAAGATGGATAGTTTCTTAGTTGTCTGATTTCTACCTCTTCCATCTCTTAGTGTCACCTCTTTGTTGCCTACCAGCCAGCGGTAACAGGGGAACTCGATGTAGTCTCCAGAGGGGGTCTTGACAGCAATGTACCTACAGTACAAGTCATCCTGGATCCTGTACTTCTTCTTCTCTATCTTCACCAATAGAATCTCACCCAGGTCCTTCCCAACGTTTAACTCATAGCAGTCTATCTGGAAACGAAAAATCAGTTACATCAAGCACACATGTACAATCATGACATATCATACAATATAAGTAATAATACATATATAACAGTAGTTAAGCACTTGATAAAATTAGTATTGAATATCTTCATTTTTAAACTATTTTACCACATGATTTTTAACAATTAAATGCTGAGTAACATTATCCTTAAACTATTGAAAATAATTAGCCTGAAGTACAGAACAAGATCAGCTAAGTCATGAGGTGTTATCTTGGGCGACAGGATGGCACCATAATCTGCAAAGACAAGAGAGGAGCTTTACAGTGAAAATCTAACAAGAATATAATTATTTTATTATTATTATTTTTCCTTTTTTTTTTGCATTTTTTTTTTTGCATTTTTAATGTTAGCAGAAAAAGTAAATATATTTCTTAGAAGTGATAAGGGTCAATCTGTAAATGCCCATGTAAACTCTAGTGCCCCAGTTTGGCCACCCCAGTCAAAACAGCCTGTTCCTAAACTAGAAACTATTATGCTCTGATGAGTACACATTAGAAGTTGTCACACCCTCCTCACAGCAAATATTTGTTTAGAGTGATAAAACAATGTTTGATTTTACCATCTGGGTGTATCAGCCCTCTGAAAAATACCTGAATACCTGCCAGATTCAAGTTCAGTCTTGCACATCATTTACTACTAAGTAAAACTCCTCTCAGTTCATCAGAAGTTAAACACAACTTACTGCCCCCCTCTCAAAGTCATTGTAGAGAGGTTTATCCAGAAGGGTCTTCTCGCTGCATCCCTCTTTACCCACCAGTGTGATGTAGATATAGCTATCCGTGCCTTCAAACCACTTATTTCCTGTGGCCACAATCACCGTGTAACATAGCATGATAGTCACACAGGACAGAGAGGACTCCAGAAATGTCTGAAATCTACAAAAAAAACATTCAATCAGAAGAGTGTTTCTTCTCTGATTTACCTCATTTCCTGCAAGAGAAGGTTTCTACATTTTGCTCAAAACTCTTTCTGTTACCATTCTCCTTATCAGCCTCAAGGCAAACGGTAGAGGTTCATTTGAGGGGAAAAGTACACCAGCTGGGTGTAGACTGTGTTGGTCTAATCTTTTGTGTCAAACAAAGATACCACCAACCCTTTCCCTGGAACTCACATCAAGTTCGCCAAACCTGACTGGTAATGCCGTTAGCTACACCAGTTTAATCCTTAGAGTTCAAGTCAACATTGGCAGAAAGCTGAGTGTTGCCAAGTTACACACATCCATTGACTTTCCCCTCCCGTCGAAACATCTATGGAGGGTTTGGGTAACACAAACCAAAAGGGAACAAAATACAGACGGATAAATATTGGAGCACATGGGACTGTATGCAGAATATAAAACAGTATTACTGCAAAACTGAACAAACAAACAGAAGCCATCAATAAGAACACAAGGAAGGTTCATAACCAAAACTATCTTTAAGAAGCTGCATAAATGTCTCACCTCAAAAGACTGGACAGCATTGACAGCTCAAAGCTGAGAGTCTCATTTGTATAAAACTTGTGAGTAACCAGATCTCACTGGCAGGGACAGCTCTGTAGTTCTGTCCAACTCATGCTGTAGTTCATAAATAGCTCCTCAGGTTGTCTTAACTGCCTTCCTCGTTAAAATGAACTTAAGAATCAGCCAAGCGTCTCATCTCAGATTAGCCGTACTCTCTTGCTTTAATTCCCTTTCATTAGTTCTCTTACACTCTTACATTTTCTGATGCATAGACCCTGAATATTTCTATAAAAGTTGCTCCTGCTCCATTCTAAGTGTAAGTTATACCATGGCGTGACACAAACAGGGCCCAAATTCAACTGGTGTTGAGTTGCACTAGTGGAGCTGAGGCATGAACAGAAGAAACTTGACAGGCAGAGCAGCAGGACTGACAAGTTCTGGTTGGAACAGACCAGAGCAGATCAGATTTTTATGTTGATTTGAAGCACACAATCAAAGCTATGGAAAGTTTGATGACTTCTGTGACAGTGTTTGTCATATTTTCTCTAGGAGGCGGGGTTTAAATCTTGCGATAATCACCCCCTCACATCCACTCCTCAAATCTTCACATGGACTCAGCTGGGCACAGGTTACACCTTGGCCTTTGCTCGCATAGGTTACTATTTCCAAGGATAAATATTGTGATGAGCTGACTGCTGCACCCCCTAGTGGCAGCACAGTATACAGAAGTAAAGTGAAGTTGACTCCTTTTTGAGCATCATACAAGCAGCACCCAGTTTTTTGCAGCAGTGCAAACTGTACTTGTTTGTTCATGGGGTTTGGAGTCTGATTAAATATTGATGTCAAACTTGAGCTAAGGGAGTTGGTCCAAGATCTTTAAACAAGAAGCTTCTTTAAGACTTCATTACCCACAAAGGTCGGTGCAATTAATTTTAAAAAAGTGTGATTACCTTAATGTTGTTCTTCTGCTCTGCGGTTCTGTAAATGTGTTTAGTGCCCAGGATGTCCTCTCACAAAATCATGATTATTTCTCCGCTTGTGTTTATTTTTTAGAGGCAAAACAGAGTACAATACTGCAGTTGCACAATTTCATTTAAACCCCTTTTTTAGACATTTTAAGCAACTTGCACTATTTCATGACAGGCATAAAAACAAGAGGCTACTTTTACAAACTGAAATTGATTTTGAAATTGAACTTTTCTGTTCACTTCCAGGCAGTACACTCAGTACAACACAAACAGTAAGTATAGGGATTCATTTTGTCATCAGAAAGCTGCTTTGTTTAAGTACCATTCCCCCACACACACACAGTATATGGTTTTGAGGGGTGCTGCTGAGGGGACTGTACACTTGGAGAGTCAATAGAGACAGTTTAACTACAGCAACAATGACTTTCTGTTTGCTGTGTATACAACAGGAAACTTGTGTTAACCTATGCTAACCTCAAACATGACACCTGACTAACAGTGGATATCTCAGTTCTGCAGAAGTGATTTTGACCTAGGTTAAATATTACCCATTACCCAAATATTACTGCGGATGGTTTGCTAACTTTCATAGATGTTGCACTTTCTACTAACAGTGTGGATGTGATTAATAATCTGTACTAATCATTTACCTTCTGGTGAACAACTTGGGTTTATCATTGTGGCTTTATAATACCTTATCTCAGCAGGTATCTCAGGCATTTTCAAAGCTGGCAAATGCTCACAGATGTATGACAATTGTATAGCTTTTCATCCAAAAACATTTTAGGTGAAAAAAATTGGGAACAATTTACAGTAACCATAACTTTTAAATGGTTAGCAGATAGTATATTAATGTTTAATCATCATTTATAAATAGCAGACCATTAATAAATTGTGAATTTTACAATTTTAAAAACCTAACCCTAACCCTAACTTTACAATAACCATCTAAGTAATGTTTAAAGATGGTTTAAAAACCACTTATTAACCATTTACAAACCGCTATTGACAAACATTTTCATCTAGATGTTTAACAACCAATATTTAAACCCTATTTAAACCTTTAATAAATAGTCCATTAATAATTAATGAAAATTATTAATCATTATTATTAAACAGAATTTTATATATCTATTTGCCATATATAATTGGTCTATATGCTGTTTTTAAATGATGATTAAACATTAATAAACTATTTACCATTTATAAATTATGATTATTGTAAGGTGTTACCAAAAGATTAGTGATTTTTAAATTTTCAAACAGCGACACTGTTTGGGATTCTGTCAGGGGACATGTTGTAGTACGGTAGCCTCTTCCCCTCGTTCCTCTTCTTGATGGAGCTGGTGATCTCTGCCAGCTGCTTCCTGAACTTCTCCATTGCCTCCTTCACCGGCTTCTCTATGAAGCGCTCATCAGGATACATGCCCAGGTACAGCTGCAGAGAGAGAGAAAGTGGAGAGGTAATCCAGGAAAAGAGCCTGAAGATGGTCTTCACTGAGATGTAATGGAGTACAAAGAGTTACTGGTGTTTGGACTCTCTACCTCATTCTCTTGGTATTGGCTGAGGGCCCAGACGGCCCCTAGGTGCCAGCTGGAGCGTCCGCGATCAGGGAGGCTCTCAATGATCAAATTCACATCTGCCAAGCCCTTCTGGTTGGGTGGGGGTCTTCTCATGGTTGATGGAGCGTTGGGGATCCAGGAGCACCAGTCATACTACACAATATGTACAAGGATGCTACACATTTAACTGAGCAGTCAGGGAACTGATTTGAATACATCCATTTCTGCAACATTAGACTTGTACTGCACAACACTTGCTTTGATAATGAGCGAGACCAGACAGCCTTTGTTACTTTTCCCACTTCAAATATTAACAGAAAGAGATAGGTTTCACTGGAAAAATACAACAGGAAGTATTTATGTGTCAATTTACATTAAACATACGAAACAAAAGAGTTGTCATTTTGTCCACAAGGGGGCGCCAAAGTCTTCACAGACAAAAGGTTCCTCAACAGAGTATTAACTAGTTTTGACCCTTCCAAAAATACTGCAGGTGTCTGATAGATATCGAAAATATACCTCAAACCAAAGAACAATGTATCCAGTTTGCTGAGGCAATGATGCATTTCCTGGCACAAAAATATATAAAGTTAGAAAAATAAGAGAAAAAAAATTATAAAAGTGGAGCAGAACTTTTTTCTGTCTTGGTTGAATTCAAGATTTATGTTTATTTCCACCAGCAGGGGATTAAACTGCCACACTGCTCATAAAAAACAGCAACTGATATACATCATCTTCAATCATAAATGACATTTATAATAACTTTACAAATTACATTTAGTCCAACAGTTTTGTCCGACATTCTTAAATGCTTTGAATAGAGGACTTGTGCAGCTTTCTAACGCAATTATTATTAGTAGTATTATTATGAATGGTATTTTAATAAAAGCCACTGATACGAATCCTGCATCATCATCATCATAATTATTATGTCAATGTGAGCTCAAACTCAAACTACATTTAAAAAACAGTAAATGTTTAAAATCTGCACAATAAATATCAATTTATCTCCAATAAATCCTCCACAACTACTAGAGGCTTCTTTTTACTTTCTAAACAGTCTTAAAAAAATAAGAATATTATTGTCTATATTCATGACTCACCTGTCCAAAGTTAACAGCTGCATGTTGAGCTGAAGCAGTGAACACGACCACAGTCAGGTACTCTGTCAGCTCCTTACGTGTTTTCAGGGACTTTGGAAACTCTGTCGGTTGATTTTTGACACAAGAAATTCAGGTTAAATCCTTGCAAACCTTTTTTTTTTCTCTGTAAAGCTGTGCGTATGACAGATCCTTACACAACGATCGAGAATAGGTAATGGAGAAATACAGGAACGAAGATTACAACAGTGGAGCTCAGGCAGTGACACCATCACTGTGACTCCTGTGGCTTCCTGTTGTCAACCTCAAACCATTCAACTCTGACAGAACAAATATGAATTTAAAATGCTGTCTGTTCACTACCACACCTGTCTCCTCCAGAAAATACCACACCACTGAAATATTGAAGAAAAGTGAGCTTCCCCTCCCCATGGTAAACGTAACTGTACACTGGTTTGTTGTTTTAAAGGTAGAATAATAAAATAGGAAGTCTGTCATGTGTACACACCGCAGTGGTCGAAGTCCTGCATGCCGAAGCTGCACACATCTTTAATGAAGGCCTGGATTTCTTCATCTTCCTGCACAGTCTCATCACTGTTGTAGTAGATGTGCACCACATCAGACACAAAGCTACAGGGAAGAGAACAGGACAGCAGCTGTGTACAGAGGAAATCATAAAACATTCTGCAACTTTTCCCTCTTTGAAATTTTGCTATTATCTCAACCACAGATGAAGAAATATTCCCACTAACCTATCAGATTGTGTCTGCTTTCTTCCACATCAAAAAAACAATCTTTAAATGATAATGGCTGTCTGTAAAATCACTAAAAAACTAAGAAAAAAAAGCTGTTGGCACCTCTTGGTGGCTTCCCACACCCTGTAACCATCATCTCTGTAGAAGTACGTGGGCAGCTCGTCCTTCTTGTCTACACCACGAGACTTGATCATATCAGGGAAGCACAGAGACCTGAAGGTCAAAGTCTTCATGGCTTTCTGGACCAGCTGGACATGACCACCTCCGCCTGTAGCATTGGCCTATAGATGGACAGAGATGTAACATTACTTCATGCAGCCTTTTATTTCATTATGTGCATGACTTTGAGTTCATGTAGCTGTTCACTTTGGATAAATTACACATATTTTTTGATATTCACAGTTTTTTAGATAAATTTTACTGACCTAATCATCTCCCCTCCTCATTGATCTCCTTCTTCTTCTACAAGAAATCTGCATACTCACCTTGTCAAAGATGCCGCACTCACAGATGAGCTGCTCTCTGGCTTTGGTGTTGATAGCGATGGTGAAACGAATGTGTGGTATAAGGAGCTGAGAGAGGAACATCATCCAGTCAAACATCAGCCAACAGGTCAACAGTCAATCAATCAATCAAGAGGTGACTTTAAGTTTTACCTTGTACACAGGGTGAACAGCGGGCAGCTGTCTGTACATGGCGATAGCAAACACCTCAGTCATCAGGTGAGTCCTGAGCAGGTGTGTGATAGTCTGGTGGTGCTGGAAGTCAGCTGAGCGGACCCAGATCTTAGCCAACAGCCAGTCATACTGACTGTCAGTGGGAAGGAAGATCGGCGCGTCTTCACCTGGAGTCTGACAAAGCTGAGAGAAAAGAAACACAAAAAGCTTGAAGAAGAAGTTCACATATTCATATAACAGAAGAAACATCCCTCTGAATATACAACAGTACCTGTATAGCGATGGGCAGGATCTTGTTCCGGGCATTCTTGTACAACAGACAGATTGGAGCAGCCAGATACTGCAGTGTGCACGGGTCTGTGGTATTAGCACTGATACCATCTATCAGCTCATAGTCCACTATGTAGATGTTACCTGCCTGTGGTCAGAACATTGATTCAAGATTATTATCATGGTATCATATGAAGTTCTTCATGTATTGACTCTTGGCTCAGATTGATAGCTGGTATCTTGATGTTAAATATGACCAAAGAGACTAATGGGTCTACCTCCATTTCCTGCTCCAGAGTCATCTCTCTCTCCAGACTGACAGAAACCATCTCATGAGTGACGGGGAACTTGTCAGGAAGTTTGGTGCACTTTCGGATCACTGTGGGGTTGCAACCGTTCAAGAACTGGTACCCAAACATGAAGTCTTCTTTCCAGTGTTGCATCACATACTCTGAAACAAAGAGAATAACATTACATAACACAATGTGACATGACACGATATGACCGAGAACATAAACCATGATAAAAATAAGACATATAACATAACCTGAAAGAGCAAGGTATAGAATAAAATGACAAAATACTGTGTGTTTATCCAGCTTAGCAAAGCAAAGCCAAGTTTTGTATGGAACACCATGACATGACAACACATCATACAGCATAACATAGCATGACAAGGCATATTATGGCAAAGCATGGCTTGGTTTTTGATCTAACATAAAAGAACAAACACAAAAAGGGTTGACTTACTGAAGTTCACAATTAATCACTTGGTTTAACACTGAACCCTCATCAGTAGTTTCCCACATTAAAGTTAAAAATAACCGCACTGAAATGGCTAAAAATCTCATTAAAGGTCTTAAAGGGGCATTAAAGTTATTTCAGTGTGTTTCATTTGCAGCTGAAAACCTAGATAAGGAGCTTTAACAACAAACTTACATAACAACAGAAGACATATTAAACCGAACAATGCTTAACAATACTATAACACATTACATAACAAACAACAACATTAAAAAACTTACAAACATAACAAAACATGACATTACATGACATAATATAACAATTTAACATATTATGTCATGACATAGAATATAACATAATATAACAAGACATGGTAATACACAACATAAAACGTTACCATAACATAACATGGCACGGCATGATAGATCATACAGACAAAACAACATAACATAACATAACATGACATAACATAACATAACATAATGTAGCGTAACATAATGTAGCGTAACAAAACATAACATATAACATTCAAGCATAGAGTAGAATTGTGATGCGGACCTGAGATTGTGTTTTTGATCCTCACAAATATTTTCTCAAAGTCCCCAAAGTCGCTCCAGGAGGACTGGAACATGTGCATGAACTGGTTCACGAACAGATTCTCTATTCTGGAAATATAACCATCATCATCATCATCATCCTCATCATCATCATCATCATCATCATCATCATTGTTCCTGTTAGCCTCACACTCACATAGTCATATTTGTTTCTCTGTGTGTTGTAACTGTTTTTGTGTAATATGGAACTCAAACACTTAAACTAAACTGAATTTTGGTTAAGTAAGTGTTTTTTTTTTTTCGTTTTTTTTTCATTTTTACTGATGGATTTGGTTAAAAGAAAAAATTTACTCCAACAGTTTTCTGTGTTAACAAAGATGCAGCATTCATGTCTAAATCCTTTAAACTCATTCTTGCAGATTACCAAAACTAGTTTCAATCTCAAAAGTTCAGACATCATCACACATTATTCTCAATTTGTTATCTTGGTGTAGAGCTGCTTCATAATGCAAATATGTATTGATCTATTTGCGCTGTATCTAGGCGCAACCTCACACGCCTGCATGAGTGCATAATGCAAATGTCCCCTGTGTGATGAACACAATGAAGCCTCTGTTTTTTGATGCGTCAAAAATAGAAGCACAGCCAGACATCTGATTGTAGCATCAGGAAAGTTTTCCACTGACCCACAGTTGGTAAAAAAAAAAAAAAGTTCTACTTCATTCATGTGAGAGAGAGCACGTACGCTTTGCTGTAGTTCAGGACGAAATCCACTCCCTTCTCGCTGTCAAACTGGATGTCTCTGGGTAAATCTCTGTGTCTATCAGCATCGATGCTCATTGGGAAACCAGGCTGCCACTCCTTCCATCTGTAACGCAGAGTAAAGTTGGTACAAACCATCATCAGCACCTTTTAATTGCAAATGCATAAAGATCTTACCTGTAAGTTTTCCTCCTCGTTTCCAGCTCTTTTTGTCTGTGCTGCTTCACCAAGCTGGTCTTATCATCCTGAGGTAGACGTGCTGCAACAAACACAAGAGCAAATGAGGGATAGAGCAGACAGAGCATGAGCAAACACATTGAAATAAGAACACAGATAGTTTGTAAGTTGTCTGATTTCTACCTATTCCATCTCTCAGCACCACCTCTTTGTCCCCTACCAGCCAGCGGAAACAGGGGAACTCGATGTAGTCTCCAGAGGGGGTCTTGACAGTGATGTACCTGCAGTACCAGTCATCCTGGACCCAGTACTTCTTCTTCTCTATCTTCACCAACACAATCTCACCCAAGTTCTCCCCGACCCTTACGTCATAGGAGTCCACCTGGAAATGTAGTCAGAGCTGAAAAAACTGTGGTTGTTTACTGTGGTACTATGGTAACTGATATCATTAATGCTGTTTTGGTGGTAAATAATAGATTTATATTGGAGTCATTCGATTCTCAGTTATTGTTGTGCAGAAAAACATTATGAAAATGTAGTATAGCTGTTATATTTATGGTATATTGGTTTTAAATGTAAATTTTCTTGAAGCAAAAATACAGTTAACCTGTAGCAGCCTCCTGAGGGGCAGAGGGTCAAACAGATGGGGTCAAGAGTGAAAGCAGGAAAAGAGAGTTGCAACAGCAGTTCAAAAACTCCACCCATGAAGAAGGTAAAGCATCAGACCAATGCTGGGTATGTGGAGACGCCATCGTGCCTTTGCATAAATATGAAGAGCAAGTTTATCTCCAGCCTGAGTTGAGTTTTCTAACAAAAAGTGCCACCCTTCAGTTACCACGAGTATCTGCTGCTGATAAAGTAAAAGAAAGGTTTTTCTTCACTGTGCTGTGTTTAGTCTTATCTCATATCGACCCTCATATGGGCATTAAAGAAAATCTCAGTTTTATCACTAATGGTCCAGTTTGATTTTGTGGGTCCTGAAGAGGCATCATCCATCAGCCTAGTTTGAAACTCCTCACAGGAACTTTAAACCTTCCTCCTGTGTTAGCTTTTACTACGCACCCACCATGTTAAGGGTCGGTTTCGACCCGTGTCTTCATCACAATCAGCTGTAAATTTCACTAAAAACAATTCTCTATCATCCAATTTGGTTCTCATCTCTAGGTTACCTTGTTAGGCTTCATTATCCATAAAATTATTGCTTGTATTATTTTTTGTTGTTGACCTCTGGGACTTTCTTTGTCAGTATGCCGCTCACACAGACATCTATACTGAACTGATTTCACATGTCTGGACATTTTTCTCTTTTTGTGCAGGGGAAAACCAGGCAAAATGATAATTTCCTACATCTTACATGATTGGAAGAGGATCTGACTGTCAGTGTGATGCCTGACAGTAAACATGTGATTTCAGTTTTTGCTCTGATTATTAGATATTGATCTAACCCGGTCAACAGGGACCCTAACATGACAAGTGCCATAATTTTAATAAGAGCACAATTAAAAAAAATATATTTTATTTTGTTGAAATAGAGGTTCCTGACAAAGTCCATACAGTCTTAATGCAAACTAACTAATTTAAGTGGTTCTTTTAAGCATTTAAAAACAAAAACAGGTCACTGCAGACCCTAACACAGGAGGAGGGTTAAGAATTTTTTTCAACCTTGCTCCACATTTGAATGAGCTTTTTCTGTTTCTTTCAGCTTAACTTTCTCCAACCGTCTCGAAGCCTCTATTTTTCATCTGTTTTATAAATCACCATTTCTAATTGTTCACAGGGGTAAACTTTCTGACTTTGTACAGTATCTGTGTAAGAAATTAACAGCAGGTGTAAACAAACCTTCTGACCTCTGATATTTAACTGTAGTTGATATCCTGATCAGTTTAGATTGACTCATAAAATCTGTGTTTAAAGCATCAGTTTGTCAAAGTAGAAGTTAAAAAGGGAACAAGTTGTACGTCTACTTGGTAAAGTTGTTCATTTTATGACAGATTGAAGTTATGTCTGTTGTAACTGCTTCCTCTTTCATGATAACCTACAATCTGAAAACAGGATTTATGTGCTGCTGTTGATGCTCATCATATACGCTGAAGTTAAACTCCTCTCAGCCCCTCAGCAGTGTGCCTGAACTTACCGCCCCCCTCTCAAAGTCGTTGTAGAGAGGTTTGTCCAACAGTGTCCTCTCGCTGCATCTCTCTGTGCCCACCAGTGTGATGTAGATATAATCGTCTGTACCTGCAAACCACTGACTCCCCGTGGACACAGTCACTGTGTAACAAATCATGGTGTCCACGCGGGACAGAAAGGACTCTAAAAATGTCAAAAACCTCTAAAAAAAGAATCCAAATCTGCAAAGTTGTGTTTCTCTTTTACCAAGAACGACTTGCCACAAGATTTTTGCATCAGTGAGTTTCCTTTCTTGCCCAAAACCTTCTTCTCTCTATCACCGGTGTTCAATTGTCCCCAAATCGCTTGCACAAACACAGAAAAAATGTGTTCCCGTACAGAAGAGGGAGGCGCAAGATACGAGAAAAGCTCTCACCTCTCAGTGATGTGAGTCATCTCCACCCATGTGTTGCTAATGAGGTCAGAACACAATACGTCTGTCCTCCCTCGGTGTGTTATCGGAGGGGGTTTCTGATGTAGCGGCATGACTATGAGTTCAGTGAAAGGTGTCTTTTGGTCTGGAGTTGATATCAAATTCAGTCTCTTTGTCTGTAAACAAAAGGAGGTGGTTAATGAAAAAAAGACAGAAAAGAAAAACTTCATTAAAGACTGGAACAGAGTTTTAATCAGAGCAGTCAAACTCTTTCTAGGCAATGATGTGGACATGAGACATGCCAATGAACATGAGAGCACACACATCCTTTACACAACACATTTACCAGTCAAATCAGAGGGTGGCATCAAACAACAATGGCTTGTCTATTCCAGCTTCAGTTAAATGCAAATGCACCATATAGCCCCGCAGGATGGATCTATAACATAAAGACTAACAGGGGGGGTCTGTATACGTGAAAGTCATGGAGGTAAATGGAACTAACTTTCCCTCCTCTAAGTCAGTTAAGACAAAGAGTGTGTTACAGTCTGTCAGTGGGGTCAAAAAAGCTGTCATGATTTCACAGTCACAGACAAAATATAAACAGGGGCTGTTTCTGTTTTTAGTCGTTCATGTAAAACATAATTCAGGCATGGCTTTTAAAAAGCAAGGCAAGCAAAACTCGACCTGAAAACTAAACTGGAGACATAAAAAACACAGACAGTGTTCAGTCGCTCTCTGAACTCGCAGTCACATCTAACATCTCCTGATAAAGCTGCACATCATACTACTACAAACATTTCCGTCTACAGAATAAACTCCAGACTTTCAGAGTCTTCTGTGGCAGTGAGCAGAGCTGATGTGTGTTCTTAGATGGATATTGTAAAAAATCATGAACTACAAAGTAAACACAGAAAACAGAGAGCAGTAACCGCTGTAGATGAATGAGAGGCAACAAAAAAGCAGAAAGACAGAGGCCAGTTTGTCACCAGTGGACTGATTATACTCGTAAGCCCAGGCGAGCAGGCACAGCTGGACGCTACACTTCATTTATTGTTCAAACTACTCTGCAATAAAGAATTACATGGAGCCTCTTATTTACCCACACTGTGGAGGATTATGTGCTTAAAGATTCAAAGCTGGGCAGAACCAACATTTCTGATTATAGACGAAAACAGAAAAATGTTCAGCAGTCTCAGTCAAGTCTGTTTTTTTCTTTTTCATATTACTCTCAGGCAGCATTTTAACTCAGGGTCTGGACTCGAGGTGCACCGATGCATTAGTTGAACATCCATATCAGCTGGTATTTGTCCTCTTAACAGACATCCCATCTGTGAATAACGTGTCACACACTGGTGCTAGAAGGCGTGGTTACTCTCCGTTTTGTCACATCTGATCTCTATCACGTCAATTTAATGCTGGAAAGCTGCTGCACCTCACCGCAGATTCAAGGTCGGAAGAAGTCAAAAACTGTTTTGTTTTCATGGTCGATCATGAAAAAATAAGTGTGGGCAGAGTGGGAGTGTCAGACCGTCTCTGAAGGATCAGCTACATGGAGACAATTCAGCAGGAGGGACCAGCAGCAAGAATCCAAATACATCAAATAACTCTCTTTGACTAATAGACATGTGCACCTCTAGTCTAGACTCCTTTAAAAGGGTTATGTAGTAATTCTGAGGTCATTTTCCTCTTTATGATAAACTGATTATAAATTTCATCCGTGCTGTAAAGAAATATGTGGAAAACTCATCCCTACTTTGCAGACCTAAAATGAGGTATTCAGTCGCTTCTGTTGTTCAGTAAAAGATGTAAACTTCTGCATTTAGGAAGCTGAAAACAGCAGATGTTTGATTTGCTTGAAAATAAATAAAAAGATGAACTGATTATCAAAATAGTTTCTTTTAATGGACTAACTGACCGCTGAATGAAGTGCATTAGAAAATCCATTCGCCATAGCCCAAAAGACGGGGCGCTATCTCTTAAGGCGTCTGCACATGTGATCTCCTCTCATTCGTACTACAGAAATACTAAACGTAGGCATTAACTGAAGCTTGTAGAAAATCTACCGATAAAAAAAGGAATAAATCTGGTGAAGTAAGACTTTGAATGCTGAGAAGGCAAAAGGCTGAAAAACAAGTAAGTGACAAAGCTACAACAAACAGCAGTGACCTGAAGGCCATGAAGTAAATATTGTTCAGTCTTCCTTGCAGACACACAGCCAGCTTTGGTTAAGCAGAGCAAGAAATCCAATGTGAATTTGATAAGAGATTTTCTGAATTTGTATAAAAGTTGTGTCCAGCTCTGATGGTAAACAATAAAAATTCTATTCAATGCTGCCACCCAGTGGCAAGAGGTTGCTAAATCAATAAATACATGAAGAAAGAGCTTCAGTGACTATGTGCAAATTACTCTTCAGCCTCTCTGAGCGAGCATGTCAGATCTATAACTTATTTTAAACATCTGTCATTTTGAACACTCCTTAAAAAACGTGATATTTTTTTCAGATTTCCGCTGAGCATGATTCTACTTTATCAAAGCTGCAGACTTAACACCTGTGAGCACATTCACAAACATAAAAATGATCATGATAATAAATTTACGCAGCTGAAAGCACATACAGTAACTGCTCTGGTCACGGTTCGGCAGAAATAACTCAACTTGTCCTCCTCACACCAGGAACTGCATCATCTGCAAGTAAACTCCTTATGAAGTTACTGCATCTCAAACACACACTTAAAAAGACACAATGAGACCTGAATGAACAAAACGTCACGAATCATGAGCTTATTATCAAATCTAACACACATTTCTTCCCCCATTCAGTCAGAAGATTAAGATTTGACAAAGAAAATATGAAAAAGTGTGCTGCTGTAGGACTGAAGTCTTATTGGGTGTTACATCTTACTGAGTTCCCTTCGATACAAAAAAAAAACAATGATTAGACAGAAACCGTAAAGTTGATTGCTTGAGGTGGCGTCCCAAAATTCAGTCATGGAATTTAACAGACAGGAGGAAAAGACAGTATTTGAAGACATCTTTGTTTGATTTGAACGAGGACAACAATCAGAGGGTCGTCGTATTGCTCCCAACAACAGTGTTTCTAGCCAACTAATGAAACAAGCCAGGCCAAGGGTGCCCCCATTTCACTGTATCCATGGAGACATAAATGTGGAAGTAGCTCAAATCCAAGCCATTATATCCTCTGTAGGTCAAATCAGCAAGAGGTAAGAGGGAGTGAAAACAAAGAGTGTAATTTCCCTTTTTTTGTTTGAACAGATTCCCCCTGTGACTCCGCTGAACACATGGAAAAGGCAGCCCCCAGACTGAAGAGTAGGAAGCATTCGAGGTTGATCTATCCAATGACTTGGAGTTGCACCCAGGCCCGGCTGCAGACTTGAAAGTTGACACAGTGACTAGTTCAGGTGGAGGACCTGCTTCATGAACTCGTAGGTGGTGAAGGCGATGGCCTGGGAGGGGACACAGCGGATGTAGTTGAGGGAGAGGCCGCGGTACAGTCCCTTCTTGATCCCATATGTCTGATACACATATGTCAGGGTCTTCTTTATTGTTCTGTTCAGGTGGAAAAACAAAAGAATCAAACACTTACAAATATCCCAACACTTTACAAGAAAAGTCCTAAGATTTATGTTGAGCTGACAAAAAACTCATCTATATGGGGCTTAATAATAATATTAGATTTGTCCTAAACAGTGAACAGCACCACTTATCTGTGCAGTATTTGTACCCCAGAGACAGACAGAATTGAAGGGGCACAAAAGTAAGTCAGATTAACCCACAACGAGGGTAAAGTCATGATGCCAGTCTTAAAATGACGAATTACCAGTGAAGTAGTCGTTACACAACTGTCAAGACACCAAGTAATATGGTGTCACAGAGTGTAATGTCCAGAGATAACAAGCTCATAAAATGCTTCTGTGAGAATGTTACGATGAAAAGTACACCCATTACAAGAGCAAACAGAATAGACTGTGAACATGATAAAAATCAGAATAATCTACAGAGAGATGAATACACACATGGACACTTTTTATTTTATCTAAATGTGGCAATTAAATCTTAAAAGCTGTTGAAAACATGATGTAACACAAAAAGGCTTGTTTAATTCAATGTGTTTGTTTTATCTTTACTTTGAGTGAGAACAGTTTGTGAGATGTGGTCTTTGGATTTGAGACTTTGTCATGAAAAGAGAGCGGGTATCTTATAATGTGCGAACTTGCTCATACTTTATCTACAGCACAACTGTATCATTAACTGGAGGTAATTAACTCTGGAAGTATGAACACAACACAGCAAAAACACAATCAGCCACCAGTGTTTCATTTAAATTCAACGGTTCAGTTTTTGCTAAAATCAAACAGATTTCTCTTGGAAAAGAAATTAAACAGTTCTTCACAGTCACAGCTATTTACCCCCTGAACTCAAGTGTTTTTTGGGATTTCATGTGGGTCACATTTCCTGGGCAGAAAATCCTGTAATTTTGGTTTAATCTGGAAAATTACAAGAGGGAGGGAACTACACCAAATCTGCATAAGCAGGGGAAAGTGCAAACTAAATATGTGGAAAAGAGAAAACTTTTCTACATGTGGAACAATGAAGTTTATCAGCTCTGTGTTTTGCGACCTGATTTAGTCTCTATTATTACCAACAACATTACGACATAACAGTAAATGCTTTTTTTATCCATCCTTCTTTTTAAAATCTAATGGCAAATGTGTATCAGCATCTACAGTTCCTGCTCTCTGTGCTGCAGAAATCAGTGAGCAGGAACATCAGCGACACTTACACGCATTTGTCAGCGTCTGGAAGCACGGTTCCTAACTGCATTCTTCTCCTCGCCACATCCAAGGGATATCTAGACACAGAAACACAATGTGTCACATCAAACATCTTCGAATCAGCCGGATCAATACAAACTCCATTTCTGTTTGTCAGCTCATCTTTCACGTGAGTCGTGGAGCACTTACGATATTGTCTGTGCAATAGCTCCCGCAACCCCACCACACAACAGATTCACTTGGGTTTTCAGAACCAGAACGTCAGGGTTGTCAGAAGAGGGCTGCCCCAGGAGTTCTGGGAAGTGTTTCAAGCCGAGGCTCTTCAGTGTGCCAAAGGTGAAGAATGAGAAACCTTGGGGACAAAAAAAAAAGGATTGTTGACATAAGAGTCGAACTGATGCAACACAAAGACTGCTGGTCACATGAATAAGGAGCAACATTTATTGTTGTTTCATGAATTTCAATTTTTGTATAAAACTGTGAAACAAAATCTCTGTAATCACCTGCATAGGGCGCCATTCCAATAAGTGTTGGAGTGAGTCCTCTATAGAAGCCCAAAACGCCCCCCTCCTACACACAAAAAAAAAGAACAACAGGTTTAACAGGCTTCTTGAAAGTCTTAAAAGTTTGCAGAATCTGTAAGTTTGTTTAAAAGGTTGAAAGTCTAGCAAACTACCTTAAGGTAGATGGTGTGGAAGGCATTTATAATTCCAGTGTAGCGATGATACCCCGTCACCTGGAAGGCCAGTCTTGATCGGACCATGTCCAGAGGGTAGGTACATATTACTGCAGTCATCCCTGAAACACAGATTATAAAACACCATTTGTATTATTAGTATACCCTGTCATAATCTACTGAAACAAAACACAAAGTGAGGCTGCTGCGTCTACTGAGGTTGTGTTTTTAATAAGTTTCCTGCTCATAAAAAATCTCAAATTAAACACCACAAATAAAGCACTGTAGTGATGCAGTCAGTTCATAAAACACTTTACAAAAGAAAGATATTTACAGATATTAAAGAGTTAGATGCCTCTCTCTTATCTGGCTGGAAAGAAACAAGTCTTATGGGTAAGAAAAATCACATACCTGCCATAGATCCAGCCATGAGGCGATGGATGTGTCCTGAGATCCCAATCTGTGTGCTTAGCAGCTGTAAAAGAACCTCCATTAGCTCCACAAGATCTTTGTACACAAAACAACAACATCACTTTACATTTTATTCAACAATAAGGATTGTCAAGTACCTTCTTGTATTTGTCAAAGGCCATAAACTGGATGGCTCCATATGGAAATATCCTGATCATCATGGCCCCATTACCCTTATACAAACCGATGAAGCCCTCTTTTTTGGGCACAGCTCTGAGGATGGAAAAAACTCCTGCAAAGAGTAATCACAAGCCTCAGCTGTGTGGCACAGACATGTGAAGAACAAACACTCACTGAATATCAGTCAGCGGATGTTTTACCTAAATGTTTGTAATGGGGGTTCTGTGCTTGGAGAAGAATCTTGACTCTGTCCAGAGGAGCGATGGTGGTTTTTGCGCAGCATGCTGCAACACCTAAAGCAAATGCAGAAAAACAAGATATCAACATTTATCATAATCAATCTCATCCGAATGACCTGTGACTTTTTATAATCTTAGGCCATTCATACACTACATGATGAAACAGAGGAAAAAATGACAAACTATGGCTCAGACATTCCATCAAGTATCATTATTTCTCTTCTATGAACAAAGAATGATGTCAAAATATAGTGTCAAATAAGACTTTAAATTCAGCCTGTTTTTTATGGAGAAGAGCTAATTCAAAATGGACAAGAAAGAACTAGTTTTATGAGCAGGCCTATTTTACGGCTAACCAGCCTTCAATGTAATAGCTGTTTACAGAATACGCTTAAAGAACACACATTTATTCAGTAGTAAATAATGCAAAGACAACAAATCAAACTGTTTTCTGAAAAATCACAACATTTGATGCCAGTAACATGTTTTACAACAGTTGGTACAAGTGGAAAACACCTGAAAAGTTGTGCAATGCCAAAAAAACCCTGCAGGAATATATCTCATTAATTTGCAGCAGCTTAGTAACATGACTGAGTATAAAAATGGCACTATGGAGAGGCTAATTCTCTCAGAAGTTATGCTTGAAAGAGATTCAGCACTTTGTGAGAGACGGTGTGAGGAAATCTTCCTGAATCCTCAAAGAAATTTGAGGATTTAATCACAAAGGGTTAAAAACACTCATTAAAAGATTCACAGAATCAGGAGCAACTCTGCATTAAAACCAGACATGCCTCTTCACTAGAAATCACTACATGGACTCAAAATCACACCAAGAATCCATTGCATGTGAACACAATTTATTGCTGCATCTACAAATGCAGGTTAAAATGGTAAAATGACTATCTTTATATAGTGCTTCTGACCACTCAAAGCGCTCTCACGTTCCATATCACAGTCACCCATACACACCACATGCACACACTGATGGCAGAAGCTTCTATGTATAGAATCCATCTGTTTTAGGACATTCCCATTCACAACCAGCAGGGACAGGTGGGGTCAAGAGTCTTGCCCAAGGACACTTCAGCATTTGGACAGTAGGGGGTCAAACCCCCAACCTTCTGATTGTGAGACAGCTTCATTTAACAATGCATAACCATTTAAAGGGATATTCCAGCATAAAATTAAGTTAGGGTCAAACACACCGTAACACAGAGTTAGACACCCCGACGAGAGATGAATGTTGCCGACCGCTTGCTTCTCTAGTTATACCAACTTTAGTGACGACCGCAGATAGCAATACAGAGAGCCACGCGCTCAACCAAAACGCCACTCTATAGCCACAAATAATGCTCAGAACAGCACCTAACGTCATCAACAGTACATGGTCCCAGCCATAGTATTAGCCACCAAACATCTTTTTAACTTTGCATGATTTCTTTAACAAAGAGACTCAACCTCTCTCTTCCAGCAGCTGCTTGTTTGTATGGAGACCTCTGGACGAGTCCATCTACTGCTGAGGGGTGACGCAGCTCAAGGAAGAACATTTATTGATCATTTACTCATGGAAATGCAATCAGACTGAGACACTAAGGCAGAAGAACTACCTCGTCTGCAGTAAAAAATGTTTAATAATGTCCCTTTCCTCACACCATCACAGACCTGACACTGGTGCAACAGGCAGATGTTTAAGAGCTTACCTCCAGCTAAGACAGAGCGAAGCCAGTAGTAGTCCTTCCTGCTGCTGATAGCAGAGACCGCAGCCTCTGATGCCATCCTTCCTGCTCAGGTGTGTGGCACTTCCATGGCTGTAATAGAAGATAAAATGCTGTAAAAATGTCCTTTATTGCTGAATTACTTTGAACCTTGATTTGCAACGAGACTGTTAAGAGTGACAACCACAAGACAAATGAAGCAGGCGGACAACAGCACCTCTGTATGTCTATCAAAAAGTCTTTTACTCACAAGATACAGCACCTTAAAAAGAGAAGGTCGGCTGTTTCATATCAAGCCTTCTTCGTCCCCTTCCTTGGTTCTTTCCCTCCTTCCCTCCCCTCGGCAGGCTTTTCGGGATATCTATTTACTTCCTACACTAACTTCCGTTGAGTTAAAGAGGTCCTCGTTCATTGTTGACGGTGAAAACCTGAAACAGACTAAATGTTCGACTAAATCTGAAACAATTTCTACGTTTCGGGAACAATATCCGTGTCCTTCGACCGCTGACGCCTCACGGTCTGTCAGTAAATAGTCGCATGTTGGTGACGTATCATGACGCAGAGTATAAACAGAAGAAGAGGGGCCAGTCCTCCAACGCTCAAGTGTGTTTTCCCACCAAGAATACGTGTAAAATAAGAGAAAACAATGAAAATAAAATGACAGAACTTTAATTGTTAAATGTTAGTACGGTGTACGTTTCTTAAATAAGTGTGGAGTTTAATTTACTTTGCTGAATTTCTAGAAATACAGTCGTTTTCATTTAAGGGATATCCTGGCGTAAAATTAAATTAGGGTCAAACACACCATAACACAGAGTTAGACACCCCCTTGAGAGATTAATATTGCCAACTGCTTGCTTCTCTACACTTTATACCAACTTTAGTAACGACCACAGGATGGCAATACACAGAGGTCTGAGGAGCCATACACAAACCTCAACCAAAACGTCACCAAACATCTTTTTAGCTTTGCCCTCTTTCCTTAGCAAAGAGACTAAACTGAACTCACCTACTCTCTTCTAGCAGCCGCTTGTTTGTAGCAAGACCTCAGGCTAGTCCATTACGGACCGAGCGGGGTGACACAGCTCAATGAAGAACATTTATGATCATTACTTTATCATTTCCTTGAGGTAGTAATCAGCATGTTAATCATTTTGCACTGCAGACACAGTAGTTCTTCTGCCTTAGCCTTATCATAAGTGTTCTTCCTTGAGCTGCGTCACCCCGCTGCAGTTGATGGACTCGCCTGGAGGTCTCCATACAAACAAGCGGCTGCTGGAAGAGAGAGGGTGAGTTTTGTTTAGTCTCTTTGCTGAAGAAATTAGGCAAAGTTAAAAAGATGTTTGGTGGCTAGTACTATGACTGGGACCCTATATGCACTGTTGATGAAGTTAGGTGCTGTTCTGAGTATTATTTGTGGCCATAGAAAAAAAAAAAAACAGAAAAACTGTATTAGAGTTGTATGATCAAGTCCCTTATATTATTGGCCGCCTCTACAACAGTCATCAGTAAAATATGCCTCAAAATAATTTGGAGCCACTTTTTTACCCCCTTTTTTGCCCTCTTTTCTAGAGTAGATAAACAGACTGTATGTGCATTTGCAAGTGAATAAGATTAAAGACCAGCTAACAGGTGGAGGTATAGAAAATAAACTGAAATTATGTCACATAGAGTGAACAAAATTGTCAGCATGGGCTTCCGTACACCAATGGTATTAGGCTAACTGACAGTTCAGGGCATGTTGCTCAACAGCTTATGTTGATTTGTCACTTTTAGCAAACTCTGGCATCAGTTTTTATATCCTCAGAGAATTGAAAAGGGTCAACAACTCTTCAGGAAAGCCTTGAATTGAATTATTTTTTTTTTTGGTTATTTTTTGTTTCCTTTTAACTAGATAATTTTCTGGCAGTACAGAAAGCAGTAGGAAAGGAGACAGTTGTTTGAGATGGTTTTCTTCAAACCTGTCACTATGCACAGCCTGCCAATACCTCGTTTTTCTATTTGAACAAGAAAACAACTTTTTTATCCATATTTCCATATTTTTTCATTATTCTGAGATATTTATCTTGTTAAACAGGGTTTTTTCCTTTGTAAATGTAATACACTTTCATAAAAGTGCGGGGAAAAAAACTAAAAACTGTATAAGACTTGTATGATCAAATACCTTATATTATTGGCATCTTCCACAACAGTCTTTCGTAAAATATGCCTCAAAATAATTTGGAGTCATTTTCTACTTTTTATCCTCTTTTCTAAAGTAGATAAACAGATTGTGTGAGATTGAAGACCAGCTAACAAGTGGAGGTCTAGAAAATAAACTGACATAGAGTGAACAAAATTGTCCGCATGGGCTTCCGTAGATTCATGGTGTTCGGCTAACTGACAGTTCCTGTTGATTTGTCACTTTTAGCGCACTCTGGCGTCCATTTTTATAACCTCACAGTGCAGTAAGCGGCACTGGGTTTACGCTCCAGTCCGGGTTTTCTTTTCCTCTCTTCCCTCCAGAGCCGACGACGAGTTTTTGGCCAGAGCAGACCGTAGGTTACGTCTGGTGGAGGGAGAGTGAGCGGGGCTGCCCTGAATGGACTGACATTAGAGGGATTTACATTTTAACGGGTGTCGTGCTCCGTTAAGACTACACGGTGCACGCCGAGAACCGACTACTCTTCTCGATGTTTGTTCATGTCGGTGCCTGAAACATGTCCATGTGTCACCGTCGTGAGAGGATTGAACTTGCCAGCAGTCTATATTTGTCGAGGAGGGAAACCAATACAAGGTCTCGCTGTCTTTCTGGAGCGGAGTATTATTAGCAGTTCAGACAGTGCAACTGTCTCACTCTGGTATGTAAAGTATTTCTGCTATAAACGTGTAAATAAAACATCAGAAGCTAAAAAACAGCTTTAATTTCCACGGCGCTCTAAACGTCAGCGGTCAAGTGCAGAAATAATAATAACAGTGAGGTTTGAGGCATTTTAACACGGTAATAACCCTCTTCCGCCAAGGCAGAGAGGCGAAAACAGGATCCGACCTCCGGCCAGAGCCCACTTCTCAACGCGCCTGCCCTTTAAACTGTTAAAGCCGTGTCAGCCACGCAGGAAGCTCTATCTTCCCTTTACTTTTATTTGTTTTTTTAAGTCTTACTGTCAATTTTCCTTACTTGTCTATCTATCGACGTCAACTTTAACACACTTGCTTATACAAGTGGATTGTTCAGGCGGGGCAGACTTAAGTGTGTCCTAAAGAAAGATAAGTGGAGTTAAAAAGCTTTTAAACTAACATAAGTGTGTTTTGAAATGAACTTGATATTTTTAGCATGTCTCTAAAGTGAGTTTTACACCTAAATGCCACTTAAAGGTCTTGACACTGCTTGTGTTTTACTATGTTTGCCCTTTTTTTCTGTGTTTACAGGCCATGCACTGGAATTACACGATAATGACAGCACCATAATTCACGACTCAAAGAGGAAGATTTAAAAAAAGAAAAAGTTGTATACTGAGCGCAGAGTAAACATTCACCTGGCTCCCATGCCTGCTGCCAGAAATCCTCCTCTCCACACCCTCAGCCATGCCTGCCTCTACCAAAAGCGCCAGGAGACAGACACACGCTCAAAGAAAACATGCCCCGAAAGTGATCAGCACCAAGAGGCAAACCTGTAACTCAAATAAACCCAGAGGGAGAGCTGCAGAGCAGCCCCAGAGTACACCTGCAGAATCTAAAAGACTGACATCCAGGGCGCAGGTGCAATCAGCCCGCTGTCCCCGAAGAGGGGTTAGTGGGCCTGCTAGTCAGGGTCCTGGGAGGTCACCCGGCAGAGTTAACCATGCTTTAAGAGTGACAGGATCTGCGAGGCTTAGACGGCTGAGCAATCTACCTGAACCCACTGGCAAGGTACAAGACCCCATAGGGCGGAGGAAGTCCCAGCGGGGCGCACAGGTGTTGGATGTCTTCTGCCAGCCTCCTAAAACATGCAGAGGAGGAAGGACCAGGAGAGGAGGTGCAGGAAGGGGTGCAGCCTCACAGCATGGAAACGCAAGACACCAACCATCAAGTGCCGCATCTGATGGGGAGAGTGAGAAACCGGACATCTGTCATGTGGAAGAAAACGTGCCGGTTGCTCTAAAAACAGTTTCTGAAGCTTCTGCAGGGATCAGAGGCAAAGGTCTTGGAGTCAGCAATGCTAAAGAAGGCAGCCCTCTTAAAGCAGATTCACCACCACATGACAACGCACTGGAAGACTGTGTTCAGGGCAGCTGTGACAGTACAACACAAGAAGACAAAGAGACCCTGTTTCAGGACAGTGAAAGCGACCTGGGGTGTGTCATCTCAGCCCCTGTGTGCGATGATGCTCATGGACAGCTAAAACTCTGCAGTGACACCATGAAAGATAACCCCTCTGAGCCCTCAGCACTTACAAGTATTAGCACACCAGCAGTGCAGGGTAGTAGTGAGGGAAATGACAGTTCATCTATTCTTGGAAATAATCTTGATCATCCTGCAAATCATGTTCAAGCTCCTCAACAAAATGATGCAAGCACTGTCCAACAAGAGGAGGCTGCCACGTTGGATATGAAAGAGAATGGTGTGGATGAAAGAGCGATAGCTGTCAGTGGGGGGACAGAGGAGATGAATCATGAGAGAAATGAGAGTTCAGAGGCAGAGAGACGAAATGAGACTGTGGAAGAGATGGACGAGGTTGTGGAGATGGGTGACTGTGAGGAAGAAGAGGGGAGGAATGAAAAGGAGAAGGAAGTTTTCACACGCTCTTCTGACCCTCATCCCAGCACCCCAGCCCCTCCACCTCCAGATTCACCTCCATCTAACAATGGCCTGACAGCACAGTCAGAGTCACCTGGACCGGTGTCACTGGTCTCTGACATAGCTACCTCAAATTCCACCAAAGCTGCCACCACCTCAGAGTCCATTGATTTAGAGGTTCTGAGTCTGGTTCAAACTGAGATGCAACCTACCTTTAATGGTGTTAAACCTTTATTACCAGGGTGCTCAAATGTTCCTGAAACTAGCATGAAGTTGCAGACTGTTCAAGTGCAACGAAAAACACCGGTGATTATCCGCAGTGACTCCCTCAAAACTGCGAACTGGAGGGACTTGCACCAGCGACAAAATCAAGACATCCCTTCCTCAGAGGGGGAAAGACAAGCTTGCACACCAGCAGAGACGCTCACCAAAGAAAGTGAATCTAACCCAGAGCAACCGGAGCGCCACATCCAGAGGGAGACACCTCCGCTGTTGCTGTTGGTTGCTCCTCAGCTGAACTCGGATGCTCAAACAGCTGAGTGTGAGCCAAACGTCAGTGAGGAAAGTCTTGTCTCAGTGCCAAAGATCCCAACTCCCTCACTGGACAGTATCTCCTCCTTCTCCTTCAGCTCGGAAAGCACTCGCTCCTCTTTTTCGTTAGACACGGAATCAGAGGCAGGGTACGGGGAGCCGATTCCAACATTACTACCTGGATCCTTGGGGCCAGAGGGGACCCGCTTGCCTTCTTGGAGACCGCAGAGGAAGGAGAGGAAGAAGCGGAGCAGGTGTGGGACTTGCGAGCCGTGTTTGAGGAAGACCAGCTGTGGACAGTGCAGTTGCTGTTTAAACCGCAGGACTGGACACCAGATCTGTAAGCTGAGGAAGTGTGTCGAACTGAAGAGGAGAAGACCTTTCTCTCCAGTCATTCGCTCTGCTGCTCAGGTAAGGCTTGAATCACACAGCTCGAATCAAATAAACGCATCACAGGAAAATTTATTGCAGTCAGGTCCTCAGTCTGTTCCCTTGAGGACGTTTGATTAAATAATGATTGAAGTGGGAATATTCAGAGGCGTCTTTTTGCATCCGAAACAGCCGATCAGAGGCGACTAAAAAAGAGCGTTCACTATTATCTGACAGTTTTGCTTTTGATCACTGTGCTTTCCCAGACGCCCACCGCTCGCTGCAATGACCAAGAGTTGAAAGAGCCAAACACTTAAAACGGAGACTTTCACTTTCATGTAGTAATTCTCGTGTTTTCTGTTAATACCGCAGATATTGCAGGCACGATGTCGTCTTGTCTTCCTGTTAAATGACGGGGAATATATCGAGTTAAAAAGGGGAAGTGCCTGCACTTGTGTGTGTTTGTGAATTTGTGCGTAGAGAAGAGAGATCTGGTGCGGATGTAAGAGTAACTGAAATGTTGATGATGCCCTGACACACACACTTTCACATGACTGGCAGCAGCACGTGGTCGGAGTATGAGTCTGTCGGTACATCTGTCTGTGTGCCAGTGTGTGCACGCCATTCAGAGGATAAGTTATTTTATGGGTTGCACATGGTGATTGTGTGTCCGTTTTGCTTGTGTGTGTGTGTGTGTGCAAATGAGTATGTCATTAAAGCTAATTTGAGCTGGATGTTTTGCACTGAATGGCTTTGTGGATGCATACTTTAGGAGAGAGAGTCAAATACAACAATAAACAACCAGGACATTTTGTAAGAAAGGAATTTCCTCAGTCCGTTTTGTAGAAGTTTACCAGCTGCTCGCTGTTGAGCTTTTCGTCCTGGAGCTTTACTTTGCTTGTTGTTTCTACACAATCTTTCAGGCTGCACTTGGCGGCTATTTTAAGAGGAAAAACCCACTTCAGCGTACCTGCTCAGCCGCAATCACCACACACACAAACACACAGTAAGCTATCAAAGGCTTAAAAGCAGCTTTGTCCAATTAAGAATGTTACTGCATGTGTGTATTATCACTTTTTCTCACACAAGTTTGCTGAATAAACCTTTAAGGTGACTTCAGAGCTTTTTATTGGTACTCTATGGCAGCAATAATACCATGTTTGGTATCTGTTTATGTGTCTGTCATAGACTGTACAATAAAATGAACACTACAAATGTTCTGAGACCGTGAAGCTGAAACATTTAGAGCTCCGCCTACTGACTGGCTGCATTACAGGTCAGCTCCTTAATGTTATAATTTGAGTCAAACTACAAAATTAAAATACAGATCCATTTTTTTCAAATCATGGTTTTTAGTTATCTCTGAGCACACTGTTTTTGTTCCTGCGTTCATTTTTCTGAGAGTTCTGGTTTTATTTAGCTGTTCAGTGTCAGATAAAAGAGCCATTGACATCCACTAAACTTTCAATATCCACTTAGGTTTGCTTCAAACCAGCACAAGAATCTATTCTGCTGTGGACTGTACCAGCATGAAGGAACTTTGCTGTTACATTTGTGAATTTAATGCCTGTTTTGTTTAGTGGAAGGGATGTGGTGGTCGCCCCTTGGTTCAGCAGATTGTTCCTGTGCATTTCTTGGCCATATCTCATATGGTATTTTAGCGTGACGTTCTCACAGTGGGAACTGCATGGAGGCACAGAGTCCATATTATTTTACAGTCAATGGCTTTCCAAGCTTATTAGTCTTCATTTTGGCAAGCTGCATCCATCAAATGAGTAATTATACCATAGTAGTGCAGAATGGTAAGCCAACTCCATTGCTAAGGATTCCACCACACTGATGGTTGGGTTTTACTTCCTCTACAGACCTTTTTTACAGTCCTAGGAGGCAGCTTTTAGACAAGACAAGTTATTAGATGGTGAAGGAAATCCACCGTGTTGAAACCTGATGATCCAAATACATTTCAGGAGTTGTTTGAGACCAAAAACAGAGATTAATCTTGGACTTCACTCAAGCAAAAATGTAAAATGCGGTGTATATACAGCATTTGATGTCAGTGATATTTATTGCCTCATGCATTTCAGCTTGTTTGTGTTAAAATTTGAGCAATGCAGATATGAACTGTTGTTGGTGTTGTTATTATTCAGACTTGGTCTAGCTGTTTCGTGCACAGCCTCAGTGGTTATAGTGCTTTAGCTTTAGTCTACTTCTGTAGGAATAGAGGGCTTATGAATCTATCCTCAGTCATTTTGGTAGATGGGAATAGGAGATCCTCAAAGCAGCTGGCTGCTCGAGCTACATAGGCGTGTGCATAGTTCAGTGATGTCCATGTGGCTGGGGGAGGGCTCTGTGTGAACAACTGTGAGTGAGGGTCCATGTGTCTGTATGTGTGCAAGCGTGCGTGCATGCACAGGCAGAGGAGCCCTCAGAGCTGCAGCAGTGGCAGGAGCAGATCAGCGCTGATTATATAACACCTGCAGTAATAGTATTGACGACCTCTGAGTGCTATTACTGCGCATGGGGGGGGCATGCAGGAAGAGATCAGCCCAGGCAGAGATTTGCACACATATTATTTGGAATGGCCTGAAATGTAGGTCACTGTAAGTGCTTGAGTGTGTGTGCGACACAGACTCAGAGGCAGATTACTGTATTTTTGGTAGTGACAGAACTGTAGATCCTCTCTCATTCAAGCGACAGAGCCAAGCTGTTGTTTACACATTCATCTTTGCTGACATGACATCGCCCAGCGTCCCGTGCATGTAGAAATGTTTGTATTTGTCTTTTGAAAACAGGTTTGGTCTGATTCTAAGCGACTGCAGGGGTGGAGCTTGCACCAGGTGCTGCAAGGAAGTACTGTCAGCAGAGCTACCATGAGGAGGTGTTGGAGAAAACTGAAACTACATCCTTAACGTATTCTTTACGTAGAACAGGTGGAGCAAGCTTCCCTCCTGTCTTGTGTTTAGATTTACAACTTGAGAAAACGCACTGTGAGGCCACATGCTAGTATTTATGGGTAAGACTTTGACTTACTGGCTGGTCTGCCTTGCTAATCAAGCTCACACGCCCTTTCAGCTAATGTTTGTAACCTCAGAAGATAGTGGAAAAAAGGAGCAGAGGCCACAGAGGAGCTCATGTAGGGACATGTGGATTCTGTGCCCGGTTTTGCCATAGTGAGCTTTGAAGGTTGGTGTGGATGTGGTTTAGTTTTGGTTAAATCGCACAAAAACACAACAAAAAGCACAGGTTGAATATTGGATTATCTACATATGTGATATACCAAAACTAAAAACACACTTTCACAGTCTGCGTGTGAGTATGGCGCATATCTAACCTGAAGGTTTCCTTTTAAAAATGTCTGGTTTCACTCAGGCTTCATAGCCCCCTCGTGGCCTCATCTTGCAGTGGGCAGTAAGTATAAGACCCAAGATCTGGCCCTGAGCATGCTCACACATATACAAGCACACACATGCTATCTCTCTCTCTCACACTCTCTCACACACACCAGAAAGAAAATACTTAAGTTCATCGAGTGCAAAAGCTCCTGTATTTGTTGAGTGAATTTGACTGAAACAGTCCTGACATGTTAAGAGCTGTAGGCTGCATAACTGGCTGACTTTTTTATAGACCAACAACGGAGATGCTGGCACTCACGGATGATGTCTTAGATTTACAGCTCAGCCTAATAGGAGGAAAAAACACGAACATCATCAGCTGTTGAACTAAGAGGACCCATAATGTAAACAGTTGACCCTAACACAGTCAGTGCTGGCAGTCCCTTTTCAAGCATATCCACAGTATTTCAGTGTTTAATACCAATAGACCATTCTTACACACATTTACTTTTTAAATTAATAGTTTGGAGGGAAACTGAGCATCAGACAACAATAAAATCTTCAGTATCTGTAATTGCAATTAAGTATGCTATTGGAATATATATCCGTATGATGCTGAACTCATAGATAGCTGATGAATATTACCTCTGAGTTCTGATGTCTGCTTCTGTCCCTATATTTACCAAAACTATGCACCTGGTGAGGTATACTGCAAGCTTGAGGTGCCCCATAATTACATAGTAAAAGAAGAATTCAGTCCTGCACAATACACGTCTGCAGGTGGATACCATGCTTTTTTACAAATAGTTGCCTCCATGCCTCCAGTCAGTTTGCCAGCTCAGCCCAGCTCCTCCTGCAAACTAATCTATCTCCTGCACCCCTCTCCCTCGCTCCTTTCTCCGCTCGGTGCATTTTCCAGAGGAGTCACCCAGCTGAGATAACAGGAGTATCAGGAAAGCACTTTCAGATCCCTCAAATAGCTCTCTGTCAGGTTGGACGGACAGCCTGCAGCACCCAGCAGTGACTGTTTGCTTTTAAACAGACACTTTAAGCTCTGTTTGTCTGCCTGCATGTAAATTATTCATACCTGAATGTTTGGGTGTGAAGTGAAGTGGTTAAATGCACATGTAGGGGCCAGTTTTACAGACCGTGGTTTTGCATCCCCCCACCCCACCCATTGTTCTCAAATGGAGCCAGCTTGATATAAAGAGAGAGGGCGATTTGTCCCGGCAGATGCTCCTGTCAGGTCTGACCCTTTTGCCTGCACATACGCGGCATTGGAGGTCTTCAGCACTGATGGTTGCCATGGCGATCTCTTTGTCTGGTGTTGACCTTTGACCTGCCACAGTTGTCTGTTAGAGTATTCTCAGGGTCAAAATGAAGATTAGTGGAGATAACCAGTAGACACAAACTATTATTGGTTTAAGGTTTTGAACTCCGTAACCTACATCCAGGTAATTGGGTTAAACTACGCTGAGTGTCCCGCTAGTCAGGAGCCAGGTAGGGCTATCTACAACGGACGGAGACCTTAAAAGTGGTGCATTTATCTGCATTATCTGTGCTAATCCGCCTGCACGGTTAGATAATAGCTTGTAATTTGAGTGTAACACATCCTCTGTTTTTTTATGGAGACAAAACGTGTTTGTCATTTTCGTCAGAGCTACACTATCATTGTGTTCTTGTTGCACTGGCATAAATCTTTTTGTACAATACAGCTTCCTTGAAAGTGACTTACTCACCATCTGTAACACATACAAAGGCAGTTCAGGGTCAAGGCCAAGAGGTAATCCACCTTTTTAAGGATACTGTCCACAAGTGTTAGCCTTTGTCAATCTCAAATGGGGGCAAGAATTTGGTTTGACACAGACTGTGCATCTTATATCTGGTTTTATTGATCTCATGGTTGAAAAGATTGTCTTACTTAGAGCAAAAATCTTTGTGACACACCAAAACAAAAATATTTGATACCTGATGCAATATTTCCAGATCAGCAATTTGGTTAATTTTTATTGTCTTTATATGCATACACAAAAAAAGACAAAATTTGATTGTTCCAGCCAGTAGCAGAAAAAAAGAAATACATGAAAATACCTAAAAATCTTCTTTAAAAAAACTACAAGAATAAAGAATTTCTCTTGGACTCTTGTAACCCAAGTCAAATTCTGTCAAAACCATTTACAGCATGCAAACCAAAAGAGCCTGTGTTTTCATTCTCTCAGGCGGTTTCACAGTGAACAGTATTTGCTTGTGGAAAAGGAGCAGCAGGTTATATTTTTGTAAATTGACAGAATAGTGCACAAAAGCAAAGAGATACGATTTACTCTTTGACCACAGGGGCCTGAAACTGACATGAAAGGAGAGTATTAATAGCTTTGAAACTAGTTTCCTGTCACCTCCTTACAAAAAAGTAGAGGGTGTATCTTTCATTAAACATGAGAGGGTTTTGGTCACAAACTGCTTTTATGAGTAATACAGACATGACATCTGCTTTAATGTAACTTTCAGTTTAGTTTGAGGTTCAATATTTAACTGTACTGAAGTGAAATGGAGGTACAGTCAGTCTGATAGGTAAAAACATGGACGTTTTTCAACAGGAGCATCAAGGATTTCTGGTGAATGTAAAACAAATCTCTTCCTGTGCCACGAAAAAAGTTTGATGTATTTTCCATCGGAAAGTAATTCATCCGCTGTCATAAAACAAGCGCAGGTTTCCCCACGTGAGCATGTGGGCACTGCAGCTGCAGTTAGCTGAAGGACCAAAACATCCACTCTCCTTTTATTCTATGTTATTACGTCAGTGTGTGGGACTGTAGGGGGCCGAGGTAGCGAGGCAGGTTCATGAAATGTCAGAAATACTGCCAACATTTTATCAGAGGCAGTTCATTATGACCAAGCAGAGTAAGTAATGCACAGCCCACTTTCTCCACCCAGGCTTCTCTTTTTATTTGGACACAGACGCGGGTTACAAGAGCCTGCCTCTGATTAGCACTGCTGTGTAGTTTTCTGTCAATCTGGTCCGAGCTAGTTAAATCTAAAGAACCCTGTGAGGCACTTATCTGTTATAACTGCAGAGCTTTGGTAGTGGTTGGGATAAAAAGGCTATGTGGACAAGGGGAAATGTCTGTTTTATTTGATTTGGGGCTCTGTTTTTTGGCCAGAGCCCACCATACATCAGAACAGATGTGAGGCCTTGACTGTGCCAGGTTAAAGGCTTATATCCAACAAAAGACAGTGTGTGAAAGATGGCAGCGTGCTTACTTTAGAAACTACAGTACAAAAGAGGGGTTTCAACACATGGCACTTTGCATCTATTGTATTAAGAAATCTGCTGCAAGATATTGGCAGAGTTAAACTTTATAACGCTAATTCCGCACTTCTGAGCCCCTTAAGGTTCTTTGCATCTGCGAGTTTGTGCCGTGTCCTGACTGTTGTAAGGCTCTAAAGCCCTGGATCAGCTTTGAAGTCGTGCCACTTGGTTTCTCTGGGTGAAAAGAAATCCTGACTTTGCCCCCCAAAAGAAATGCCACTCAAATCCAACCAAGGGCACACAATGGCCTCCTTCTGGAGGAACCAGAGTTTAGTCATGCCTCAACCTGGTCTGTCGGTTCTATAATATAGTTTGTATCTAAACTCTCATCTTTTTGCGCTGTGGTATCATTATTAATGTGAAGATGTAATGCGCTCATTCGTTGATTTGTTTAGTCCATTTTTCACGGTGCCTTTATCCTTAATCACACTCTGACTGCAGAGGACTGTTTCCAGAGCTTGTTGCTGCCATTAAACTTCTCCTGTCATTAAAGCTTTAAGTACCAGTATAAACCCTCAAAACACCCTGAGCTGATGCCATGAGCACCCAGCTTCTGTTAACCACCTGAACCCCTCCGTCAGCCTGATATTTTGTTTGGATTATTCAAGATTGCTTGTCCTCTTGCTGAAAATATCAGTTTAAAAAGTCATCTAACTGTTCGGCTTGGAAAATGAAAATCACTTAGTTTTTTTGGTGCCTCTTACACCACAAGCACCCTTGGGAGTAAGTGCTCTGCAGTTTGAGCATTCACAGGCTGTATGCGCTCACTCTTTGATGCACCTGTGTTTGTATGTGTATGTTTTCGAGAGCATGTGAACTCCTGTGCATTCTTATTACTTACTCAGCGTGTTTGACTCGCTAAAGTCAGCCTCTTCCTGTGTCACGTGAGAGGATCCGGGGGCCCTGCACTCCCTCCGCCTGCACAGTGTTTGTGTGAGAGCATGTGTGCAAGTGTTTACATTAACTGCTTGACCCGATCACCTTTGTCCTCTCTTCATTCCAAGGTACAACACCGACTTCTAGCTGCTCCAACACTTGACACCCCTAAACTAAAGAAAACAGTCCATACTTTTTTTTCAGTTTACACACACATGAAAACTGAGCACCAGTTTAAAGAGTGTAGAGAGGGTATGCAAAGGTTTTAAAGTGCGTCCCTCCTCTTTTGGTCAAGCTAGAGCTGACCCAGTATCCCCTCATGCTTAACGACCCCCGATGACCCCTAAATTAAGTCCATGTGAGTTCAGGGTGTGGAGCTGAATGGTGTGCGCATTTCCTAAGAGCTTGATGGTAGTTTGTTACGTAACACCCTCTGCTTCTATGTGTGGTGTGGACTTTTGAATGTGGACCCATTGTGTCCTTAAAATAGCCCCAGCCATGGGTTGAAAACTATCCATACAGGAAGTGTGGAAACTGCAGACATGCATCACTATGACTGTGCATGACTGTGTGTGTGTGTGTTTGCTGAAGAGGCAGTCAACCTACAGTAAGGGAGAGAGTGCTGAAAGCTGTTGTGTGGACATAAAGTCGAAGCCTTGAGTCCCAGATGTTCTTTTGGAGAAGCATCCAAAGTCCTGTTATATATGAGCGGTCTCTGGAGTCTGCTGAATATGAGCCATACTGCTGTTTCCTCTCAGGTAACACACGCTTTCAAGGTTTCTTTAAGGAAAACCAGCTCCCACTCAGCCTTGGTATGGATGCACATAATCCAAGTGATAATGTGGGTGTTTATTCTGTCTCTAAAAGTTTGTGCGTGTTGGTGTTTTTTACCCTCTAAAAAGGCAAAAGTATACAGTAAGTCTCAACAATCACATGCTGGATAGTTTAACCCACTTTTTCTTCATCTTATTCCCCACCCTGATCTGCTTTACAACACTTGCACCTTCAATAATGAAGAAACAACCAAAGAAATCCCCTCAAATTCCAAGACCATGCCAACGATCTGCAGCTTTCCCATGCAAATGAGAGACGGGTTTACATTAGAGTCAGCAGTAATGACTGTAATGACAGCTATTGGCAACGTTCACGTTTGGCACGGCTCCATCCCCGGGCCAGTCTCCAGTGGGTCAGCATCCAGATGTGTCAGAGACAGTTTACGACTGCGGTGCGGAGCAGTTTTCTTTACCTCGCTCTCAGGCTCATGTTCTGCAACTTAGGGTAATTAATGTCCAAGCTACTTGTTCTTAACGAGAGCTGGGCTGCTCGTTAAAAGGGAAAAACATATGGGACACTTAAAGAGCTGAAAATGAAGGGTGTGGTGGAATATTGGTAGTGGCTGTGGTGTATTTTCAGACTGAAGGGATAGAGTTGCTGCAGGAGGGAAGTTAGGAGACCGACCAAAACAACCAAAAGAGCTGAACATACTTTAAAACGTCATATTTTTAGACGTACTCACTCTATGATGTGCATATTGAAATACTTTCTCTAATTTAAACCCCGGTCTCCTCATCAGTGAGTGAAATGTTACATGAGCTAATAAAAGTTGAACAGTTAGTCTAACAGCCAAAAGACAAACCATAGAAAGCTCGTTTTTTAATTTCCATCAGCTAAGGATGGATGATGGGCACTTTTTCTGACAAAGCAGTTGTGCAAGAAAACCAGTTTTTGCTGCTGTAGTTGATCAAATCATACATCTGTAGATTAGCTGAGATGTATGTAGTTAATTGGTAATCCTCTACCTTTACTTTATTTTTCTCTAATGCATTTTTGTCATGGTGATGGCTGGTCAGATCATTTGAAAGACTTGCTGTTGGAACTTAAGGATTTTTTTTCCTCCACTGAGAAAACTTGGGACACATTTTGCAAATCACAATCATGTTCTCCTTCTCCCAAGTTAGTGTAAAGCATCCACTCAGGTGTGACCATTTCACTCATTAGCTTATTATTGCAACTGCGTCCATTCTTCTTCTCTGTGATTGATTTACGACCACGTACTGTACTGCAACGTCACAGCTCAACTTTAAAAGGTTGTTTCTATCTAATAAAACTTTGTAATCAAAAAGAGAATTGAAGTTAAAATATTCCTTTCAAGTGAATCCTTGGTAAACACCATATTGTCAGGGTAGGTGTCAGAGTTTGTATGTCTGTATTTTAAATTCATCCAGATGTTGAATAATAACATTTAAACAGATTCATACTGTTACTCTGACTCTGTATCTGCATGTCAGCTTCAGCAGCAGTTAGTGGGTGTGTTTTATTGTGCGGCTTGGTGTAACCTGTTCAACAGTCTAGTTTTTAGACTTTTCTATTTATGCCAAACCTGTCAGACCACCTGCAACATTCCCATTAAGAGGAAAGCTCTGCAACTTTGAATCCTGAGATGTCATCTTTATAAAAAACAAGATAAGATTGAATTATCATCTTTGACTTTTTAAAATTGTCCACATGGTTAGTCAGTTTGTCTCCTAAATCTGAAGAAATATTTTCCAAAATGTGATAAAAACAGCTAAGAGCTGTTGTTGTTGTTGGGCTGGAGAAATATTATTTTTTTGTGCATGAAATTTGCAAACACAATCTTGTGTGAATTATGAGTGTTTAGTCTACATCTGTGTTTGCTTTACAGTGTTGGGAAATGTGTGATTATTACTGTTAGGGGTAATGTTGAAGTGTACTTGTTTTCTATGCAGATGGTGTTTTCATTGATGTGCACAAGCTTTAATATTACAGACAAGCTTTTATAAGTCTGCCAAATAATGAGCAGTCACCACCATCAGTAAATACATTAACACACTCAGTCTCAGTCAGTGACAGTGTCCCTTTAAAATATTTGCTATGACACAACATAGGGTAAGCGTAAAGCCACAGCAAGCAGGAGTTTGACTGTGATAAGTGTAGAGCATCTAACTGACTAACTGAACGTCTGACTGTTGACCTCTGTTGTGCGATAAAACCAGCCCTGTAACCATGGCACTTAGATTTTAACTCTATGTTTACATTTCACTGGGTTTAAACGGAGATATTTAGCAGATAACTGTTCCCACTTTGAGGAAGAGTTGTTCAAAAGGAAGAGTATTTTTTTACATCTCTGACAGCGCTGATGAAGTCGCGGCCTGTCACTGTCAGAAAACCACACGTCACTGTGTGTTTTAATGGAGTGCTCTGGACTGAATGAATACCTTTGCATGTTTATTGCATGCTCGACACTCTGCTGATACAGTTTTCATTGTGGTGTGTGGATTAAGCTGCACGCTCTCTGCTTTCACAATCAAACACACTGTTGGTTACCAGAGTGTTACCGACAGGCACTGGCTCCGACTGCCTTCATGTTTCCTTGTCCTGGTGTGACCTCAGCGTCTTGGCCACATGGTTGCCTCTAAAAGGGGGAAGAGGGGGGGAGATGGGGGGTTGTTTTACTCTCTCATGACATTTTTTTTTTTTTTTCATTTTCTTCCCCTTGTTTTTTATCTAACCACAGATACTCCTTTGGGAATCATGAATAATAAAAAGTCTCAGGCAGTTGAGGGAGAATAAGGGGGAAGGGTTGCATGAGTGGTATGGATGCTGTGAACATCCTCCTTTCAGCTCCACTCAGGATATTCCACCATGTCCAAATCATGTGGGAACAGAGGAAATTAGCTGCTACAAAGCTGCCATTGTTTGTAGTAGTTCAAAAAGCAATTCTGGCTATGGGCTGCTTAAAAATATGCATCACTTTTTTATTTAATAATAAGTCAAATCCCTCTGTTGGTGATCAAAGAGAAAGGAGGACATGTACTTTCGCACTACTACTATTTGGAAATGAGTAGTATCGCTGTTGTGTGAAGTGTAAGCTGTAAATAAGGGGAAGGGGTGTTCACTCATGTAAATATGAACATTTTAAAGTAAAGCTATTTTATTGATTTCCACTTTATGTCAGTCTGGGATCCCCAGGATGTAGCTTTGCATTATTAGCAAGTAAAGAAAGCTCAATATTTACATTATACCATCATCAGTGCAAACTCTCATTTCAGCACTATTCAGTCCAGGGATTAAAGTTGGACTCCGCTTATGGGTTTTACTTTTTACACAGCTTTGTAGGCACAAGATGACCTGAAATCTACACCTCACTGAAAACATTCAGGGATAGCTTTTAGGATCCAGTTATCTTTACATTTAGTCACGTCAGCACAGGTACTGGTTGCGAGCCTTCAGGGAAGGTCTCAGTAGCTGAAGAAGCCTCAGATTTGAGTAGCAGTTGAGACACAAATCTAGCTTGTACTTGCTTTTGTTTACAAAGAGGTCATGAGCGACGTTGCAAACACCAAGGTAACATCTTCCTACTGCTTTCTAGTGACGTTGTTTCCGGACAGTATAACATGACATCCAGTTGTGTCTCAAAATCAACTGTTCAAAGAAGGGAATAACGTTGCCATCCATGTATGTCATGTGATGAAACTCTGCTGAGATTTATTACGCGCATCCAACATCATACTGTGTTTATATTAAAACACAGATCAGCATTATAGTTCCCCTTTATTTGTAAATACATTATTAAACATTTTTCATATTTATAACATGTTATAAAGGCTCAAGAATCTAAATCTCCAAAATATCACACTAAGTTTTAGATGTAATATCCTGAATGAAGAATTCACAGAAGTATTCAGCATCAGTCAAATAATCAACATCAGTTCAGTGAAATCACACAGAGTCTGGAGTCAGTGCTGGTGAGCCGCCTCAGGGGTTAACATCCCAGAGCTGATGGAGTTGTTTTTCTCTGATCCTGATCCAGCATGTGTGCAGTATCCGTTCCACAGCTTGCATCCAGTCCATGTGTGTAGGGCTGGAGTAAAGAGCCCACATAGGGGATCCTTTGTTTAGGAGAGTCTAGGCATGGAAGATAATTTACAAGCCGCTAAGGTCCTCACGCCATTGGCTGATGAGTCTCTGTCTGCGTCTGCGAAAGGCATCCCTTACGTGTGTGTCTATATGTCTGTCTGTGTGTGTGCGCGCTGCTAGTGTGTGTGTGTGTGTGCGTCTGCTGTAGCAGCACTTTGCTACAGCAGCTCACAGTCGCCCTAGTCATGACACCCAGGAGCTTTGCCCTGCACACGGCTACTGTAGCCAGCGTTTTCTTTTGAGGCTGAAGGAAGGCGAAGCAAGATGGCCACCAAAACCTTTTAGGGGATATGCTTCCTAAACTGGAAGGGCTTCTCCCGAGGACAGACAAGGTAAAAAAGTGTTTACCCTGGGGTCTATTGTCTCACTGCAGATGGAGGCAGCTACAGTGGAGCTCATCAAGAGGTTATCCTCTGTTGTCTCCCTCTGCCATCCTGGATTTAGCTGATTGGAGGGCTATACTTGGACGCTGGTGTTGTTATTGTTCCTGCACGGCTTCTGTTTGTGAGTGTTTGGCTTGTCTTTTCCAGGTGACGTTTAAGGATGTGACAACAAAGTCAGCAATGAAAAGGTTAGTTTCCACAATAACAGACACCCCTCTCGTCGTCTCCTCAGCTGCAGGTCTGTTTTGGACTGTAACGAGGAGTCTCTTTGCTTCCCCTTTTGCAGTGGTTTAGGACAGCCATATTTCTGCACCTGCTGTTTTCTGAAAGCTTAGCCGAGAAGTAGAGCGCTCGTAAGCTTTAGGTTGTAACTTGGTATTTGGCAGGATGCACTTGCTTGGATGTGGAAGCAGTATTGTTATTGAGGGGTTTGTAGGGACGGTCTTAAAGCTGCACTCTGATTCGAGCTGATGTGCTGCACTTCTCCGGGATCACTGTCAACTTTGAGTCTGGTCTTTGTCTCTTTATCACGTTGTGTTTTTTTAACATGTTGACTACGTGACACCAAGCTCAGCGAGACAGGAAACTCACTCAATGAATGAAGGAAATTCTCACGTGTTGAGAAAGAGCGCTCACAACCACTACTCATACTCTCAGCAAGGGAGGAAGTGAGTTTTATCGGGGTTTTCGCTTTATTTTTTTGAGGTTGAGATCCTAACAGCGTGGGTTCCTACTCAGCCCCCGTCAGTGTGTTACAAAGGTTTCAATTGACGTGTTTGAATCCAGGTGCCTATAACGTTTGTCTGATGTGTTTACATGTCGTGTTGTAGGGTTAATAATAGATTCACACCGCTTCAATCTTCCTTGGAGACCCATTAGAGAGTGAGGAGGGTTGTTAGGATTCATGTTGCGCCGGCGGTCACACTTCTGTTGCTAAGCGAAGGTCTCTGAGCGTGTGTTTGTGTAAAGCGCTCTCCCTTAGCTACTCCGGCGTGTGTTTTGTTGATTTTGAGAGCCCTGACAGCCGCGGCGGTCGCGTACGCTGTTTGTCTAAGATAAAAGAAAAAAAGACTGTTTGCATTTCAAGCAACACAGCTGATCGTGAGTGCCTTCAGACACCCCCGAGGTAGACACAACAACACAACACAAAAGACACAGCCGCAACACATCACAGAGCCAGCACTCCCCAGAGACCCTGTGACTCGACGAGGACATGTGACTCTGTGTTTGCATCCTGCGTCAGGCTCTGTAACATCATCAAAAACTGTTGCTGCACTTGAGCGTCAGATCTGATGCACAAATAGACACACTCTCATACACATGCATCGGGACACGCGTGTGTCTGGTGCAGTGCTGGAAGCCGGCCAGCGCTGCTTTGTCATTGAAAGCAGTTTATTGTGGCAGACACACTGCCTTTCTCCACTCTCTCTCCCCTCTCCGTGTCTTTTTCACGTGTCTTCTCGTGCTTTCATTTAAACGTCGCGGTGGGTCAATTTCCACATGCTGTGCGGAGCGCGTAGCTCACCCTCTTACACCCGCAGCTCCAGTATTGCCTCAGCCTGAGCTCCAGATATCTGTTACTTAAGCAGCGTGTTTCGAGTAGCAGTTATAGTTGTAGTAGCGTGCATTCCCGATGACGGCGAGGAGTGCAGTTGACTGGGGAAAAATGGCACAATGGATCAGAGCGGGATTAGGGAAACCATATCAGTAGAAAGACTTGGAGATTATTCAGCTCACCCATTTTATGATTAATCTCAGGATGTTACTAATATTGAACTGCTCTATGGTCTCTGATGCCCCCTAAGGCAACAGTTCAACCTTGACAGAATGGGAAAACACCTCCTAAACATCGTTTCAGTGGACGGCTATTTCCCTCAAAGTCCTGTGGATAGATAATATACAAGTTGCACAAATGTTTTCCATCTCTGTTGCAAAAAAGTCTATGATAAGAAACATTTCGGCCATCTCGGCCAGTAGATCCACCAGTGGCAGCAAAGAACAAATGTTTTCATCTGGAGCATGTTTTTTGGATTTTCAGCAATCGTACTGAAAATAAATCTTTCCAGAAGCTGCAGAAATGTTCCAGTGGCTTCAAATGTCCTCACTGCTGAAACCAATAGTGCCATTTTCTGTTTGTCTTTACAGTGATTTTCTACTTGTCTTTCTGTCTTTGTTGTACATTTGTGTTGTCATAGTAAATGCAGCAGTTATATAGTTGTCAGCTTCATTTATCAGAGGCATCTTGGTTGTGATTTCACAAAGTTAAGATACAGGTCTCCTCATGTTAACCAACAACCTTCTTGAAAGCAGTGCAGCAGATTGCTCAGTATTAATCCTCTTAGACCCCGGTGCTGCCTTTGACACCTTTTGTTTCCTAACTTAGACTGAGAGCTTTTAGCTCTGGAAGGCTGCTTCATGGATCATCATGGGTGCCTTCTTCCTTATAAAAGAGGAATCATGACTTTGCTCAGCTGCAATCACATGTGGGATGTCACAAGGTTCAGTTATTCTTTCACTGGACATGCCTGAAAGTTGTTCCCATTATATCCAGGATGTCTCTGAGGGTTTTGAACGGATCACTTCAACCCCACTTTTGGTTTGGAGTAGCAGTATGATCTTTTGGGTTATGTGAGAAGCATGAGAGTAAAGTTTGTGTTAGAATGGTGTTACATTCATGGCAGGTCTGTTATAATCAAAAGAGTTTTAAATGTAAATTTTGATTATTCAGTTATTATATACGGCAGAGTATTAGTGTCACATTTAGTAAAAGAAATTTAAGACTTCGAGATTTAAGTCATGATCTGCGAGAAAAAAGTCATTACTAATAAGAATAAAGTAGTAAAGTAATGTGTTAGGAAAGTAAAGTTGTAATAAAGTAATTACTTATGAGAATAAAGTTGTACTAAAATCATTACTTACGACAAGAAAGTAGTAATAAAGTTATTACTTAGCAGAATAAAGTGGTACTAAAATTATTACTTACAAGGATAAAGTAGAAATAAAGTAATTCCTTATGGGGATATAGTCGTACTAAACTCAGTACTTAGGAGAATAAAGTAGTAATAAAGTAATTACTTACAAAGTCCTTATATTCTAACCTGTTGTTTAAGATGACAGTTGTTGAAATTAGAGCCATGGAGCATTTTGTGAAAATATACTTCAATAAAGGTTTTTCAAACAAGGAGATACTTAATTTTTTGGCACATCAGCTCAACATTATCATAAGTATCATAATGATTTTATAAAGACTTTTTTAGTTTTTTTAGTCTTATTTAGTCTTTTTTTAGTCTACCTATTATGGCAACGTCCTCATGTCTGCGCCGGCTATACATTTCTCTGGTTAAGTGGTGATATGCCAGTTGAACCAGATACAGCCTACAAACAAGTGTCTCTTCATTTTCTCAATCAGGTACTATTAAACTCTGCCATCTGTCTACTGTGCCGCTGCTTTACATTCAGGTAGCAGCAGTCGCCCTCAGCCAGAGCTACAACCCCGGCTGTCGTACAGCCTGCCAAGATTCCAAGATTATAGATTCCCAACTGGGAACCTGGTGCAACCCACTTTTTCCAGCAGGAGACTCTGAGACTAAAGAAGCTTTAAAAGGCTGTCTTTTTATGTAGATGATAAGCTGCTCTATGTTGGTACTAAAGTAAAGTAACAGTAGATCAACGCAGCTTGTATCCCCTTGGCTGAAACTTGACAGTGTTTGTATATGGTGGGTTCACAGAGGTCTGGTTTGTATTGAAGCGCTCGCTGCTCTTGATCCGTCAACACTGAGGGCACATCTCCTGCTGTAAACCGCATTAAACGGTGTCAGTGACGGAGTTTAATGGGTGTTATGCCAGGTAAACAGTGATAAAGTACAGATCTCAGAATACCCCGCAGTTTTGTGACTTCATTAAGAGGTAAATTGGATGTTTCTCACACACATAAATACAGAGCGCACACACACACACGGCTCTCAGTAATGCACACATATCCTCCAGCTCCTTAACCGAGTTTAAGATCCTTTTGTCAGCTGAGGCTTGGCACATGATGCTGTGTTTTTTTTATCTTTGTCACGCTGTAACATTTTCAATCATTCCTCCATTGCTGAAGGCTTTAGTTTGTGAATATGATGAGGGTTTAAAATCCCAAAATGAGAGGCAGTCTGACTTGACTGCAGTTACTCATATGCTGAGAGAGAGAGAGAAGGCTTTTATGCATCCTGTCGCAGAAATACTACAAATAAACTCTAGATTTTAATGCCTTTTTTGTTTTCTTAGACAACATGTTAGCGACTTTTCTGACACCCTCAAAGCTTTGACCTTTGACCGGATCAATCTGGTCTTTTTCTTGCTAATGAGGTTGTGGTTATTTTGCCTGCACTTATGTCAGTCTATGGTACTTTGTGTTGATAATGGCTGCTGGAGGTCGATCGGTCGGTCAATACTGAGGACCTTTGGATGGTCGTCCACCTCAGCTGGAGGGTCAAGCTGTGTCTGGATAAGACGCAGGGTGGGTTAATCACTTACTTCACCGCACACAGGCCTGCAGTGTCAAGACTCACATGTGCTAACATTCACAAGAACACACCTACAAACACAGCACAAACGCAACATGTACATGCACATTACTCACATGCCCTCAGTAACCCTCATCCAGTGACGCAATCGTGAACTGAGCCTGACTCCTGATGTTCACTCTTTGGCTCTAATACACTTGTAAGTATGTGGCTTCGACACTCCACAGCTTGGTCAGGAATGTTGCTCTGATTGAAGTCTCGACTGGGGAGTAACAGAGTTTAACTTCTTATTAGCTCTGTTTAAAGATTGCTTTCTTCAAAAGCTAAAGAAAGCAAATTCTTAGTTTTCAAATGCCGTAATATTTTCCACAGCCTCCATAGTGGCTGCAGCAGATGCTCATGCCATGCTGGGAGGCAATCTGTTGTGCTGTGTGCCGTGACTGTTTAGAACAAGCTGAGTAACTGTTTGCTGCCAGAGCTCGTTGAGTCACCCCTCTCTCCTTGTTTCTCTTTCTGTGTCTCTCGGTCTCAGGTGGTTCCAGAAAGTGGGTCGGTCAATGGCAAAGGCAAGGCACAGATGGATGAAACCCACACGGCAGCAGCGGAGGAGGATGAAGGGGAGGAAGGCCACATACCTCATACACAATCTCCCCACATCACCCACTCGCTCACCCACAACCTGGCCTTGGAGCAAGGCGGGCGGCCAGCACTTCTTAAAAGAGAGCCCGGACTCGAGCTGACCGGCAATGCACTTCACCAACATGTATGCTCTTCTGTGACTTTTCAGAACGGTTCTGCTGAGAACCTGACGAAACCTAACGGTGCTAACATGACCACTGGGTCATATTCTCATCTGAAATCAGCATTTAAAAGGACTACGACTGCATCCGAGCCTCAGAGGACTATAATAGCAGCCACCCCGAAAGAAAGCCCTGAAAGTGGACTCAAGGTGCCTCAAGATGACATGTCAGTCCCTCTGAAGAAGATCAAACAGGAGGAGCCGTGGATGTGGATCACTGAACAGGAGTCCTCGAAACTGAGCGACGATGATGATGACGAGGTCTGCGAGGACCCGCTGTCCACACTGGCGGCTGTTGTGTGTCTTTCTGTCACAGAGAGGAAGGGCTTAGAGGAGAAACTTTTCAGCTCACGTTCCTCCATTCTTTGCTCCATCAAAACAGAGCCCCCAGATTTGCACTTCATCAAAAAAGAGTCCCAGGACTTAAAGAATGACTTTTGTCAGAAAAGCACTCCCGTCAGCCAGCAGAGGACCCCCCAACCTGTCAAAAGTGAACCTCCTCCAAGTGTCTTAGAGCCGAGCGTGCAGTCTTTGGCAGAGAGGAGAAACCTTAGTTTTGAACAAGCTATTGCTATTGAGGCCTTGACTCAACTGGCAGCTATACCTCAAAGCACCCCAGGGTCCATTAAAAGTGAAAGTAAGTGTGAATATCCTGTTTCCACTTCTAGCCCGTTTTCAACCTCTAATACAGCCCTACAAGGAGCCAAACCCGCAGCAGCTGTTCACTACAACAAAGTCTCTGTCATCAGCTCGCCACTTCATCAGACATCAGTCATACGCCCTCCTGTGGCCAGACAAGGGAATGTCATCCAGTGCTCCAGGGGGTCCAGCTCAAACACAGGGTTGTCTCTGCAGGATCTCCTGGATGCCAGCTCAGATGGTGATAAAAGGAACCAGATCAGGAAAGAGAACGGCTTTGGTTCTCGTGACGTGAGGTTCAGGAATGATCATGAGAGGTTGTGTGGGGACGGCAAAGACAGGGTTGTGGGTCGAACAGGGAGAAACAGAGATGAAGAGGAGGTGGCTGCTCAGCTGGCGGACCTCGCCTTCATCATCCAGGCCCGGCACAACCACCAGTGGGAGAACAACCCCCCGAAAGGAACACCTGTGTCGGCCATTAAATACAACTACAACTCGAGGCCTCCTCCCAACCAGAAAAAGACCCTCATGAAGAAAACAAAAACCACACCCCCAAAGCCCAGGAAGAAGAGGGTCAGTAATGACGGGATCAACGGCAGGACCCCCCTCTCAAAGCGCATGCATAATGGAGATATGCAACACAGAAGCAGAGGTCAGAAGATCCTCCATCAGGGGAAATCAGGCTTTCATAAGAGGAACCTGTTCCTGCCTCAGGCTCAAATCGACCTGAAGAGATACCTGGCTGAGGCTGAGGAGGAAAGGAGGCAGCTCATTCATCATAGTGGTGCACACAACACAAGCCTCATGGGGGCGCAAAGTCAGAACTACAGCACTCACACAAGGATCCACCATGCTCCCAGTCAAGAAAACCAGCCATGGTCTCTTTCAAACGGTCCAATCTATCAACACAGTCCATACAACGGTCATGCTGCAGGACCAGGACCAGGGCATGAAAGGACTTTGTTATCTCAGGTAGCACAGCACAGTGCTGATCCCAACACCAGCCCAGCAAATACCACTTTCCCCAGCCACCCTAATGGACACCATGGTCTGGCTAATGGGTTCTCAGGGGCTCCGAGGTCCCCTCCTCTGAGCCAGCAGAGTTATTACAAGCTGGAGAGGTCAGGACCAGTCACGGTCCTGTCCACAGGTACAGATGGAGACTCTGCGGAGTCAACTCCGATCAAGAACAACATCAACAGCTTCCTGGAGTCTCCTATGAGTTTTCTGGATACCCCGACCAAGAACCTGCTCAATACACCTTCTAAAAAACTGGCTGATCTTCCATCCTGTCAATGCGTGGGTGAGTGAGAGCTACCTTAGATCACATTCGATTATTTGCGACTGAATCACACAAAAGTTCTTTGACCTCAAACGAACACTGGTTTTCTGTTTCTTTCTGGTACAAACACACACAGACACACAAATACACACACACACACCCACAAGCTGTGTCCTAATTCAGGGGCCAACTCATGCAAAAGGAGGCCACATTTCTCTGCCATATTTGGAGGAGGCTTTGAGATACTTTGTGGAGCCTTGTGACCTGTTTTGATTTATTTGTCCTGTAGATGTAGACTTTAAAGATGGTGGTCCTTGACCTGACATTGAGCTAGACTTACTGTGAATTTAAAGTTTACATTGAAACAGCTCCAAACTTTTCATCAATGTATGAATAGATGGTTAAATCACATCCCAGGATCAAGTTGTGTCTGAGAGTAATGGTACATTGCGCTGATTGGAGGATGCTGCTTTTATATCTGAAACTTTTCTCTTTTTCCTCCAGACCAAATCATTGAAAAGGAGGAAGGCCCCTACTATACTCACCTCGGGGCAGGACCTAGTGTCGCTGCAGTGAGGGAATTGATGGAGAACAGGTAAAGTGACCTCTCTGTGTGCTTGTTTACACTGTCTACATGTTGTGTCTTTACTCCCAAACATGCTGCAAAGTTACTAGTCAACCACAAGCTCAGCCAGGGAAACAGGGTGGGTTCACAGCCAAAGAGTCTGTCATTAAACGGAAGCATTGCTGAGCTAGCTCAACACCTTCACCCCCTGTCTGAGCTACACACATGTACACACAACACACAACACAGCATGTTGAAACAGGAAACCCCTGGAGCCCAGGCGAGGGGCCCTTAAACCAAGATGACAGCCTGTTTATGAAAGCCCAAGGTCCATCAAGGTCCATCTGCAAGACACGCATAACTGAAAAAATGTCATTTTGCTTTCACAGGAGCTTTTTAATGGAAGTTAGTTAATCCAGTTAATAGTTAATGTTTTAAAGCTCCTGTGAGGGGTTTTTAAATGATCATAATACAGATTGAAACTCACACTGATGAATCCTTATGACCTACAAACGAGACCATCAGCAACAAGACTGAGAATATCCGCATTGTAAATGTGAATGCCTGTAGAGGCTGCCTCAGGATAGGTGTCAGACAAAGTGGTTTATTGAAAGCTGAAGAAACAGACTGTTTTCTTTTCCACTGCAATTATTCAACATTTTACAGGAAAAAAAATGAATGGGATGTGTTACTAGAAAGCACGACAAACTCATGACCAGGATGAAACCAAGAAAGAAAAAAGGTGTACACCTCTGTCCACAGGGGGCGCCATAATCAGGGTAAACCGGTGTTTTTTACAGGAGCTTTAATCAGAGATGTTTACAGATTTTGTACCAGAAAGTGATGCATTTGGTGCATTTAAACAAGCTGCTAGTATGTGATGCACTGATATGTAAACATGACCACATCACCCCAATTCTGGCATCCCTCCATTGGCTTCCCGTCCATTTTAGAATACATTTTAAAATTTAATTGTTTGTTTTAAAATCTTTAAATGTATCAGCACCACAGTACATTACTGACCTCTTAAATGTTTACACCCCCACATGTTCCTTGAGACCCGCTGATCCGCTCCAACTCGTGGGACCAAAATAAAAAACCCATGGCGAGCTTTCTCGGCCGTAGCTCCCAAATTAACGAATTGCCACTCGAGATCAAAACATCCCCCACTCTTTGTACTTTTAAATCACATCTTAAAACTCATTTTTATTCCTTGGCTTTTAGCTCAGCAGGAGAGTTGTGTGATCTCTGTCCTTTTATCACTTTTATTTCTTTCATGCTTTTGTGTTTTTATTTCATTTTAAATGTTTTTTACCTGCTTTTATTTATTTCATCTTGATGTTTTCAGCATTGTCTGTTCTTTTAACTTTATTGTGCAGCACTTTGGTAAACTTGAATTGAACATAATGTTGATTGGTCTGTTTAAAACAGTGTTTCATCCCCAAAATGAAAATAGACTTTAATATCTGCACAAGAAGCATGTACTCAGAATGGACAGTAGCATAGAATTGACAAAGTAGCTACCTATGCATTGATTAGTTGCCCTCAGGTTTAACAAGAAGTGTAATGTTGCCTAAATTTGCTGTCAGTGGTTTGTGTCTGTGAGTGTATAATGTTTATGTTTTTCTAATGTTCTCTGTTTGAAACAGGTATGGTACCAAAGGGAATGCAGTACGGGTGGAAGTTGTTGTTTACACTGGGAAAGAAGGAAAGAGCTCCCAAGGGTGTCCCATAGCTAAATGGGTATGTGGCTGGTGTTGGAGTTTGTGTTTGTATCCTGTTGGTCTGAGTCCTTCATGTCAAAGTGTTCCTTTGTATCCCATCGTAGTGTATAAGGGAAGTCACTCCCAGATTCTTTTCCTCACCACAGCTATGTAAGCACTGAGTTTCCCCAAACATGCCACCAGGAACAAAAGAAAGTTATTTCCAATTTTATCCCAAAACACAGACATGTCAAGGCTTACACCTAAATTTGACTATTGCTTCACAATACCTGAAATAAATTCATGAATAAGAAGTGATAATTATTTTTTCTGGTCTTAAAAAGTTCATATTTCATATCAAAGCACATGCAGAGTCATATGACCATTACAGATGCATTTAATTAGGTATAAACCAAGTAGAAAGATGTAAGCTGAAGCTTGGTCTTATTGTGCCAAACCCTTTTATGTAATTAGTCTGTTAGTTCTGTTAGTCCGAAGGTTCAAACATTTCACACCGAACAAGCAGCAAAACTCAACCAGAAGACTGAATACTTTCAAAACTGTTCATCACCGTCTGTCATGTAGAAGTCATACATAAGAGGATTTTAGCACATTAGATATGGTGAGTTATAAAAGTGTTCAATTCTTGTTTGTTGGATGTGTCCATAAGTTAGTGCTTTTGTGTAACTGTTACCTGACAGATCATCCGGCGTGGCAGTGAAGAGGAGAAGCTGCTGTGTTTGGTCCGCCAGAGGCCAGGGCACTACTGTGACACAGCTGTGTTGGTGATCCTCATCCTAGCGTGGGAGGGGATCTCTCGGCCGGTGGCAGACCATCTCTACAAGGAGCTCACAGAGACCCTCTTTAAGTACGGCTCCCCCACCAGCCGTCGTTGCGCCCTCAACGAAGAGTGAGTACCTCATCATTTCTTCTTCTTTTTTTACACTGATGCTCTTTTGTCCCGGCTCTGTTTAATTCTTTATTTCCCCTCTACAGTCGTACGTGTGCGTGTCAGGGGTTGGACCCGGACACCTGCGGAGCTTCGTTTTCCTTCGGCTGCTCCTGGAGTATGTACTTCAATGGCTGTAAGTTTGCTCGCAGCAAAGTGCCACGCAAGTTTCGCCTGCTGGGAGACTACCCTGAGCAGGTGAGGGACAGTCCACGGTAATAAGACCCTCAACTTTGTTTTCCCCTTGTTTATCTTGGGGATTAACAATTTGTGTCATGTTTTAATCTGGAGTCACAATATGACAACACAAACACAGTTATGCCCCTTCATATGTGGTGGACTTGGCTCTAATAATAACAGCCATGACAACAGGAGCAGGATTAATAATATATTTACATAAATTAAATAGTTACAAGAGGTAATTTGTTTAAGAGAAAAAGAAAGAAGAAATTAATTATGTAAATAACATATAAATAGCTTTACCCATATACATACGTGTAAAAATACATGGGCTGTCATTATATGTCCACATGAGCAGCACAAATACATCCTTTTCATGCCAACATTAGGGTTTGCCTCTTTCTGCTGTGTGACCCTTTTTAGGAATCCTCTGAGAATGTTAACTGTCTGCCCCGCTCTATAATAAATTGATCCATTCTTCCATGTTGTCTGTATGACATTTCTGCAAATGCTTCCACTCCCACCATCTCTGCCGCCCATACTCGCTCTGAGGGCAGCCCCTCTGTCTTTCATCCCCTGCAAGAATCAACTGCTAATACGTTTTATCTCCTCCGATTAGAGCTGCTGGATTATCTAAAACAAATAAACCAGGGTTTAATAAATCTGAGTCCCTCTGAGATTATCGTGTATTCTGGCCCTGAATTGTTGGACTTTATCACAGGATCATTCAAATGTTTCTCCTTTTTTATGAAAGTTTAACAGTTCTGTAATTAATGCGAAATAACACCACCACAGCCAAATATGTTCCTTATAGAGGCATTTATTTTTCGTAATAAGTCATTTTTTTGTCATCCTTAAACTCAGAAATCTCTAAAATTACTTTTAGGAGGAGAAGGTTGAGAACAACCTCCAGAATCTCGCCACTGACCTCGCACCACTATACAAAAGACTGGCTCCTGAGGCTTTCCAAAACCAGGTATGGATCATGATATAGCAGCTGCTAACTTGCCTCTTGTGATCTTAAAGCACTTCGCTATGTTATTGTTTAGCCTCACATCACTTTCATTATCTTTTCTGACTCATTTAGCTCTCAGAGTGTATTCACACAGATCTGAAAAACTTACCTGCAGAGTGAATAACGTTCAGCTTTTTACATGGAAACCGAACACAAATCTTTTACAATAATCTACATTCTCACCATGTTTTGTCCTTTCACCTCCCTCAGGTGGAAAATGAGGCAACAGGAGGGGACTGCCGGCTGGGCAGGAGGGAAGGACGCCCCTTCTCTGGAGTCACAGCCTGTGTGGATTTCTGTGCTCATGCTCACAAGGACACACACAACATGAACAACGGCAGCACTGTGGTAAGCTGAGACTGTGGTAGCATGTTTGACTAAGCCAGAGCTTGAGTCAGAAGTCAGTGATTCTAATTTTGGTTCATTGTCTTCGAGGTATCCATTAAATTTGGCCTATTGTTTGATTCTCTTCTCTTTCGTCTACACTCTTTTACAGGTTTGCACTTTAACGAAGGAAGATAACCGCGCCGTGCGAAACATACCAGAAGACGAGCAGCTCCATGTTCTGCCTCTTTACAGGATCTCAGACAGGGATGAGTTTGGTCAGTTTGAGGGTCAGGTGGCGAAGATGAGAAGTGGGGCTCTGCAAGTCCTGTCTTCCTTTCCCCGGGAGGTGAGGAACCATGAAAGTAGATGTTGCTCCCTGTATTATGTTTTCTGTCTGTCAATGCATGAAGGAGGTTTCAGAACTTAATTCCAGAGATAAATGACTCTAAAAAGGTCTCGTGTTGAATTAAATGAGTTTCTGTGTGTCTTTTAAAGGTGCGTCTGCTGGCTGAGCCTGTGAAATCAGCTCGTAAGATCAGACAAGAAGCTCGTCAGAAAGCACAAGCAGAGAAACTGGAGAAGAAGCTCGGCCTGACTCCTCTCACTCCTGGAAAGGGCAAAAGTGAAACCCCCAACAAAGGTAGCCAAACCAAGAACCCTGTCTGATTATTTACTGCTATGGAAGTGTAAAAATGTTTTGATTTGTCACTCGAATGTTTCTGAAATACTTGTCGATCCCAAACAGAGCCACAGGGCTTCTACAGCTCTTACAGACTTCCACCCAGACCTGCCAGCGTAGGAAGGTACCATCCCGGCACTTACACCCAGAGCACCAGCAGCTACCCCACTCTGGATGCAGGGATCAGCCCACAGAAGGAGGTCATCTCCCCCCACCACCACGGCCTGGCAGGTCTGCAGTTTGGACAAAACGGTGCAGCTCTTTATTATAAGACAGTGAGTGATGCTGTGAATGGATATTCTCCATCATCCGGTGAGCACAGTGTTCTGTCAGAACGAATACCTCGACACAACGCCCTTAGTGACTACCCCCGTACGTTCAAAACTGAGCCCAACGAGGAGCACTGCCCTTCTCTGTGCAGACCCTCCCCCAGCGAGAGTGCTCCTCCGCCCTCCTCCTTCTCCCCTAGACCTACCTCTGAGGGCCTCTTCAGCAGGCTCAATGGACTCCACAGGGCTGATGGAGATGTCAGGGCGGAGGTCAGAGGTCATGATCTCCTTCTGCCTTCATCTCTCCCCCTTCCCCAGCAGACTCCCCCGTACCAACAAGAGGAAGTCAAGCAGGAGGAGGTGTGGTCAGACAGCGAGCACAACTTCCTGGACCACAATATAGGTGGAGTCGCTGTGGCACCGTCGCACGGCTCCATCCTGATTGAGTGCGCCAGGCGAGAGCTCCACGCCACCACCCCTATCCTCCGCCCGAACCGCAGCCACCCCACCCGCATCTCCCTGGTCTTCTACCAGCACAAGTCCTTAAATGAACCGGGACACGGGATGGCTATGTGGGACGCAAAAATGGCCAAGCGTGAACGAGACAGGGAGGAGGAGGCGGAGAGGCTGAGGATGGAGGACAGCCCACAGATGAACGGCAAAGGAGCCGGAGGTGTGGAGCTGGAGGAGGAAACAGGGGAGGAGGAAGAGAAGGCGAAGAGGATGATGAATGTCCCCACACGTCAAATGTGGACTCTACCTAGGGACAGCGTCATCACTGTGTCCCCTTATGCTCTTACCCAAGTGACGGGTCCTTACAACCGCTGGACTTAGTCAACATGTTTTACATAAACACACACAAATACACACACACACACAGAAAAAAACTCCTACACCCTGTGCTTCTGCCTTACCTCAACTTCAAACTGCTACTCTCATTTTTACGTGGTTTTCATTGTGCTTTTCTAATATCTGTTGGTTTCACTTTGTCCTTCTTCTTCTCTGCCTTTGAGTGACGAGGAAGACCAAAGTTTGTTGGCTTTTTTAACTGTGAGTTTTGGTGTTGTTTTTATTGTAAAGAGATGGTGCTTTGAAGCATTTTTAAACTGGTTTTTATATACATGATTAAGAACAAAAAAGATGTGATTATTTATTCTGATCAGAACGATTTCTATTTAATTCCTGGTGTAAGCCTGTTTACTGCAAGATTTCTATGATAACCTTCATTGTGTGTCAGATTTTATGTTGTACAGTTGGATTACGCTCTTTATTTTCAGCCAGCGGTTCTCTTCTCTTAAGAGGGACCTCGCTGGCTTTTTACATTGGTGCCATTCTCACTGTAACCTTCGTTAAGCAAACTCAACACATCACATTATGTAGAAAAAAAAACTAATATTGTGCATATATTAACTACAGATTGTCACATGTAGCATTGTATGTTTCCTTCGGCTGCCTCTGACGTCTCTGACAGTGTGGCCGCTGATGGAGGAGATGTATTTGTTGTTGTTTTTGTTTGTTTTCTCTTCGTCTGGATGGTTTGTCTTTTATTCACAGCTATGTGTGGCATATTAAGAAGCACTTTTTTTGTTTTCCTTAACTTGAAAAGGTCCCAATTCATAGGCCTGATTATGTATGTACAGATAGAGATATATATGACAGCTAAGCATGAACCCAGTTTTATATTAACAGTATTTCTCTATTGATCGTATTTTCATTCTTCTGATTGAAAACAACATACATATCCAGCGAAATTTAGCATTTTAGGATTTGCTGCAACAATAAATATTAGCACTAAGCAAATATTCACCGCCTGGAAAAGAAATTGGAAAGTCTTTCATGTGGGCACACGTGTGATTGTAGGAGTTCAGAAACTTACTGTAAATTTAAATGGTGCTAATAAGACCTCTGTTTTTTTTTACAGAAATCACAAAGTGTCTGCAATGTTGACAGAATTTACCCATTTTTTTGTGTCCATACTCTGAGTACAAAACTGTGTAGCCGGTGCTGACTTATCAGATGTCTTCTTTTGCCTCTTTTTCTGCTTTTGTTGGAAAATAGTTCAAACACCACACCCTACTCAGACAGTTTGCCTGAGATGACCCTGGTGCTCCAGTCCTGCGAAGACTTTGTTTACAGATCGCTTTCTACAGGGTCTGCAAAGGAGGTTAAACTCCTGATGAATCGAGCTCTTCTTATTCTTAACAATCCATCATTTCATCACAACATCTTTCACACTAAACACTGGTGCTGGAGTAATATTACATTTATGCCCTTTGACCTTTGGTGCTAGAAGATCGAGATGTCAGGGTTCACATGATATATCAACCTAATGTGGTTCACTGATGGGTGCTTGCATGGTGCTTTTTTGAAACTCGGCACACACTGGTCAGGCTATGATTCAGTTTTGTCATTTCTTCACATGGTATCAGACTGAGACACGTTTATTACAGCAAACTTATGTGCAGATGTCCACTGATAATTCAAATGTCTTCCAATGAAAACCAAACTCTGTTAAACATACACAAGAAACTAAATGAATGTAAGCCGTTTTTAAATAAACAGATTTAGGAAAAAAAAAAAACATTTCTGAACAGGATATAGCTGCATTAGTAAATGTTCTATTGTTTTAAGGTGGGCGACGACCTCGGCCCGCTCTTAAAGTCTTTTTATCAACGAGGAACTAACAACTAGCACCAGCATTAAAAAACCTGAAAAAAAAAACTTTTATTAGTAGAAAAGTTGTAAATATGTATGTGAACTATATTGTTTTTACTGTACTGTTTATGGTGTTTAGACAATGGAGGATCTTGCTTATTTTGAAACTGAATTACTGTATGTTGCTGAAAGTATATCCAGTTTAGACTTGAGAAGAGACTAAGTTTAGCATTCCTTTTATGGACGGCTGATCTCTTTCGGGATTGTGAAATAAAGTCATATTTATATTTTGGACCTGATCACAACTTCCTCTGTCCTCATTTGTCAAGTATGCACGGGTGTGTGTGAGAGCGTGTATGTGTAGCTTTCATCATGTTAGTATCCAGATTTATGACTTTGACAGATCTGTTTTTCCCCCACACCTTGTACAGCACGTTTTACGGGTAGTTTCAATTCAGATATTTCCAAAAAGCCTTTTACTTTTTCTTCCTCTCTGAGTTTCCCACACAAGCATACTGTATGACTCACTGCTGAGGAATGTCAGTTGAGTCATTAAGACTTTGTCCTCTTAATGTCTGGGCATGAATCAAAATTTTTTTTTAACAATTTGTGTCCAGAACTGATCATTTGATGACTTTTTTTTTCAAACACCACTGAGGACGAGGTTGAGATCATTTCCTACTGACTAAGTAAAAGGAGTATTTTAAAGGTACAGGCTTAAGCAGAACAGACTTGAAAGAAGTAGACTACAATAATGGTAATAACTAGGTTTTTAACCATTTCAAACCACTATTTACTCACTTTATGGCTAAACACTCAAGTGTGTGTTTTAACTATCTTCCTTGTAGATCCATTCACTTGATCATATTGACTTCAGGTTACATGTCATACTTCATACTACATAAGGGTACATAGCCCGCTGAATCAAAATAGTGTCTGTAAAATAAGATCTTTAAATGACGACAACCTTGTGGCACTGTGATGTAGAAGTACTACATTTCAGAAGAGATCATACAAGTGTTACACTAAGTATGAAGTGAGTGTCAATTTATTAACTTAAAGAGGACCATTTCTGCATGGTAACCATGACAGTTTTGATCAATTATTTAAATGTTGATCCTTTTTTATGATTCAGCTGGTAAAGACGGGGGTCCCAGATGTGCATATTTTCTCAAGATCTTGACTTATTTGTGTCACCATCTCAAGATAGCAACAGTGATGATCTAAAAAATAAAAAAATGGCTCATTGACTGTGATACATGCCATACTGCAATTGCAAATACATACGAGTTGAGTCTATTTCTTTATATTATTAGTGCCCTTGCAGCTCTGAGGTTATGAGTATTGAAAGTTTGGTTGTGAAATGGGAATAGAATAAGGTACATTGATCTTGTCCAGCTCACTCTGTTGGCGTGATTCACTATCCTACTGTCCTGCTTGTTACCCAGCTCTCAGCTAATGACATGAACAATTGGACACAAATAGTTAATGAAGAAATGACTCATTTATGGTGCTTATAAAAATAGTCCCTTGTGATACTATGGCAACTTCTTATCAGCTGACTTGCAGTAAAAATATTTCTTAATTAAATATTTTAATTCACTGCAAAGTTGAAACATTAGCCCACTTATTTGTCATAACTAACATCATAATAAACATGTCCACATAAAATAACAGGACTTGTGAGAATATTTATGTTTACATCTCTGTCCTCATTACATTTTCCTTCACTGGGCTTTGTAATCTGCACACCCCTAAACATATGGGGCACACTTCACAACTTTTAACAATGTTATTATTAACATTGCTTGTGGTTTCAGTAAATTTATCCAGCTGCAGCCAGCTGCTTTCACCAGCCCTGCAGCCATTGCTTGGATTATTGGACAAACTCTTGCTTCACTTCCTCCTATCAGTAGCTCCACATGTTGCTTTTACATGTGACTGTCATGATTCTCTGACTTTTCAGACCAGCCTGAGATGAGGACTAACATTTTTGTCACTTGTCAACAATGTGATTGGTAAAATTGTCTAGATTTTTAAAAATTTCTCACCTATAAAAATTTTGACCAATTAAAGGCACTTATTTATCACAGCAGGGAAACAACAAAAGAGTGTATAAAACATGGAGAACTGTATTGATGCTCTGGCTGTGCTGGAAATGCTGACTCAACCAAACTTTTGGTCAACCTTTCAAAAGGCAAAGAGGTGGAGATGAGGCCAGCCTTTAGTCTTAGTGTGCTGGCCAGTCACTCAAGTCAGCCATGCCCCTAATAATGCAAAACTTGTGACCTTTGAAGGGAAAAAAAACATCTCATTGTCAATGTGTGTGTGTGATCTAAGAAATGACCTATTCAGATTTTTTTCCAAAAAGCTGTAAATATGTTTAATTTGGCTCTGATGGTCTTTTTTGAATGTGGAGACATGAGGAACTGCATCTTTTAGTACTTAAAGGGATATTCCAGCATAAAATTAATTTAGGGTCAAACGCACCGTAACACAGAGTTAGACACCCCCTCAAGAGATGAGTGTTGCCGACCGCTTGCTTCTCTAGTTATACCAACTTTAGTAACGACCTCACGATAGCAATACACAGCGATCTGACGAGCCATAAACAAAAAGAGCCACACAGAAAGCCACTCTATAGCCACAAATAATGCTCAGAACAGCACCTAACTTCATCAACATTATATATAGGGTCCCAACCATAGTCCTTGCAACCAAACATCTTTGTAACTTTGTCTAATTTCTTTAGCAAAAACACTAAACACAACTCACCTACTCTCTTCCAGCAGCCGCTGGTTTGTAGCGGGACCTCGGGCCAGTCCATTACGGACTGCTGTGGGGTGACGGTGAAATGCAATCAGACTGAGATGCTAAGGCAGAAGAACTACCACGTCTGCAGTGCAAAATGATCAATATAGTGATTATTACTTCAAGAAAATGATAAACTAATGATCATAAATGTTCTTCCTTGAGCTGCGTCACCCCGCAACAATCTGTTATGGACTAGCCTGAGGTCTCGCTACAAACAAGCGGCTGCTGGAAGAGAGTAGGTGACTTTATTACCTACTATTAGACAAAGTTAAAAAGATGTTTGGTGGCTGGTACTATAACTGGGACCCATATGTACTGTTGATGAAGTTAGGTGCTGTTCTGAGCATTATTTGTGGTTATAGAGTGGTGTTTTGGTTGAGGTTTGTTTATGGCTCCTCAGACAGCTGTGTATTGCTATCGTGCGGTCTTTACTAAAGTTGGTATAACTAGAGAAGCAAGATGTCGGCAACATTTATCTCTTGACGGGGTGCCTAACTCGGTGTTACTGTGTGTTTGACCCTAAATTAATTCTACGCCGGAATATCCCTTTAAGTATTGGGTTTCATTTTTCCAGACAAGAGGTTACTTAGGGTTTCCACACATTTTCACTGTTAGTGAAACTTTTTAAAACCTCAGTAATTTTCGTTTTCAGATTCACGAAGGCAGACTTTGAGTATGTCACGACTTGAAATGTGCCCTTTTTTATTTTAAGGAAAAAAACCTGTAGTCTTTGAAGTCGCCTACTTTAAACTGGACTAGGGCGGCTTCCGTAGGAGTGTGAGTGAGTGGTTGGAGGGTGACGCAGAAGCGCTGAACGGGCAGAACATTTCTAGTGTCAAGATGGCGACATCGGAGCCGGTAAGAGAGACAAGAGATAGCTTTAATTCGACTAATGTGCTTGGAAATAGACGCTACAACTTCATCATATGTAGCGACTTTACTGTATAATTTGACTCTTTTAAAACGGGACCTACTAGTTTAAAGAAATGTCTGTGTTTCGGTGGACAGATGTGTGAGTTCGCGTGGATCAGTTAGCGTTAGCATGCTCGGCAGTGTGATGGATCAGGAGGTGCCGGACTTTGTTGGCAGGGAGGGACTGACTGGCTGGACGTCGTTCATTCAAACTCCATCCAATGATTTGTTTTAATCTGCTTTAATATGATATCGAAAACGACACGCTGAGTAATAACTAATACCTAAATTTGTTCACACTGTGATTGTTTTCATTAAATATTTATTAATCTGGACACGTGTGAGTCGAGCGTGTAGCTAGCTTAGCGTGCCTGCTAAAACTAATGCTAGCGATGTTAACCTTTATCAAAGATGTTAATGTGTCACACCTCCTTAAATCAACTCTATTTTTCATTTTGACATAATTAAGTAATCTTAAAACTTGGTAACCCTTAGTAGACTCCATTCAATCTGCATTTTGACAAAGATCTGTTCAACTGTGGATACATTCCTCACCTCGGTAGATATACTGAGATCATCAGCCAGATGTAGGTTGCTGATTGAAGATGCTTTGTATTCAAATGAGATCTGTGATGTGTTGGTTTGTGTCTATCTCCACAGAAAGCACCAGAAACCGAGGATCAACCGACTGACAGCCAGGTCGTTGCCAATCCTGAGCAGTATATCAAGCACCCTTTGCAAAACAGGTGAGAGAGAAACTGCTGCTGTTAATGAAACAGAGAAAAATCACAGGTAAATCAGAGATTAGACTCAAAGAATTCAGCACCTAAAAATTATGACCTTTTACAACAATCCTGTAATATTCTCTTGGGCTGTGTCCGAAATGAAACACTCAATCCCTAACCCCTAACCCACATATGGGGTTTCACTATATAGCTGACTATGTAGTGAGCTAAATTACTGGAGGTTTCAGACAATACATGGCATGACGGAATGCATGACGAGATGCCCACCACCGGTGAGTGACCATCGGATGGTCACTACATTTTGCAATGCTCTATGGTAAATTTTGTGTCACCCATAAGGGGCACTAAAATTGATCGCTCAGGTTTTAGACATCCCTCAAAATGGCGCTAACCCCCATATAGTCGCCTATATAGGGGTTAGGGATCCATTTTGGACACAGCCTCAGTTACAAACTCCTCTGCTGTTAAAAAGGCCCATTTTGGGGTCAGTATTTTGCCCTAGTTAGAGAGATGACTGATTACTAGAAGGATACAACTGATAAGAGGACACGCTCTGAATCAGACTGTTTTGGTGAAAAACAGATGCTTCAAAACTGTATTATATTTCTTGATCTTCATTTTATTTTTATTTAACCAGGTTTGCCCCATTGAGATCTGAGGATCTCATTTGCAAGGGAGACCTGACCAAGAACGGCAGCAATACATAGTTACAACAAACAGTCACACAGACTCAATACAGATTAAAAATGTGAGGAAACATCAACGACAAAACAGCGACATTCTGAGAGTTTGGACTCCAGCCTTTTAACTGCACATTTAAAAACACTTAACGACACCAAGTTTTGCATCTTAAATTCAGTCTGCAGATTAGAGAACCTGAAAGTCTTCTTTCCCATTTCAGTTCGGACTCTGGGGACAACCAACTGTATAAATCTCAATGATCTCAGGTTGTGTAATCTGTCCTTTAAGATCAGTAAGGAGGAGAGGTAGTCATTGGATGTTTGATCATGTGAAGAACACTATTTATTAACATTACCAAACAATGGAAAATCTTTATATAGGGATATCTTTAAAAAGGATTCGACCAGCACATGCACAGCTCTGTCTATTAATTTAAACACACTGCTGCATTGTGTCGCAATAATTGACATTTCACGTTAGGCATGACAAAGGAGGAAGTAGTAAATTAGTTCTTTATATGCATCCGAATACTTTACCTTATAGAGGACAAAGATACACCCCCTTTAAACTGAAACAATCCAACAGTCTATATGGCTCATTTAGTAAAAACAGAGGTATAAATGAAGACACTAGTCCAAATAAACTACAGGATGAAAACTAAAGGTTCATTCTCGATCATTGGTTATACTTAAAACATTTTACTCATGAAATGGATCAAAAGTCTTTAAGGCAGATTGAATTATAATGCCCTTTAAAAAAGAAGTCAACTAATGACTAAATTATTTCATTGACTATTAAATCACAGGGAGTGAAGCACAGTTGTCTTTTATGACAGATTCCTCTCACAATTCGAACACGAAAAGAAGCCCCAGACCCTCCTTTTAGTACGAGATAGCACATCTCCCTTTATCTGAGGGAAGGTCTTAACTTTGACTCTTGCTCTCTTGCTTCACACCCTCAGATTAGAGCCTGAAGTTAACCACTGGCATGAAATTTAAGCATTTCCTCTTACAGGGTTTGGATTGGGTTGCTGCTGGTTTCTTTTTTAGTAGGAATGATTATTTTAGTGACCCTGAGGATTAGTATTAACTGAAAAATGACCTGTGAATTCTTATTAGACACACATGAATGTCAGGAAGGGTTTGGGTTACTGTGAGCCTATATTCGCATTTTATAAGAACATCATAATCAGACACGATTAAAAGCCGTCATGGAAGTGCAGGTTGCTTTAAAGTAAACAGAATAAAAGATTCTGCTCCCCCCTCTGTGTGTTGATGTTGCACGGTAATTGTTGTTTGCCATTGTCCTTTGGTGATGCTATCACACTTGTTTGTTACCGAGGACCTTATTCAGGGGCATTGCACAGAGTAAATGCTGAGTAGTTCACTTGTCATCTCTAGATCGTTCTGCTCATTCAGTGCAGCCTCAGAGCTTAAGGTTGTCATGTCTGCTGCTCTGGCCGGGTTAAGTTTGAGTATTTAGATGGCTTCACTTTGATTTAGGTTAAAAAGTTACTTTAGTGGTCAGTTAAATGGGATTACGCTTCATTAGTATCAGGCTGCTTACTGTATATACATGCAGAAACTGGTACCTGAGAGTATGTGGTCACTTATGGTTTCTGTTTTAAACTCTGCAGCAGGATGGCTGAAATAGTTGAATAAGTCTGCTCATAGCTCTGCAAGAATTTAAATGCAGAATGAAGAAATAAACGTAAGATGCAAAGTTGACAGAAGAGCAGCTTAAAATAGACGCATGCTCGGTCTATTTTCTGGACTAAACTCTCAGCTGGAAATCCTGCAGGACTTGCAGCAGCCTTTCTACCCCGCCTGCTTGTCTGAAGGTCAGGAGTTTGGCTGTAATCACCCTGCGTTATGTGAAGGTGCACATTAACAGTACAGTCTGCACCTCTCTATTACCCGGCTGTAACATTAGTCGTTGTGTTAAGCTCTTTGCAGTTTCGAGCCAGGTCGCTCGGTTTTTCACAAGGACCTGAAATGAAGGAAAATCAACAGCTGCAGGAAGTTCAGCGAAACTCTCAGAATCACACTTTGAGATGGGAGTGCAAATGTCCTCTTTGAGTTTTCAAGATCGGACCACAGCTACACAGTTGTAACTCCCCTGAGAAGTGTCGACTTTGCTTAAGAGTACGAATGTTTGAGGTGTCAAAAACACAGATTTGTTTATCATTTCTTATCAAAGTTGTGAAGGGTATTTAAAGTGTTTAAGAACATTTTTTAGAGCTTTCAGGGTTAAAACAAAACCCCCATACCAGGACTTTGTGGAGGGCAGAAAGATTGTAGCTAAGGATTTGCTTTATGTAACAATCATCAAACTTTTACATCAAAAATGTCAAATGTTGGAAAGAAAAGGATGATGCTCCTCCAGACATAAAGTGATTGCCACCTTAAGTGTCTCCTTTAATCCTTGTTTAGTCTCTTGTTTCAAAACTACACCTCACAGTCAGCAAAGACAGATCACCTGCGTTTGCAACCGAGTCCACCACCCACGCCTGAGGAAAAAAGTTAACTGGATTAGGATTTCAAGATTTCTTAAATAAGTCCAAGTTCAAAATGTCAGACAGATTTAACGCTCTATGAAGTGTGGAGCCATCTTCAAATCCGTCGTCGACTTGACCTACTGTCTGCTGCATTTGTTCGCATGCTTTGATTGGGCATGTAAACAAACTGTGTCCTCAGCTGAGCTCCACATCAGAGGAGTCACGCCTGTCTCGACGCTCACCCCTGTTGTGTAATGATGTGTGTCAGTAGAGTTGCTACACAGCTCTACCCTCTGATACATCTCTGCTGGGTGTAGTAACGTGCGTTTACAGCACATGGGCGGAGTTGATTCTGGGTTACTGTTATAAAGGAGGGAGGGGGGCACAGGGTTCAGCTGGTGTCCTCTCGGTGCCCCCTGGTAGCCCCACCCCTCCTGGGAATAGATGAGAGAATCACGGCAAACAAAGGCTGTATTTGTGGAGCTGATAGCCGCCTTTCTCTGTCCTTTTTTCACTGATATGCTCTCTTTTGTCACCAGCTGTTGGGAAATAAGTTTTAAATCTGTGTTCGTAGGATTCAGGCATGAATTAGCTCAAAGTTTAACCCTTTTCAGTTTTATTTTGAGGTTTGTGGGCTTTTTATATAACATAGTAGTTAGTTTGGCTCTCCTCATGCACACTAACCCATGAAGAAACCTCAAATGTATAATCAGGTCAGATCTTTTGGCAGCATTTACAGCTTATATGCTACCCCATTGTCTCTATTCAGAATCCCCTCTAATATGAAAAACAGTCGTCAAATATTGCTGCCAATGTCACATGCTTTATGTGTGATGTTTTTGGCTCTCTGCTGCAGTTCTACATGATTCTCCATCTCCGCTGCTCGCCTCCGTTTAAAATTGCCAGAACACATGAGTGTGACTGCTGCTGATTGTTGCCACAAACTAAAGACAAACCCCGCAGCAGCAGGCGGCGAACTCCTCGCTATTATTAACGCATGCCACCATGTTGGCACGTGAACCGTTTCTTAAGATGACTTTCAGTTTGGGCACTAGGCATTCAGGAAACACAAGATCTGAGTCACACCTACTCATGTTTTATTTTTAACCTTCTCTGATAAAAATATAAGTGCTTATATAATTGAAGCAAGTAGGGATGACCTGAGTATCAGAGGTCCCAGTCGAATACTAGAAAATAATGGAGCTGCACACTGTACTGTTTGTTAATATCATAACTTAAAGGTGTCGCAGCTTATTCCACATGTAATCTGCTTTTATACGCCCACCAAATTGCAACACTGCACACTTAAACTCGAGGCAAAGCTGCTGTGATAATGCTCACAATGGCGGTGTCTATCTGCTGGACAAAAAACAATTAATCCTGGACATTCACTCGGCTCTCTTTTGTTATATCTTCTTTCTTTTCCATTAACAAACCAGATTACAATATCGACAAACTCCGATTACCGTTGTTTTAAAGGAGGAGGAATCAATCCAGTGTGCAGTGAGACTCAGCAATGACACAGGAGAAACTTCAGAGCTCCAAATGTCTGCGGTCAAATTAGCAGTTAAATCCCAGTTTGAATCCCCTCCTGTGTTGTTGACAGACTTTAATTCTCCAGTAGGACAGTGTCTTAAGTGGCATGTAGTGGCATGAAATACTTGTTAAGCTAAAACATGACAAAAATCTTCATTCTCGACCACAGAGATGATTCGGCTGCCCAAAGTGATCCATTTAACAACCTTCTCTGTCATTTTTATGTATTTATTTATTCTTTCACAGTCTGGCTCTGTTGGTTTAGTAAATTCTGTTGCATGTTCGGTTTTCAGATGTCATCTCAAACTGGTTGTATTGAATACAGCTGAACTGCTACGGCCTCATAAACAGTCATGTTGCTCAGTTTGTTGCTCAGTTTCTAAGTGGCGATCAGACCGCTTCTCTGTCTGGTTTAAAAAAATTCCACACTGCTGATATTTACGCCACGGGACTGCGAATGCTTATGTAAGAGACTGACTTGTGTTCCGATCAGTTAAGCCAGAACGCTTTGTTACACCGAGATACTCGATTGTTTGCATTCTGACGCAAAATATGCTTAACAACAGCTGACACGATCCACCTGAGGACGTCCTCTTGACCCGAGTCCTCCACAGTGTTGACTGACCCACTGTCGACTTCCACTCGTTTGGTTCTCTTCTTTAATTTTTGTTCACTCTCCTCAGATAACACTCTCCTGACTTAAGATGCTGACATATGCTCAGCTTGTAGGTGGAGGTTCAAACTTCGAGAACTTAGTAATATATAATATTTTACCAAACTCTGACTAACCCTGCACTCTTTTCAAGCATCGCCCTGCTGTCTTTTGTTTGTGTGGATTTGGGCAGGTGCTAACTGGTTTAGGTATTCGACCGGCTCGCTTACTGTTGCCTGATACTTCATTTGAAGCAGTTTCACATCCTGATATTGATACTGGTGATACTTTTGGATCAACTCTTTGCTTTTCTCATTTTACCTCTGATTGATGAGTACTAAGTGTTTTCATCTGTCTGTCCTCTTCCAGATGGGCCCTGTGGTATTTCAAAAACGATAAGAGCAAAAGCTGGACGGAGAACCTGCGTCTCATCTCCAAGTTTGACACAGTGGAAGACTTTTGGGCGTAAGTGTCGTCTCCTATCATGTGATGCCAGAAAGAGTTATCAGTGCCTAATGTGGGGAGTTTGCAAGTTCTCTGATTACACTGTAGCATGTAGTTCAGGCATTGTTTCTAACGCTGCAGTGAGACCAAAAATATCAATTATACTGAAGTTAAAGAATCTATTAAAGATATAAACATTTTTGCAAATATCTGATGTAGAAAACAAAATCTGTAGCACTTACAGATTCAATCATCTGTGTGAAAACAGGTATGACTTTGTCGTGCTTTTCACTGTTTCCATTAAAAAGGCCTTTTTTACCCTCCCACTGATCCCACAATCACTTCACTTCTTGTGTCACAGGTTATACAACCACATACAGCAACCTAGCAAACTTGGCTTTGGCTGTGATTATTGTTTATTTAAGGTAAGACCTTTTTTTCCTCCCCGTCTTATTTGATGCGTGTAAACTTTGATTTGTTTTGCCAGCACACTTCACTAAGAGCTTTACCCCCTCTGTGTAGGATGGGATCAAGCCGATGTGGGAGGACGACAGGAACAAGCTGGGGGGTCGATGGTTGATGACTCTCAATAAACAACAGAGACACAATGATCTCGATCGCTACTGGATGGAGACGGTAGGGTGGCTGTTTTTATGTGGCAGCTGGGAATGATTTCATAGATGTCCTGGATACCGATCGTGGTTGTAAATCATACTTAAACAGATCCCTGTGACTCATCCAGTGTGTGGTGTTTTGCAGCTCTTGTGTTTAGTCGGCGAGTCGTTCGATGAGGCGAGTGAAGATGTGTGCGGCGCTGTGGTCAACGTCAGACCCAAGGGTGATAAAATATCCATCTGGACGAGCAACTGCCAAAACAGGGAAGCCATCATGACGATAGGGTGAGTCGGGAGAATCATTGTTGGTCGGAAATAAGTCAAGTGATGGAAGGAGGCCTCTTGTGCGTGTCTACCTCCTCATGTTCTGCGTCTCATATCTTCCTGTCCTTTCGAATCAAGGCAGAGGCAAAATAATGGTCTTCAATAAAACAAAACAAAGTTGAGACATATCAGGGAGACTGAGAGGCATGCAAAACAAAAGATGAATAAGATTTGGTTAAACTTTGTAGATCATCTTCACAAAATCTTGAACTCAGTCTATGTTTGTGCACACACCACATCATCAGTGCATTGTTAGGTGTGTTTATTTTGTTTGGCTGAGAGCTGATAAAGTATGGAGGGTGCTAACTATAGAGGCATCTTCTATTTGAGCCAACAGCTCCAGTGTTTTAAAAAGGGAGTGGTAGAGTAGCAAAGTAAACACAACTAATTGAATCATGACGACTGTCAATAGTCCTCATCACAAAGAATACGAGTTAAAAAATGGAGGCCGAGACAAAGAAGTTAATGCTCTCACCAGAAGAAGACACAAACAAGTGAATCTCTCTGTAAGATTGTTCGTATCAGTCCACCCCTGAAATGTTGGGGTCGGTTAGTAACCAGCACCAGTTAGTGAGTCTTTTAAAATACAAAACAAGTATTTATTGGCACCTCGCCTGAAACCTTCTTTCTTCTTGGAGCGGTTTAAGTATGTGTTTCTGTCAGCAGCACTTAACTTAGCCCTCCAGCTTCTTATAATTATTGCTGTCTCCTGTCTATGTGCTACGCTTGCTTGCTCAACTTCGTCTCATACCTAACAATCCTTATAAAGTTCACTAACTTTGATTGACCTCTAGATGGAGACACTAAGCTTTAATTCTCCCCTCTCTCTTTCCACAGTCAACTTTATAAAGAGCGTCTGAGCCTCCCCATCAAAGCCATGATTGGCTACCAGTCACATGACGACACATCCAGCAAGAGCGGATCCACCACCAAGAACATGTACTCAGTTTGAACCCCCCTGAAGTCCCCATTTCAACTTGCTGTAGATTTAAACAATTACCAAACCGCATCATCACAATAATAATTTCAGAGTTGTTACTACTGTAGAGTCTTTTCCTTTTATTAAAAAGAGATTTGTTCATAGTGTGTACAGTTGGAGCTTCCCACATTATGAGAGAGAGAAGTGGGGCGATAATAAAATATAAGGAGGAGGTCTACAGAAAAAGATATGAGAACACAAATGATTTGCTTTTAGAGTTGAAGAGTTCTGTGATAAATACTAGTGACCTCCTCATGCTTAGCTAAGAACAAGCTTTTTTTTCTCACAAGTTTAATGGCCTGGAGTTATTTAAAAAAAAAACACATTTCTTATAACTATAGAGCCTTGTGTTTTTCTCATGTTGAGTTCTCACTCCTTACAGTAAGTGTTTCTCACCTCATGGGAAAAGACGGTACGCAGCTTATCCTCTCACTGAACAAATTTTAAGGGCAATTTTAACTTGATTTCTCCAGAAGTGTTACGCATGAAGAATCTACAGTATCTTAAAGGTGTGTAAAGGCCGTGGTCACACTCCAACGCGTAGAGTTTGGATTTAAGGCCACTTGTTGTTTCAGCTACGCTGGAATTGTGGAATATTGCTTGTAGTACTTTTTGAACTTTTTTTCTTCCCCTTACATTTATTTATAATGTATGCATTGCAGTTGAACTACTTAGTTGAAATTCTACCATGAAATTTGTGTTTTGTTTTTTCAATTTGATTTTTTTTTCTCTTTTTTGTTATTCAAGTTAATAATGTGGACTACTGCATATAGGTTACATTTTTTACAGTGTACTATACAGTAAAAATTCTGACAGAATTAGGTGTGCTTTTCACTGTTTTCTTCCTAACAAAAACTGTAGATAATGTCACAATCCTATTGGTTGACGCAAAGGAAAGGTGATATTCATTGTGAAATGATTTTGCTCATAATGTATCTTTATTATCTGTAATTCCAGGATGTATATTACCTTCTTTCAAGTAAAGGTTAAGTGCTTTGCATTAAAACTAAAACTGTGGCATCTTATATGTGGAAAAGAGTGGGAGTCATCAACGCTCTTATTAACAGTGTGGGGTGTAAAATGTATCGTTCAAAATAAGACTGAACCTACTGAAAAACAAAACCATGGATCAGCCACTAGGGGGCAACAAAAACAAACATCCTTTGGAGGCAATGTAAGGACTGTTGCCAAACTCGTCTATGAACACATGGAGAGTTAAGGAGCATCCCTGGCATTCAGTAACCAAGCTGCAAACTCTGTTGGGTCACAATCACACACTCAAAAAAAACCTTTTATCTAATTTTTTGTCCTAAACATCTGCTTCCAAGACCTTGAAAACATGTTTCAGAATTATTACTAAATATTGTAATCAGTCTTTAATGTCATCCATCAATGAATTTCTTCCTATAAATGTTTCCCAACAAAATTAGCTCCAATGTAAAAGTTGAGGACACCCTTACATCTTTTTGAAAGAGGGAGTATTATGCTTATTTTTGGAGCTCCCTCTGATGGCTCTGTAGCGTTTACATGATTTACGGTTCAACAAACTCTTCACATATTCCAGGCTGCTGCCTTTGAAAATCCTCATTCCAGCCTCAGTCCTTTTAAGGCCGCTCTAGCATTCCAGAACCCAGCATTCTGGAAGCCTCCTTCACTGTTGCCCTGCAGCAAAGTTGTTTCTTCACAAAAAAGGATGAATTTGTCCTTTAAGGAGATTTATGCTCCGGTGATGTCATGAATTGTGCAGGTCTCATTCTGATCTCTGAATTCTCGTGGGACTTTCTGAACAAGCCTGAACAGAATCCCCTTAGTCTCATCTGGGGATTACTTCAACACACATTAACCTTGTAATCTTAAACTTTGCCCGTTTATAGTACTGATGTCCAACATTTTAACTTATTTCTTTTGAAAAAGTGAAAAAAAGCATAACACCACCTCAAAGCACATGAGGTCATATTCACCCATTCACACCATGTTCATACAGTGATGTAGAGGCTGTTTAGTAAAGCACCCTTCAGTACCAATTAATCCCACAAACACTGCTGGGCTCACCCGTTAGGGTCAGTTTGGGGTTGGGTGTCTTGTTCAAGGACTCTTCAGGAACTGGGATCAAATCCAGACCTGTTTGAAAGATGACCAACTCTACCACTCAGCCCCAGCTCGGTTTAACAATAAAAAAAAAAAAACTTTACTGATGTTGAGCTGACATTAAAACAAACAACACTAGTACATTAGTTTGTCTAACATGACGTTTGCTTAGTCACCATCACAGTCATCAGTGCCCTTAAGGTTATTAAATATACATGAACTGGCTTTTCCAGCAGCCGATACGTAACTCAGAAAACATCCAGTCCTCTTTGACGTGTTTATTACCTGAACTTGTCCCTGATATCACCTGCTTACAGTCAGCCATGCCCACTTCAAGAACAAAGAGCCCAGACCAGAAAAACAGAAAACTGCCAGCTGAAATCATCAAAGCTTTTCTAATTTTGACAAACTAATTTATTCATGAAAAGACATTTAAAAAATGCATTTCATAATGGTGTTAAATACATTCACAAATCACTCTTGTTTATCGCCAAGGCTTTGAGAGACAAACTGTAAACAGCCCACACCTTAAAATGTGGTACGGGAAAAAGTACAGACAACACCCACTGTTCTGTGCGTGCCCGAGCTAACTCTTCTGGATCTGTCACTTTTTTGTGTTCAGGCATCTATGTCCTTGTACTCGATGCATACTGAGAATGACTTGTCAAAACTGACTTGCCTGAATGTCACTCTGTGTTAATCATCCAGTTTAACAGGATTTCGCTACGTCACAGGGGCTTTACAAGTCCTGATGGGTGTACTGCAATGTCCTCCACCCTTGTGCTTAAGACTTACAAAGATGTGTGTGGGCTGAATAACCAGGTTTTTAATATGGCTTAATTTAAGGTCTAAGCAAGTAGTTGGATTCAATGAGTAACTGTATTTATAACCCTTTCATACCTTAGTCTTACAGTTTTACATTTTACTCGCTTTTTGTGGTGCATATACTTTGTACGTTAATTTTGGACACAACTCAGACTAAAGCTTGCCTCATCATTCATAACAAGTGGCATTTAATTTTTTTTAGTCAACTTTAACATACAAAATAAGGGACTAGATTTTGGGACTTAGAAAAAGCACGAAAATATATAAATAAAGTGTTTGAGAGTGACATCTCAGGTTCCTTGTTCTGTCGGCAGAGCAGCAATGTCACTTGAACTAAAAAGTTTGACACCCAATTAAGCGCTTTGTTCATTTGCCATTTAACTAGGATCCTCAATAAATAATGTGTTAACAAGAGGAACAGATATTCCAAGTACAAAAAAATCAAGATATACAGGGAACAAAGGTGATATAAGTCCATCCAAATAGAGTGAAGAAACTTCGTATCATTCCTGGAGCCAGGTTCCAGCCACAGTCTGTACAGATGCCGTACTCAGTCCATCCTCTCCGCTCACCTGCCTCAGCTGGAACCTGGCGGCCTCATATCACGACAGCGTCAACATCAGGGGCTTTTCCTCGTCCCGTTCGTTCAGCAGGTTTGAAATCATGTAGGACGAGAAGAAGCAAAACTCCATAGCATAGCTGAGCTCAAACAGCTCCAGGTTTACACTGAGCATCCACTCGAATACGGCTGACAAATGGACATAGAAGTATTCCTCCTGAGCGAACATAACTGTGTCTGAAGGGTTTCAAGTTAAGAAGCATCAGTTAGTGGCAGATATTTTACTTAACATAAGCTATCAGGTACCCTAAATGGACTCAAAATTAGCTTTTTTTTATCAGGAGAGTATGAGGAAATAAGTTGAGATCTCAGTGGATTTAACTCCTTATTATGGGTAAACAGGAGATAAAATGTATGAATATACACCCACGCCCAAATTCAGGGACTAGATATTTTATTCCAACCTGTTTCTGACCTTGACTTTGAACCCTTAATGTCATCATACCACTTTTATTCAATTACTGTGCAGTTTTTGGAAGTCAGAGTGTCAAAGTCAACCCCGGGAGGCAAAGGAAATTTCTGGTTAAAGATTAATGTAGTTAAATATACTGAACATTTGTCCAACTTCTTGTCATGTGACCCATCCCACTTTGTAAACAAAGCAGCAGGCTGGATCCATACCACACAAAGAAGACTGTAGATACAGTGAGCAGCTGGAGAGGGTAACCCTGCGTCAATACTCGAGTCAACAGATACACTGGATAATTATGTCCTGTTTCCAGTCACACGAAGTAACATCTGGCCTTGTTTTCAGTCACAACACACTGCATGTCAGCTAAACTTTAAGTATTTATGCACACAAAAGGATACAGCAGATGGTAACGATGGCTTGAACTATGGTGGAGACGATGCGTAGTGGGTGGAGAATCTTCTCATATCCTGTTAGTGTACACTTTCCAGTGAGCCAGGTGAGCAGGACGGTGTAGAAGCAGATGCACATGAAGCTGATAGCAGCTCCGAAGTAGTGCAGGAGAGCCAAATAACCGGGCTGTGGAGGACAGACACATGATGTTTAGAGATGTAAGCCAAAAACTCATATAACATGCAGTGAAAGTCTGTAATACAGCTAAAATGAAAGATATACAGTAGCAGTAAAAAACCCTAATAAAGTAGGCTTTAAAGTAGATTTGTTGGGGGGTATCGCTATTTTAGTATAAAGATATTTTAAAGTGTCTGTTTCCCCGTCTCTCCAGTTTTACACACTAGTTTATGGTTTGATGTTTTCTGCACATAGGGACAAAATATTGACATTTGGTTTATGATGGAAGGAGGAGCTGCCTGTGCAAGACGAAATGGAAAATATGACAAAGCTGCTGTTGACACAGGGTCTTTGAGACACTTCGTAAAAGTCAAATTCAAACAGTAAAATTCAATTAAAACCAGATAATTTAAAATCTGTGAGAGTGCTGTTCAAACTTCCTCTACACTCTTAATCATCGCAGGTGACATAAAACAAATAGTTCACCACCTTTGTTTGCTGTTTCTACGCAGGTGCAAATCAAGGCTGTTAAGTTTGATGTTAACATGATCCTGTGGGTGTTATAAATCCCACTTTTGTGCTTACATTGCAGTTTCCTGCTGCGAAAGCCCCCATAGCTGCCACCACTCCGAACACCAGAGCAATCTTACTCAGCATGGCATGACAGGCGTGTTTCTCCATAATGTGAGCATGGTGGAGTATACAGAACAGCAGGACTGTAGACGAGAGCACAGTTAGTATAATTATCTGACATATAGTACAGGTTTATGATGTGTGCAGCTTTAAGCAGATAAACGTACACATAAAGGCTCCTGCGTTGATCGTGGCTGTAAAAAGTGAATTTTCTGGTGCGTTTGTCCCGCTTGAGCTGGAATCACATGAAGCATTACACTTATTTCCTTTTATTTGGTCTTAACGGGAAGGGTGAGAAAAGTAAGTGGGGTCTATTCTCACCTTATGGTTGGAGCCAAGCAACAGCCAGTGGTGTGATTTCCCCTGAGGCAGTAGTTATCATCCCCCCTGAAAACACATAAGTGAGGTGGTTCAGAGCCTGACATGCCAAAAATGTTGTAGTGAAACTTATGAGTATCTGCAAGACAACACTTACCAGTCACTGAGAGAGCAGACATGGTTGTTGGCGAGAGCGATGCCATATCTGCAAATATTAAACAAGATGTAAAACTGAAACATGGTGGAATTTTAGAGTACTCTAAAGGCTGTTAAAGGAGGAGTTTGTAGTTTTTTTCCATAGAGTTTTTCCAACTCCAAGGGGCTAAATAAGCATGTGCAGTAAAATACTTGGTTGCTGCTGACCTACATTCATTATCTGTATGTTAACTGATCACTTACTCATCATACATGTCTGACATTGCAAGATGAGAATGAAGGAAACTTGTTTTTCATGAGTTTCCCGTTAAAGCTCATGTGAACGCTTCCTGTTCATGCCCATTGTTTTGTTCCTGACATGTCGTGTAAATGTGTGTGACATGTATTCTGACAAAAAGATCCCATCTCTCTTCCTGTTTGACTTGAAATGAAGGAAAAAAAAAAACAGATACTTTTTTATCGCCTTGTTCAGTATCTACTCCTTTCATTGTGGGTTCAGGCGATCAAAATTACGACGTAGAAATCATCAGTCTGTTTGTTAATGATTGTCTCTAATGGCCTCTGTTGGTTTCATTGTGTGTCATCTCCAGCTGAAAACTCATCATGGGAATTTCAACTCTATCATGTTGGGAGGAATTTGTGGATGCCAACTGGTCTTCTCTAGCACAGAGGTGTGATATACGGGGTAAAGATCCCTCACTAGATGTACCATCTGATCCCTCAAGTACCAAATGTTTCCTCTGAACTTGAAAAATCAGCTTTTAGAGTCTGTCGTCCAAACATGTGGAATTTATTACAACAGACTCTGAAGATGGACTTTCTTGTTTCTCTTGAACAATTCAAGTCCATTTTTATTCATACTCAGTGTTTTACTGTTTTTACTGAGCATTACTATTTTTAGATCATTTGGGTGTATTTTAATTGTATCTTGACATCATTGTAAATAAGGGAAACACTTAATTAAAGTGGATAATAGATAAGTCATGAGAAACACCACAGCATGGGTGGCTACTCATGACCGAGAGATAACTGATTAAAAATAATGAGGAGTGAGTCGATGTTCAAGTATGCAAGGCAGTTGATGGAGCAAGTTAATGATCGTTGTCTTGCCGAAACATCTTGCGTCAGACAAAAACCAGCCAGATCACATATTTTAAGGCTGCTGTGGCATTTACATAACACGGCAGACTGACTAGCAGTCAAGTGTTCATCATGTTTGAAATTAAAATGCTACAGACAAACTTATTCGAACATGAAGAGGAATTTTATGAGAAAACACATGTGAGAAGCACATCTGCATTGAGTAATGTGATGCCATTTCATCAGCTCCTCTTCAGGGCTGAGTTTGATCAATGTTACTTCCTGAATCTTGATGTTGTTTCTGGGAATTCACAGTTCAAATATAAATCTTGATAACCGTCCAATAGCTCTGATGTTTACCTGTCAAAGGCACATACCAAAAGTCACACCACCTGTGAACAAAGTAAACACTTGCAGCTTCATGATTATCTCTGAGTCTCTCTGATATGAATAAAACTGATACACAGATCAGCTACTTAAAAACGGTTCAGCAGACTTAAACTGATGTACTCTCTATATTTGCATAACAGCACACAGACAGAGGCAGACTAAAGGTTGTAAAAACAAATTTTCTGATAGTGTCTCAAGTGTGTAAAGACAAAGTTTGAATTCATAGTAAACTTACACACTCCATGTTCCAAGGAAGGACACCAGCGAAAGGGTGATGGGGAAAATAACCCAGAGTATCATGTCTTTGTGGAGAGAAAAATACGAAACAAAAGTTAAAACAGAGCCTCCTTAAGTTGTGGTGTCTTCAGCAGGAAAACAGCAGACTTCTTCAGGGGTTGATAAAGTTCCTTATGGAGTCAGCATTGTACTCTCACAATAAGTTTCGTAATGGAAAAAAAAAAACAAGTCCTATCCCTAAATGATTCCAGCTGCAATGTTGAAGTCAATTGCAGTTCCTCACCATCCAGAGAACAGTCCTGCTTTAATGGGAGAGTCTCTGTTTCTCTGCCACTCCTTCAGAGCACCACCTTCTCCTGTTGAGAAAACACAGGGTTGGTCCTTTAGACGCTGTAACTCTATTTGCTTTATACCAAACAGTCCTAACCTGTATGTTTCAACTTAAAGCACTACATAGTTTGCTGGACAAGGTGACCACAAACATGAAAAGGACTGTTTCTAGAATAATTACTTAACAAATATAAGGCTTGGTAACAAAACAGTGGTTCATTATGTAAGAAGTACTCTGGACTTTTCAAATGCATTACACTTCCTGCCATACAGCTGTGGATTGTGAGGACTTCTGCAGTATTAAATAGAGATTTGAGGCCCTCCCCAATGCTAATTAATATTCCTACTTCAATTCTCTTTATGAGAGACATTTTGTATTGTTTGCAACATGTTTTGAAATCTCTATCTAGGCACCAAGTTACAAGTGCTAGTTATATGCTCAGTCAGAGACAAGTGTCCCTATATTGTGTTGTACAGTGACTTTTCTGTTTTCTATAATAGAAAATACAATAAGAAAAGAAAAGAATTATCTTTGAGGCAAAGAAGCAACAAACTTACTTTGCAGTTCAGCCACTAATGGACGAGGAAGACCCAATGCAGTGAAACTGATGAATGTGATGTTTAAATTAAAACTTTTATAACTATGGCTGCATAAAACTGTTGCTCTCCTGAACCACATTCAAGCACAAAGTACAGTTAATGACCTGATTATACCCTAATCTACTGCTGCTCTGTCTCAAGTTTTTATTGTGAGAAAAAAAAACTCAGGAACTGGTCTTAAGCCCTTTATTCTTTGAAGGCTTAGGTCTAAATACATTTGTTAAGAGGATACAATAATGAGCCGCTATTGGTCAGGAGTCTATTCTTAAAATGTGCTGTTAACAGGTCTAAAATTCATGACTAACTATTTTAATTAATAATTGAAATGTTTATTATCTTGGTTCGAATAAAAACCCAAACAGTGCACTGTATTGTCCAGGAAATGACTCCGGTTCAGACTTGAACCCTTGGTTCAGGACTACGTGCAGTCTGCCACATGAGGTCCTCATTTCCAAAACAAACAAAATGGCGGCGCACATGAGATGGGGACTTCGTCATTTACTCCGAACAAGAAATACGACCAGCTTTAGGTTTGAATCTTTACACAGTTCACACAAGATGCAATTCAAAATGAAAGAAGTTGGTGTGATCTGTTTGAAGTTATTGTTGAGTCCAAATCTCGGGTGTGGGGTCGTTTTGATTCTGGGTGTTAGCTAACTGCTGATTAGCTAACTGCCAAACTGCGACAATGAAGTTAAGTCGCGGTTAATCAACCTGATCCCATCCTCATTTGCTGTAGTTACAGGTGGAAACGGGATTGTTTGGGGGCTTTTCTTGTTTTTGTACTTATATTTAGTATTTCCCAATTCAAAGCACATTTTTATTTCACATTGAGGAAGTTAGCTTAGACTGTGTGACAGTAAAACCTCTGGATGGCCTCAACAGTGTTGCGCAAGGTTTAACATCTGAGCCAAACGCTTCAGTTTAACGTTACTTACAAGGCTGTCCAACATTAACCCTTCATATTCATTAACCCAGCCTCATGATGAATAATGATAATTTAGTAAAATGTCACTTTGATCACATGTTCTGGTATATTTTAATATAAAAGGTTTGAAGAGAAGACCAGATGCTCGTACCACTCTCTGTGCTTGACCCAGATTTCCAGGAAAGTTCAGCCTCGGTTCAGGACAGGAGCCACACTCTTCTCTGGTGAGAAACCATCATTTGAACACTTTCAAGGTTGATACCCTGTCATCTTGTTGTGTTTATGCCAGGACCAATAACATTTACTGAGAAATGCTATTTTAAATGTATTTCAGTAAGACACCTGTCAATCCAGACTCAAGACACTCCAAACCCCAGGAGTTTGAAGTTCCTCCCTGGTAAACCTGTCCTAGGAAGTGGGACCCTTGACTTTCCCTCCCCAAGCTCTGCTGAGTGTTCATCATTAGCAAGGTTGTGCTTTAAGCGTCATATTTCCATGAGTGAAATCATAGATTCATCTATTAAAAAGGGCAAGATAAAATGTCTAAAGATGCTTTCTCTGCATTTAAACATCAGGAAGAGGACGACAGAGACAAACACCTTTACCCATTAGATAAATGTGTCTGCATGTAATGATGGTCAAAGAAAGAGTTAGTTCTTACACAGCCTTTAATTCATCAGTTGAAATTGGTGGTGTAAGTTTGGCATTTTAATTTGCAAATCAATATTATCTTTATTGAGTTGAGGTGTCATCCTGTATGACAGCGACGGTAGCCTGGAAGGAAAGTTCATGCAGCAGATGAGTTAGGTTTCTTCAAATTAAGTTACAGATAAAGAGTATATAGGTAGATTTTTTGATTCGCTTATACATTATTTTATCCTCTTCTGTAGGATAAACATCTCTAAACATACACTTCCAATATGTATGAGTTTAGCTTGTTGTATCTTTCTTATTCAAATATGCAAACATGTTTCTTTCAGGGATCTGTTTGAAATTGAAGGAGTGAAAAGTGTATTTTTTGGCCCAGACTTCATCACAGTCACCAAAGTAAGTATTAAATGTATTTAGACAGATCTGCTCATTGATTATACTCCCAAACATTTTTGTGTGACAGAACGTGAGACCTTTGTGTGTTTTTTTCAGACAGATGAGGATGTGGAGTGGACAGACATTAAGCGCAACGCTTTAGAGACCATTGCGAAGTTCTTTGAGAGTGGTGATCCGATAACAACAGGGGCGGTGCACCATGAGAGCAGTAAGATTGAAACTATCTCTTTACTTGTGTTGAAGTAATGTTGGATTCACATGGATTCAGGTAGATGGCAGATGCATCTGTGCTGTAAATACATAGACAGCTTCCCTGCACTGAAATATTTCATTGCATGATTATATCCTTTTTTTATGTTCAAAAGTGTTGGTCTACTATTCACTCTGTTCCTGAATCCATGTTCATACACTATTACATATGGATCTGTTTGACTGTATCTTGTGTGGATCAACATTAATTGGACATTTTCTTGATTTAAGGTCATTCTGAAGATGATGATGATATTGTATCTATGATAAAGGAGCTTCTGGATACCAGAATCAGGTAATAAACTTGTAACTTTGTGAAATTGTGTTTTATTTACAGTAGCTTACTGACAGTTTTTGAATCAAACCTCAAAACACACTTTTACACCTATGTTTTTGGCTCTACATGAGAATCCCCTTTTACTTTTTTAAAGGTCCTAACACTTTTTTCCATTTTATAGTGTCAGTGTTTCTAAATTTGTTCCCTTTTTTAACAGTGTAATTGTTATTTTGTTCTGATTATGTAACACTTGGGTCAGCTTCTGTTTTTTTAAAGTGCTTTATGAATTAAGCTGGATTGTCTAGAGTTGATGTATTATAGATCTTACATAACCTTTGATGAAATTGTTCTTTTGATTCCACAGCATGCATATGAATGAGGATTAGTTGTAGCAAGAGAAAGTTGGGCAGAAGTAGTAGTCTGAACCTGCCAGTTCTTCATTCTGCTTTGTTTTGTACTAAGTGATATCATGTTGTTCATTCACAAGACCTACAGTACAGGAGGATGGAGGAGATGTCATCTTTAAGGGGTTTGAGGAGGGTACGGTCAAGCTCAAGCTGGTGGGCTCCTGCACAGGGTGTCCCAGCTCTACTGTCACCCTGAGAAACGGCATTCAGAACATGATGCAGTTTTATATTCCAGAAGTGGACAATGTGGAGCAGGTGATTATAAACTGGTTTTCGTGTAGGATGTGTATTTGATCTGAGCATTGAGTCATATCATTGTTTAGTTAACCATTTTAAAGTAGCTGCACTGCTGTTTACACAACCGAGTGGAAGTATGAATCATGTCACGCAGGAAACTGTTGCATGGCATATTTGAGTCTAATTATGTTCAGCCCCTAACTCTGTATTCTCCAACCTGTTGGTGCAGTTTTTCCACTTAAGTGAGCAGAATGGGAATAATTCTGAAACATAGAAAAGATTTTCAGAATTTGATGTCTATTTTGTGAATTAATGCACTGTCTGATCTGTGTTGGGCATTCAGGGTTTTCAGGATGATGTTTTGTTTTTTTGTCTGACTTTGATCTCACTTATCACATTTAGTCCTTTTTCTTTTCTTCCATTTCTAGGTGGAAGATGAAGTGGATGAAGTCAATGCAAAAGTTTTCTCAGAGCTGGAGCGAAAACTACAAGATTAAAACATCTACCATTGCACTCACAGGTTGTGTAAGAAGGAAATTGTTACACTGTTTAAAGCACAGCCATGTATCACTTCCATATTACTAAATTCCTCAGAATGAAAATATATAACTGTTTTCTGTGTTGCGCACCATAAACCATTAATAGTTGAAGCTGTCATTTGTATGTATATACTGTATCCTGCTGTAACCAAGAGAAGGAGATTGTGGGTATTCCTGTACCCAGCAAAAATGTCATTCTTTAAAGCTGTCTAAATATTCTGCTCTGACGTTTATAAATGTTTTGATGTATTTATTTCATATAGATACTGTATATTTTGAAATAATATTTTCATAGATTGAGAATACTGTGTTCTTGACAGTGTTCATGGTCATGCAGAAAGATTATGTGATCTTGTATTCCTTTTAATTGCTGCCAACATACTATTAAGATATTAACAAACCACGAGAACACCATATTAGCTTGCCATTGCATCTGCTAAATATAACCAACTGTTAATTTAAGAGAATGTGTCAGGCGTAGATTTGAAGTCTCATGCACTTAGGATCTGTATGCTTTACTCACAAGCTGTTTCGCTCTGTTTATGATGTCCTATATTAAATCAAAGTTCAAAGTTTGAAAAGTAATTAATTATTGTTGATTCCTTATTTACACCATACCAAATAAAGGCCGTTACTGGCACAAACTGGGAAAATTGATTTCCCAAAGATAGTTGACTAAACAATCTTTAAATTGATCAGAAATTCAACTAAATCAAACCTGAAAACAAACAGGGGTGCCTTGAGGGGAGATCGGGTTCACCAATTCACGCATGCGCACTCTTTGTCTACATCGGCCGGCGCAAGGGGACAACGGTAAGCAGTGTTGACAATGATTTATTCAAAGACGTACTGCGTTGGTTATTGCGTCTATTTCATGAAAACTGAAACTATATACATTAACTACATGCAGGACAGTCGTTGCCATTAGTGAACAGTCGATTTTAAGTGTTAAAAGCATTGGCCGTTTAGTGCCATCTGCTTCAGACTGCCAACGGTCGGTCGGGCCTCAATCTCGATAACAAATCCTGCACGAGGCTAACCTGGCAACAAAGCTAACGGCGTGCTAACGCTGCTAGCTGAGTGTGAAAACGGCAGTAAATAAATACGGTACATTTTAATAATGTCGATAAAGCTGTATTGAGATAAAGCGCCAGTGAGTTAATGGTGCCTGTTGTATTAGCGTAATAAGATTTCTTCTAGAGCCTAGGTCTAGCAGGCTTTACTAGCATCTGTCAGTTAGAGTGGCTAACGTTAGCAAGATTGTCAGCCGTTTAACCTGCCGAGTCAGCAGATCCTTCGTCATGGAGCTCTGCAGAAAGTAAAGGCAACAGATAGAGCATACTTTACTGTACTACATTTTTCAGGGCTTTAAGTCACAATGTTCTCCGTACTGGCCTATTTTAGTCCACAAAGTTAGGCTAACGGCGTTAAGCTTCGTTATCATAACCTCTTAAGTTAGGTTGTCGTGGTTCGGCTTGTGTACACGAAGCCGTGTGAGTATGCTCGTCACTGATGTCTGCTTTCTGGTTATTCAACTACCAAATCTAAGATATTAAAGATATCACATGCGGCAATGATCCCAGTCGCTCTGAACTAACGTCGACTGGAGATTCAGTCAATGTACCTCAAATGTTTGTTTCTGTTTTCAGTGCCAAGCATCGGCCCTGTGAAGAGAGACTGCCCTCTACCTGAGTGAGTCATGGCCCAGTTCGGGGGACAAAAGAATCCGCCGTGGGCAACCCAGTTTGCTACCACAGCGGTGTCCCAGCCAGGCCACTCAGGACAGTCCCTCGACCTCAACAGTCTGCACTGTAAGTATAACAACAGAGGCTCTGGGCTGCTTCATTCTCATCACTGAATGCACCACGTCTCTGCTGAGTCTTTTACACAAATTCAATTCTCTTTTTCCTGCCTTTGCTACTCCATTATCTCCCCCATACTACTCCACACTAAGGTTATACACTTGGCATTTCCCTGCATGTCTTTGACTCTTTTGCTTTATTTTCGGTCTCTCCAGCTCTTGGTGTGCAGCAGCCATCTCTTCTGGGTGCATCTCCCTCGGTTTACTCTCAGCAGTCAGCCTTGGCTGCAGTCTCTCTCAGCAACCAGTCTGCCGCAAACTATCAGCTGTCTCAGCAAACTGCTGCCTTGCAGCAGCAGGCTGCAGCTGCTGCAGCAGCGGCGTTACAGCAGGTCAGTCATAGAGGGGGAAGACTTAACTAAAATCTTGCCTTGATCAAGCCATTTAATTACTTAACTACCGGTATGTCTCTCGCATCTCGTTTTAATGTACATAGTCTCAGATCAATACAGCCCTCCAGCAGTATCAGCAACAACAGCAGCAGCAGCAGCAACAACAGCAACAGCAGCAACCTCCCCAGCAACCCCCTCAACAGCAACTGTACAATGTACCTCATCAGGTGAAGCACCATCTTTTTTTTCTTAAATCATTTCGAATTTTAGGTAGTCCTTTTGGTTGGGGTAAGGTGTCTTAAAAACAAGTAATATTTGCAATTATCTACATAGAAATTTTTTGATATTTTTTTTCAATGAACTTTTTTTCAGCTTTCATCTGTAAGAAAGCATCACTCTGCAGTCTGTGCTATTTAAATAAAGATTAAAACCTCTACTAGTGACTCTTAATCTTTGACTTCTGCTAAACTGATTTATTTTTCCATCTGTTTCTAACTCTTTCTCAAGGCTAATTATGTTAATGTCTTGAAAGGATACATTTGTATTTAAAGGCAAAACTCAACTGATATTGTGTCTTTAATAGTGTTATATGAACCCATTTTCCTAAAAAAAAGGAGAAAAAATGAACAAATGGGGACCAAACAGAACTTCAACCGGATTTCAATTCAAATAATACTCTGTGTTTTGTTTCCTTGATCCTTACAGCTCCCACAGCCTCAACAGGCACTCATTTCTCAGGTAATGTGCAAAAACACACTCATCTGTCAGTTTTTGGGGATGTTAGTATTAATACTATAACCTGTTTAATTTGCTGAGTCTTTCCACATTCAAATAAACATTTGTTATATTGTGCTCAGTGTCTTTTAACAGAAACAAACAAACAGAAAACATTAAAGAGGCCATATTAAGGTTTTGCGAGGTTGAATCATTTTATAAAAATTTTTAAACCTGTATTTATCCAACTATATTTATGTGTCATATCTAGAAGCCTATCACAGGAAAAAAAAAGAAAGGAACAGACTTAAAGTCAGACAAAGTTTTTACAAGATGATTATTAATTTTTGATGTTACATATGTACATTTAAAAAAAACACAGTCATATTGTTGTCACAGCAGAATAAAAGAAACACAGTGTTTTGATATTTACTGCTGTAAAGATCTTATTTTTCCTTTTCTTGACCCTCAGCCCCCGGTTGCCTTGCCCACCAGCCTAAGTCTGTCCAACCCTCAGCAAACAGCTCAGATCACTGTATCCTACCCAACACCACGCTCAAGCCACCAACAGCAGACACAGCCACAGAAGCAGAGGGTCTTCACTGGAGTTGTCAACAAGTTGCATGACACATTCGGCTTTGTAGATGAAGACGTTTTCTTTCAGCTAAGGTGAGGGAAAGCAGGCTCTCTGAAGGCTTTTAGAGTATCTGTTGTACTCTTTTTGATGCTCAAACTTTGTATTTGTGAAACTGATCTTGCTCAAACTTTGCACATGTAAAGAGATGCTTAAATTGGGTCTTTTTCCTTTCCAGTGCTGTGAAGGGTAAGACTCCACAGGTGGGTGACAGAGTCCTAGTAGAAGCTGTGTACAACCCCAACATGCCCTTCAAATGGAACGCCCAGCGCATCCAGACCTTACCTCAGCTAGCAAATCAGTCGGTGAGAACACTCAGAGTTTCCTCTGTTTACAACTCTGGAAAAAGGGGATGACTTTTTTATGGCTACATTAGCACAAACTGTAGGGTTTTAAAGTTTTTATAAAAGTTCAGTGACCGTATAAACAGAGTAAGCATATTTATCCTATTTTTTCCCATTGGGTCTGTATGAAAATGATCTCTGCCACAAGAAATGTTAAGACATCCACTCTCTTGGCTGTTTTGAAGTGGTTTTGACTGGATTATTCACATATCTGAGAGTTTTACCAAATCTGGAATTCACACAGTATATGAGAGAATTTCCTCTTAATCTAAGAAATATTTCTTATTTATGGCTTTTGAAATATTTTGTTTATGGCTGTCATTTTTATTCAGTGATTTGATCTGGCATGGGAACACTTGCTTTCATTTATGTTTTTTGTTTTGTCTTTTAATCTTAACTTTTCATACACCATCCTGTATTTTTACTGTGATGTTCTCAATCCTTCCTAGCATCAGCAGCAGCCTCAGCCTTTACCTCAAGCTTCGCCACAGCTGGGCAGCCTTTACAATGAGCCAGGGATGCAGCTGCGCTACTCAGACATGCACTCCACCGCTGACAACAGACAAAATGTAATCCCCTAACTATCTGTCTACTCAGTTTCCTTCTTGGAGTTCTTATTGTGTCCTGGCTTGGTGCTCATCTGATTTACTGTACCGTCTGTTGTTAATTTGTGGATTACAATTTACAAAGCTCAAGCTGTTTTTTATTTTTGTGTTTTTCCACTTTGGGCTCCTTAATATATCAATTTAAAATTGTATTTTCTTAACGTAGCTTTAGTAATGCCCACACTAGTACTCACTCATTATTTTGCCAAGCATATTGGGTTGTGAGTTTCTTGAGATATCTTAAAAATGTATTATTTAAAGGTTGTGCTAAATTGAAATCCAAAACTTTTCCAGGTGTCTTTTTTTTTAGGTAGTGACAGGCCAAGTCGTAAAGTTTGTCTTGCTTGATGAGCTACCAGGTCTGTCTTTAAAAAGAAACTTACTTCCTTTTTTTGCTCCTTTGTCCTCTTTTCTCTAGAGCCAGCCACAACCTCCGAATATAATGAAGACAGCCCCCACCATGTTACAGTCACTACCTCCCCCAAACACATTCAGTGTCCCTACCCAGGCTCCCCCACCATCCCTCCTGCAGGCCCAGCTTTCTGCTGCGTCTCTGGCCCCTCTCCTCCAAAACCCTCCTCAGCCTCTGTTACCACAGCCTCCACCCAAAGGTAAATATCTATTGGTGGAACTGCATATCCAAAGTGTTGAAAAAAAGCTGATAGATAAGGTGTGCAGACCATTACGTTGAGCAACATCTGGCACAACACTGGCAGGAAAATAAACATCTTTGTGGTGTGTGAAATTGTTGAACGAGCAGACACTTTGAATTTGTTCCTGTGTCTGTAGATGTGTTTCCTGGGGGTCTGCTTCAGCCTCCGGTAAGAATGATGCCTCAGCCACAGCCAGTCCGACGAATTGAGCCTCCACCACGCTTCCCTAGTCGTAATGATCGGGGCCCTGAGCTCATACTCAGGACTAAAGAGGAACGCAGGTGAGACGCTGATAGAAAACACTTGAAAAATAAAACTTTCATCAAATGTGCAATATGCAGTTGTGGATTTCAATTTGTAATTTTAGCCGAGACAGAGATCGTGAGCGTAGGCGGTCACGAGAACGCTCACCAACACGGAAACGTTCCAGAGAACGCTCTCCCAGACGTGAACGGTCACCTCGCCGTCCTCGCAGGGTGGTTCCACGCTACACTGTCCAGTTTTCCAAATTCAGCCTGGATGGGTAAGTACAGTCTTGAAGATATCACCTCAGGGTTGTGCTGTATGTAAACTTGTCAGTGGTGAGATTGTAGGTGTTATCAGAAAATTAACTGCCCTCCCCTGGTTCTTCAGCTCTTGCTGCGATATGATGGAGCTGAGAAGGCGCTATCAAAGCCTCTACATTCCCAGCGACTTCTTTGACGCTGTCTTCACATGGGTGGATGCCTTCCCGATGACGAGACCCTTCCAGTTTAGTAATGCCTGTAACTTCCACATCTTACACAAAGAAGTGGATCCTCTTGTCAAGAATACAGCTGTGCTGGACCCTCCAGATGCCAACCACACCTACAGTGCTAAGGTAAGACTGTAGCTGATAATTCCCATCGCACTGGATGTTCATTCTCCCTAAGATGCATTTAATGGCCTGTTTAGAGTTTGGTGTATTATTAACAGATAAAGGTGTTAAGTTACGTTTACTTCAGAAAAACTGGAACTGTTTATTTCATTCAGCACCATTAGATCTGCTGTATGCACCAAGAGTTTATGATAGACATAACCCATATGTCAGACTCTCTTTACATACATATGGTAGTGATAGAGAAAGGGGTTTGTTTGTAATGCTTTATCAACATTTATGTCGATATATAAAGCCACCACAGTCAGCAGAACCCCTTTTGTTCCACCTGAAAGCCAATGTGGTGTTAGTTTTCCCAGGTGTAATTTTGATCAGCTGTTGGGACACTATAATACTGATTAGCCCAAGCATATTGTACTTCATTTAATTCCCCTTCTTCCACTAGTAAAGGATTCACATTTTTACCATCTCTCCTCTCCCTTTTTTCAGTCAAGGGAGAAGTTGTTATTTTTTTGCTGCTTTTATTGAACAAACATGGCATCCTGACAAAATTCAGGTCTTAGTTTTTTGTCTGTGCCACACTGTTGTGCGCTGTTTGGATTAAAGCAGAAAAAGAAATAGGTGCTGTGCTTTTGCATGAACAAAGTCCACTTCTTTCAACCTTGCCAGGGCAACGGCAGCATAGTATGCAGTTGCAGTACAGAGTGTTCACCATGGTTGAACAAACTGGACCTCAGGGCTTAAAAGTGTGTGGGGAGGAGGGTGTGTGTTTCGTATGAGTGCACCCTTAGAAACATTAAAAACATGAAACTATCATGGGTCACCTTATTAGCTTTCATCATCTTAACTCTTGAGCAGATAGAAATGTAACTAACACATCATTTAACGCACATTGTTGAGCAGAAATATAATGACAGACCCCATGAATAAAACTTGTTGTATCATTTCTCACACATATCTTTAAGTGGTCGTTGGATAAATTGCATGATTTAAATGGTGAGTTCCTGCTTACTTCAAAGGTTTTAATTTCACTCTGCTTTGTTAACATTACAGGTGATGCTGCTGGCTAACCCCAGTATAGAGGAGCTTTATCATAAGTCCTGTGCTCTGGCAGAGGACGCCCAAGAAGTCAAGGACTCCTTCCAGCATCCTGCTAGACTCATTAAGGTAAAAACACCCCCTTTCTCTCTGTGTTTGTTCTGTGCGTATTAGCTGACGATGATGTCGTAATCCTATTCCATTGCTGAGTACACACGATGTGGAAATGTTCCATTCTGAGGTTGGCTGTTCTTTGTAATTTCCATGAGAAGGGATTATTTGGACATGCTACTGACCTTCTTCTCCCTCCACCCCCTTTTTCACTCTATCCATGCTCCACATCCAACATCTTAACTGTCACCCCCATTCCATCCAACCCCTTCTTCCCCTTGATTCCTTTGTCCCTCTGTCTTTCTTCTTCAGTTTTTGGTGGGAATGAGAGGTAAAGATGAGGCCATGGCCATCGGTGGTCACTGGTCTCCCTCTCTGGATGGAGCCGAGCCAGAGAAGGATCCCTCTGTCCTTATAAAGACAGCCATACGCTGTTGCAAGGCGCTCACAGGAATAGACCTAAGTCTGTGCACTCAGTGGTAAGAGCTCTCATCTCATCAGTTTCAATCATTCTGTCTCTGACTGTCTCTGTTAAAACCTCTAAACTCTGCTGGTACTAAAGTCTTAAATTGAGACACTCAGATGTGCTTGATACTTTTACGATTTTTATACTAAATCCAATCCTCGATGTTGAGTGAAATTCTTCCTTTTCTTTTTGTATAAATGGGAATATTGTTATGATTTGCTACAGTTTATTTACTTTTATTGTTTATTGTGTTGTGCAACGGTTTCTTTGGCCTTTTGTGTGTTGTCGTTTTGGCTCTCTCTCTCTCTGTCCGACTCTCTTTACACACATGTGCACATTTCATTGTGATAAAAATCAAACGCATGGACTGTGGCTGGAAGCAGAGGCCTGGACCAGAAGACACTACCAATTCTTTGTTTCTACCTTTTTATTTTTCTCAGTTCGCTCTGTTAAATATCTTACATATTTAACCGGCTTTTACTGTCCTGTCGATTCTGTCTCTCTTTGCACACCCCTAACATAGTGCATTAAGTGTATCCTAGGTTAAGTGCAGAACACTCATCCATAATTGGCTGACGCTATAATGGGGATGAATTTTGGGCGGGTGTGATTTATTTTTTATGTGATTGTTTGTCAACTTTCTCAAAACGGCTGCCATAACCTGTGACAACAGTTGGAGAGCTGCAGACTGGGTCCATTTGTCTATGCTGTGTGTTGTGTGGGAGAAGGGTCACTGGAATGATGTGTAAATCATACAGTGACCTTTGGGGGGAGTAGCTGTAGAAGGCTTGCCCTTGCAAGGCTTGCCGTTTGTACTGTGCCCTGACCAGAATGTTTCTTTCCAATGCACCTTCTTCCTTTGCGACAGGTATCGTTTTGCAGAGATTCGCTATCATCGGCCGGAGGAGACACACAAGGGGCGGACAGTCCCTGCTCATGTGGAGACAGTGGTTTTGTTTCTTCCGGATGTTTGGCATTGTCTTCCTACCCGCTCAGAGTGGGAGGTGCTGTCACGGCGACTCCGGGAGCAGCTGGCTGAGAAGCTGTCGGCCGAGCGAAAGGAGGCAGATGGAGAACAGGCACTGAACCGCTAATCCCTCTCTTCTCATTTCCGCTTCTCACAGGAAGGCACAGGAATTACAAAAAATAACAAAGCCCAGACACACATCAGACACAAAGCACACCTCGCCACTCACCAGACAGACGCCAACACAGGCAGATTATTTTCCCACCAAACCTCACCTAGGCTTCTTCCGTTTACACCTCCACCTGTCCCCTTCTCCTCTGCTCCTCCAACTCCTTCATTCCTCCATCAGCACATCCACCTTCCCTCACATCCAGCAGACACATACAGTGGAAGCAGTGAGACTAGGTTGTGTTGTGTAGGTCCTGACCGCATCTGATAAAACAGCTTCCAGCTTCTCAAACACCTCGTAATTGGGTGACTATCAGGGTTTGATTATTCACATCAGTCCAAGCATTACGGTGTGCATTGTTGTCAACAATAATTGCTTAACCTGCTTTGAATTTGGGTGCATGCGAATTGGATCAATAACTTTATCAAACTTTTTTCGCCAGAGGTGATTGTTCTTCATGCTGGAATCTGTGGATTCAGTTGCGTGTAATTAATGTGTGTGTGTTGTAGAAATGTGTCCTTTCTTTAATTTTAAATCAATTTTATATGACCTTACTTCAGAAAGAAAACCTCCCCCTACTCCTGTTTCTTGTCTGTTCTTGTTGTTGGATTCTACTTTTTCATTTGGACTTTATGTAGAACTTGGTTTTTCCAGGGCAGTTGGTTGGACAGAAGGACAGATGGCTTCTATCTGATGTTAGGTGTATTGAAACCTTTAATAGCAATACCCAATACCCCAGTCATAGACCATGCTAGGGCTACCCAACCCACTCCGTTTGGAGACCAGCTTCAGTTCGCCTGATGCATCCAACACTCTTTTGACACACCTCTCATTGATTTTTACCTTTTTTTTGTGTTCCACAGATTGATTGATTGGCAGCTGGGGGGCATTTCTGTTGGTTTTGATAAGAGCTAGAGAGCTTCCCTGTGTATGCTTCAATAGCAGTGGACTAAAACACAGTCGAGAGCTCACTAGGACCAGACAAAGAAAGACAGATGTGACCTTGCTTCTTGCACGGATCAACTTTTAAGCTTTTTCCGGCCAAAATTGTCGTACTGATGGTTTTCTATCCCACCTCTTCTCTCTCTTTCTGCCTGTCTCTGTCACAATGATTTTCTGTTAAGGAGGAAGAGGAGAAGGACGACGACGAATCAAAGGACGTTAGCACTCCCACTCACTGGGCTAAACTTGACCCGAAATCAATGAAGGTATGTATTAAGAAGACTCATGCTTTATCTGCTGAGGCGGGGCAACATCTTTGGCTCATCAGTTTTATTCTAAAAAAAACATGCCTTAGCCTGAGTCTCTAGAGACACTTCCTTGTACCACCTCGTCATAATCTGCAGTCTTTCCTCTTTTCTAAAGTCGAGTCTCATTTCTGGGAATGTGTGCCCGTTTATTCCATAAAGTCACTCTTGCTTTTAACCACCAGATTTACCGATCAGTTAAACAAGTTAATGATTATCAATGTTTGCCCCAAATTCTGGTCCTATTTTTTGTGTGAGTTATAACACAGCCACTTACCACTTGCCTGGGCTGTATCTCTGTTGTGTTTGTGTCTGTAGTGGCTACTGGTATATATAACACCCTCGTTCTCTGAAATAAACAAGCATGGTGACATCGATGCAGTTTGGCATTAGATTGATGTCAAAAATAGAGACATAGTTGTGTGTAGGTTTTTCTGATTTAGATGGCATGTAACCACTTGACCTTAGCTGTGTGAAATCAGCACAGTTATATGGATGTTAACCTGCTAGGAGGACTGAAGCTTTACTGACATGAGCTACCTCTCAGCAGTCACTTTAGCATGTTAACCCACAGACTGTGATCCCATATTCAGCTGTTTCTAAATAAAATTGTGCTAAACCTTGAATATTTTCAAAGTGTTTTCTTACCTTTTGACTATTTAGTAGGTCAGAATTTAAATCTAGTTTAAGACAATAGAATTAGTCTCTGTGAAGCGTCGTTTTGCATTTTTCATGTCTCTGTTCTCCCCTCTGCAGGTAAATGACCTGCGTAAGGAGCTCGATTGTCGTTCTCTAAGCTCAAAGGGGTTAAAGTCGCAACTAATTGCACGCCTCACCAAGCAGCTGAAGGTGGAGGAGCAGGTGGAGGAGTCCAAGGAGCCTGAGAAGCCAGAGACCAAAGTAGCCGAGGAGGAGGAACCATCTCGTGCAGAGGAGGACAGAGAGGTACAGAGATGATTTTTGTTTTTAATGAATCCTGATCAATAATTAGAGAAAACTCAGCTGTTAAACTGAGAGCTTTGTTGTAATATCTCTGAGACTAAAGTGTTTTTGAGAGAAGAGGAAAGTATTTGACTAGTTATCTGTGATATAGCATCTTATCAGGAACCAGCTTTATCTGAAGTTTTACCTGATAGCCTCTAACTGAAGTGCTTTTCTGTCAGGAGGAGGAACGTAAGAGGCAGGAAGAGCTCGAGCGCCAGCGAAGGGAAAGGCGCTACATTCTCCCTGATGAGCCAACTATCCTCGTTCATCCCAACTGGGCCGCCAAAAATGGCAAATTTGACTGCAGTGTTATGTCCTTAAGTGTGCTGCTGGACTACAGACTGGAAGACAATAAGGAGCATTCATTTGAGGTGAGAGTCACAGGTCACAGCTTGTGTTCTGTGCTGTAATATAGGAGGTTGATAAAGGCTAAAATGCAATAGTGTTATTGTATTTGAATTGAATCAGACATTACACTGTCCCCCCTCTCTGTCCAGGTTTCTCTGTTCGCTGAGCTGTTCAATGAGATGCTTCAAAGAGACTTTGGCTACCGCATATACAAAGCTCTTGCTGCTTATCCATCCAAAGACGAGAAGAAAGAAAAGGAGAAGAAAGCCAAAAAGGAGGCAGAAAAGAAAGAGGCTGAAAAGCGTGAAATAAAGAAGGAAAAAGAGGATGAGAATGAAGAACCAGCTGTAAAGAAGACCAAAGAGGATGAGGACGACAGGAGAAAGGCAAGCCTCTCAAACCTCAGTAAACATTTGAATCGATCATTGTTCAATACATATGTGTTATAAAGATATTATTTCCACCAGAATGATGACAAGACCTTAAAGAAGGAGTTGTCTCGAGATGAAGAGGAGAACGAAGATGATGGCAGCACAGCCAACGCTGAAGAATATGACCCAATGGAGGCGGAGGATGCGGATGATGACGAAGATGATGGTACTGACCTTTCTCTCTATTTCTCAGCTCCCACTCCCACAAATTGATTTGGCCAAGGATGAGAAATCATGCACCACTCTGAGTCTGTGATGGATAACATTTCCACTGTTTCTGAGGCCTTTAACAGTCATTAACACCTGCAGTCCAGCTCATTTTCAAAGATCAAAGTTCCGATAACAAAAGCTGTATTCACTCGTCTTTATTTCTTTAACTTTCCTCAATTTGATATTCTCAGACAAAGACGATGAAGACTCCAATGACCGAGACAGAAAGGATCGCAAGGATGATCGCAAGTCATCAAAGGAGAGGTCATCGAAAGACAAGGTTGGTTATTGCGAAGGATGTGTTATTATTAAAGTGATGTAATGAAATCATGCTGTTAATATAAACTTTGTTGTTGTTGTTGTTGTACCAGGAAAAGAAGCAGATGGTCACACACAACAGGGAGCTGCTCATGGCCTTTGTTTACTTTGACCAGAGCCACTGCGGCTACCTGCTGGAAAGAGACCTGGAGGAGATCTTGTACACACTCGGACTCCACCTCTCTCGAGCTCAGGTGAACACACAGACCCCTTATCATGTCTGGGGTTAGTTTCTGAAGCCCTGCAACCTGGATTCATAGTCTGCTGTTGCCCAGTCACTCACTGCCCACCTGCTGATGATTAATAAGATGAAGTGAGATAACAGTCATGTTTCCAATGATTCATGTTTCCAGATAAAGAAGCTGTTGAATAAGCCGGTGATCAGGGAGTCCTGTTACTACCGTAAACTGACAGACCGGGGGAAAGATGAACCGGTTCCTACCTTTAATGAAGCCCAGATAGAAAACCTCACAGGTGAGCTTACATGAATGTTATTGATCAGCCTTTCTACACAGTTTACCAAGCAGTCAAATTCTTAAATTTATCAAACTTTTCCTTTTTTATCAGGTAACCGAGCACTACTCCCTGCTCCAAAAACTCGAACTCAGTCAGAGACCAACGAGTCTAGTAATCTGATCGTGTATAACGGAGCCTTGGTAGACATCGGCAGCATGCTGCAGAAACTTGAAAAGAGTGAAAAATCGCGAGAGGAGATCGAGCAGAAGCTCATGGTACAGGACGCCAAAATGGGTACGACTGCATTACAGAGATTCGATCTGGAAACGGTTTCATATCACGGTCGCAAGCTACACTCTGTGTCAGTAGTCCATTTGGACGATGATCTGGCTCAATTTGAGCTTTGCTACAAAAATTTCAGTTTCAGTTCATTCAGAATCCTTTCTTCTTCGATTTCTGTTGAAACCTGAACTGGCACAATACTCACAACTTTTGACAGTGTATGAAATGTTTGGCTTTGGAAGTAAAACAATCACGTGCAAACTGAAGTTAGATTTCTCTTGATTTGTCTTTGCAGAGGAAGATGCGAAAGTGAAAGCACAGTTAGAACAATCTAACAAAGTCCTGACCAGGGAGCTGGAGGAGGTGAAAAGCAGTCTGAGCCAAACTGAGGAGAGGCTGAAGAATGTGGAGGACCAGAAGACAACCTACCACGACCACCTTAGCAAGACGTCCAACACTTTGATGTCCACTGTCAAAGGACTCATGGCGTTGCTGAAAAAGGTAAAACATTTGTAAGCGGCACATTTCTCTCTCCTTGTCAGGTGCTCCTGCAGTCTAACGTGACAGGTCAGATCTTGTACATGATCTGGGCTCTAAACTCAGCAGCAGGGACATCTGGTGGCCTAGAAGACTCATTGCAGTCCTCGACGCATGGAGGAGAACCTCTGCATCTCTTTTTGAGTTGAATTGTCACAGCAGGTGTTTTATATTTACGCCTATGGTATGAACTACATGATTACTTGGTATCAGGTGGGAATACTCATTCATCCATGTGAATGTCTTTTTTCTTTAAGGCGACTCAATCATGTAAAGAGTTTTTGTTGACTGATGGTTTTTCTCTCTCTCCCTATCTCTTCAGGAGCAGGAAGTTGAGGAGTCTGGAGAAGATGTCTGTGGCGATGACATTCAGATGTCCCAAACTAACGGCGCAGATGAATGAATGAATGACACAATTTTTTGATGAATGAAGTTAATCCATAACAGTGATTATCAAGAATTGTAAATACTCATTTAAAAGCATAATTTGGCTTTGTTTTATTTGGACCTACTGTTTCCTAGGTACCTGTTTAAGTTAAAATGAATTAGTGACAATGTGTTGATTTGACTTGATTTTGACTTAAGTCTCTTTGTACCATAGTTTTTTTTTTCTTCTTTTTTTTTAAGGATTTACTTTCTTACATAGGATAGCCTAAACTATGACAAATGACAAAGCTTTGAGACGCTTATTTTCATAGTTTTGAGGGAGTTATGTTGAGTAGCTCACTTTTTTGTGCTTGTTTTAGCTCCGTTATGGCCAATAAAACGCCTCGATGTAGATTTAAATGCCAGTATTTTTGAGTTTACCTTTTCTGTTTGAGATTTTAGTTTTCTAATGAGCAATAATGATGCTATTTATGTGCAAGAGAATGCATTAAAACTATATTTAAAAGAGACTAATTTTGGATTGAAGGGTTGGAAGGGGTTTGATGTTCAGATATAATTTCTCGCAAGCTGTCCTTATCTGCTGCGTAAACAGCAGATTGATTATGTTGATAAACACACATAGTCTTTTTTTTTTGGTCCTTTTCGCTGATTTGAAAGTTTTCCGCTCATTATTTTCCAAACTCATGGCTATGCATGGATCCTGCCTCTCTTGAACCTTTCTTGCTGTCTGCATCTCCTGACTGTATCCACCGACTGCTGCACCACCATTTCCAGTTTGTATGTTTACTGTGACAAGCAGCTGTCTAGTTTTCTGACAAAGAAAACCACACATGAACCAAAAGATAAGCTCAATGATTGTGTGTTCTGTTGAAGGAATCTGTGATACACAAACATGAACATTTTCAGATCCATCTCTGAACTGTTTGTGTTGGTCTGGGTTGTTTTTAGACAAGAGGCACAAATACATTCAAATGTGCTCCAAAGCAGGCGATTTTATTTTTCTATTGGAAATGTACTCTATGGATGTTTTGTGCAAGAGTAAAGTGGTCCATTTTAACACTATATGGGAGCATGTCTGTGTTTGTTCCACCTGTGTAACTCACCTTGAAGAAGACCGAAAACAATCAGTAAGAAGGGCAGATTTAAGTGGCTAAACGGGATGATGAATAAATGGTTTTCGTCACATTAGCCACGTTTTTGTCGGGATAACCACAATGATTTTTATAACTCAAAAGTTCAGTTAAATCAATGACTAGAAACCAACAGTAACCAACTTTTTAAGCACTGTAATGGGCCCCAGATTTGGATGTTGGATGCCCACTCACCTGTGGTTAAAGTAAACAGTTTCAAAGTTAATATCCTTAAAGTATAAAGGAAATTAATAATACGGACATTGGTCATTTATCTGGTAAGGTATCCTTGTGGTTTGTAAAAGCCATCACTGGGTGTGACACAGTTTTGGAAGCAGGGTATCATTGAATCAGTGGACTGTCGTTGGGTTTGTCTGTCTGAGGGGCAGGGAGGTTTCTGCCTCACATCTACTTTGAAGCTTTGGTTTCCTGACCTGTCTCTTTTATGTCTTTGAGCTGCTGGATGTCTGTGACCTCCTGTTGATGTAATTCTAGGTTTGTTTCCTCTCCCGCCACTCCCTTCACCAGCAAACACACTTTCCCCCACATTTCCTCATTTCACACGTTTTGACTTGAAAAAACATTATTAGTAAAAACCAAATTAAAGAACACAAATTGTCTGTTTGCGCCCATTAAGAGTTGTTTATCTAATATTTTTCTTTCATCTCGCTCTCATTTTAAAGGTACACTGTGTAGAAAAGAGGTCTGATTCTAAGATAAATCGCTCCCTTGCTCACCCCTCCTCCAGAGGACTAGAAGTTGCATATGAGTCCGGTCAGTGCCTCAGCTTTTACACTTTTACTTAAAAACAAAACTTGAGGAGGTGCTTCTGCTCACACTGCAACTTTAATCCAGTGTAATCTTGTCTATCTCCTTGCACACTCATGGATTTGTCTTTGTTTTACATCATTTTAGAGCATCTGAGTCTCTACAGGCACCTTAGGGAGTTGTTAACTCCCATATTTGAGTACATGTTTGATCAGCAGATGTCAAACTTTCTGCTAAACATGTTTCCACGATAAATTTGACCTGGTTCACATGAAAAAAAGAACTTTTCAGGGCAGGAAACTCTCCTGTCTGTTTCCAGAAGCTCGTCTATGTCACTTCCTAGAGAACAATGTTGACGTGTCACCAAGTACTTTGGTTATGTGGCTGCTTTTGTCCTGGTGTTGAGCTGTGAATGCTCAGCAAACAAACCTCATTTGTCCCCCGAGGAAGCACACGCACGCTCCTCCACCCTCACGCTCCTGCAGCAGCTGTGTAGGAGAGAGTGCGTGAAGTTTTGGAAAGTGCATGCATATGCGTATGCATGCACATGTGATGGATGAAATTAGACCCCACCGCAGAGAGCAGGGCAGGTAACCCCACTCCTGGGCTGCAACAGAAGGCTTTTGTGGCCACTTCTCCGCCCCTCCTCTTTAAAGCCCTGGTATCAAAGAGCTGCTGCACTCACAGGCCGCTCTGCTGACAATCAGCCTGTTTCAATGCAGGGTCGCTCTCTCCAGCAGAGGGGCAGACAGGGTCAGAAAAAGAGAGTTTGGTTTAGTAACTGATCTCATTTCCATTTGCACTCCCTCTGCTGATCCTCGCTTTTAATGTAAATCACACGGCTGAAGTCTCAGGGTGCGGCTATGGAGCATGTGCAGATGTAGCATGACATTACACAGCTCTCATTGTTAGTTTAACTAATTCTTACTCCTCCTTCACACGTGTAGATTTGTGTCAAATCCCCCCTCGCCTCTTGTCGACGCTTTGGCAAATCACCTTTTTCCACGAACACCCTGGGTTCTCTGTGCATGTCAAAAGTTCAGAGTGGTAGTTATCATGACAAAAGCAGCTGCCCCGGCTTCACACACAGACTATAGAGCCCCAGCGGGTCAGCCTTTTCACAGCCTGTCAGGAGTCAGTGTTTGTTAGCTCTCTGCATTGTTTCCAGACAATTCTGTGTCTGATGGTGACATGATAAGACTCAAATGGAGGTCTCAGTCGAACGTAGCCAGACAAAATTATGTATTGTAGTATAGGAGTTGGGATGTTTTTGCACAGAAAAGGCCAATTTTAACCTTCAGAATCAGATAAATCTGTCTCAACTTAACTGCAATCATCACAGCATCTGAACTCTCCTTAACCACAAAAACTTTGTGCGATTTCTTCATTTATTCTCTGCCTATTATTGTCCGCCTGTATTGTGCAGGACAGTATTAAATTTCTGTGATAGAGATAAGGCACTAAGGTGACAAACAGCCCAGCTTTCCTCACACATCCGTCTGAAATTTGCCAGAAATCCCTCTGACCACCAAAGTCAAACAAACAAGTCAACCGCCCTCTTACGTGTTGTTTGATATTTCAGGTAATTGATACATAAGAGGCTGCATTGAGAAGATCTGCTGCCTGCATGGGCCCCTGCTGGAAGGGAGAGGGAGAGAGAGCGAGAGAGAGAGAGAGGGGCCCCTGTCCTGTTCAGCCGGAGTAGCAGGAACCAGGCTTCCTTGGGAGCGGCGCAGCAAAGTGGTGTAGTTGCTGAGGAAACGATCCCCCTCTGAAAGGCCTTTCCCTGGGAATACTGGGTTACAGTGTGAGAAAGCTGCACGGTTGTTTTTGCCATGAGGGCCGCCATCCTAAGACCTTCAGGACCACCACAAACACCCCACCGCTGCATCACACTTAAGTAAGTTTGAGTGATAGACACTTACTGGGCTGCAAAATCAGGTGTCCTTTTAATGCAACTGAACACCGGGTCACATCAATTTGAAGCACGTTTCACATTTCACTGGTTAACAATAGTTAGACAAAGCGCCACATTCATCTGAGCTCAGCATGTACACTTTGGAGAAAAAGTAGATATACTCTAATTGCCCCTGCATGCTGCCCTGGAGGAAACTCTGTCACTCAATGAGGTAATCATACAGTGGGAACCCAAGACTGCCAGTACCAGCTTGCTGTCTGGAAAAAACAAACTTTTTTTTTGGTAAAATTGCAGAGCTTGCAAACATGAGTTAAAGCATCAAAGAAGGAAGAATGAGCGTGAAACAGAGAAAACATTTCCACTCAGACCAGCTGGTTCACACTTGACATTCAGACGTAAAGGCTGCAGGTGTTCAGGTCTGCGGGACATGAACCAAGAGCGATTTAGATATCACTAACAAATGTGTAACGTATGAATTCATATATGATTCATATATGAGCATTATTTGTGACTATAGAGTGGTGTTTTGGTTGAGGTTTGTTTATGGCTCCTCAAACCGCTGTATGTTGCTATCATGCGGTCGTTACTAAAGTTGGTTTAACTAGAGAAGCAAGTGGTCAGCAACATTCATCTCTTGGTGGGGTGTCTAACTCGGTGTTACGGTGTGTTTGACCCTAAATTAATTTTACGCCGGAATATCCCTTTAACATGATTTATCAGGGTCATTGTTTTGAAAGCCTAGAATTTGTCTGCGCATGTTTGACCCCAGAATCATCAGTTAATTTTGTCCTGTGAACATGCAAATGGAAAAGAAAGATTCTGTTTTAAGTAACCACCCGCCAAGAGATCCTCAAACACAGTATTTTGTTTTGAATTATCAGCCACCAATTTTCTACTCTTCATTACCCCTACATGTGTAGAAAGAAGACAATAATTTGTCATTTATCGTTACATATTTAGGATTGACAGCCTGAAACAGCACTCGAGCCACTGTTATTAAGAAATCTGCTCTTAGCTTTCAGGTAGGCCTACTGATGGTCTCAGATCAGGCCAGGATGCAGAAATCTTCATTAGCAGGTATAAACTGGAGGGATACTCATCCCTATTACCTTGATATCTGACGCCTTAAAGTTTGAACAACATTTCCTGAGTTTTGCTGATAAAGTCACAGTAACTGTCTTGACAAATCTCCGCTCTGCCCTCTGCATCCTCCAGATCTCCTTCCTGAACCTTTTCCTCTCTCAAAGCTCTAAAACAGGCCAGGAAGTCCCAGTGAGCCGTTTCCTGCATGCTTTCCTTCACCTTTAAGTCAGGTCGGCTGGGAACAGTGCAGGCATGCTCTTCTTAACAACAGTGTCCTCTGTGTGTTCTTGTATGTTTCTTTATGTTAGAAAAGAACGTGTTTTACTCGGTGTTTCTGTCTGTAGATGGATGAGAGAGGGTAATTTTATCACCGCTGGCGGTGCCAGTCAGTAATGAAGCTGCACGCGTCTTTGATGTCACATAAGCACGGAGCCTTTACGCTCTGCTTCCTCGGTTCAAAGCCTCCATCATTGAGGTCCCAGTATAATGTGGGTTTGGCTCTTTGCATGTTTACAGTGACAGGTGAGACAACACAGACTACAGTGCGTCTGGCTGTTTTTGAAGTCTGCCAATCATTTAGAAAGCCAGAACCTAATCCAGAACCTAATCCAGATTACCTGAGAAGAAAAAATCTTGGTGAGACATTTTACTGTTTCATCAATAAGAAGGATAATTGAATCCAATGATAGTCTTAATAACATCTGTTATAACTGAAGTGATGCTTGAAAGGTGGAGTGGATTCATTTTTACTTTTTGAAAATAAAAGCAATGAAGTTTTGGCCAATCAGAATCAAGTATGCAACACAGCCAGGTGATCAGTCAGATCAGTTAGACAGGCGATAATGTGAGGAGACAGAGTGGCACTGTTGGTCTGTAAGTGTAAGATTTAGATATGCAATGACGTAAACTCACTCAACATATACTTTTTAAATTGATTGTCTTGAAAATATGTTTACCCTCACTTTTACTATCCTACTTTTACTAAATTTACCCTTGTATTCTGTTAGAAAGCCAGCATGTTTAGAGGTGCTTCAGTTGATTTTAACACAGTGTCACTCTCATGCTGTTGCCTCTTTATGACATTAAATGTAAAATTTCTTTTGACGAAATTTTAGTGCATGAGTTCAGGTTGGATTTTGATATTTGGCACTCACTCGCCTCTT